GGGGGGGGGGGGGCTCAGCGCCTAGCTCCGCCCCTGGTAACAGTTTATCACACATAGATTTCTTATTCCGGTGTGCTACTGCTGAATATGCGTGGAAGTTATTGCTAAATTTTCCCTTGCTCTCTCAGTTCCTTTTTAAATGTTTTGGTCCGTTGGGGAAAAATAACGATGGCTATAGATATTGGATAGGGGTAGGAAGGAGAACGAAGTGTGTCCATTACATTAATTTGTCAGACCTATAAAATGAACCCATGCAAGTCCAAATATGAACTACGTTTCTTTTATGTGTAGGGAGTAAGCACTTGGAGGATGCTTTATGGGTTGGAAGTAAATCCAGAAAGAAATGTTGTACTCATTTCTGATAATTTTGGATATCTCTATATGTATGTATGCTTCAAATTTTTTACTCTCATACAAACGTGTATTGATAACCCATATAGTTTACCTAACATTGAATTAGATTAACTAACTCATCTCATTAAATTCTGAAGGGTCGACGTTAGGAGCAATAATGTAACTGGTGAGCCACTCTTGATTCACAAGAAGGGAAGTAAAGTCGTTGGTCTTAACTGCAATCCTTTCCAGCCAGATCTACTGTTGAGTTGTGGAAATGATCACTTTGTAAGTTTTGATGGTCAATCTATATGATCTTTACTACAGTTTGTAACTCTTTCAAGCTATTCTTTCTAATCAAGGGGAAAAAAGATCTAATGGTTTCTCATTGTAGGCACGTATATGGGACATGCGTCAGTTGAAATCTGGTTCTTCTCTTTGGAATCTACCACATAAACGTGTTGTCAACTCGGCATACTTTTCTCCACAAAGTGGTAGCAAGATTCTTACAACTTCGCAGGACAACCGACTTCATGTTTGGGATTCAATATATGGTAATCTAGATACTCCAAGCAGGGAAATCGTTCACAGTCATGACTTCAATCGACATCTTACTGCTTTCCGAGCAGAGTGGGACCCAAAAGTAAGCCACCCATTACTCAAAACGGCGCAAATGATGTGCCGAATTAGCAGATTGAATTAATTTAAAAATAATTATTTAAATAACTTAACGAACATATTTCTTGAAATATATATAGAAGCATCAATTTCATTCGTTTCAGCTGAAAAGCAACTCATTTACCACTTTCTTTATCAGTTGGTTCAACCAGCCAACAGCGACATACGTTAGTGTTTGGCGAAAAAAACTGGCCAAGGTGACTTTATTAGTCTGATCATGCTGTTGTACCATATGCAGGATCCTTCAGAGTCCTTAATTGTCATTGGCCGTTACATAAGTGAGAATTTCAATGGCATTGCCTTGCACCCCATTGACTTTATAGACATCACCACAGGCCAGTTGGTTGCCGAAGTGATGGATCCAAACATAACAACAATCAGTCCTGTGAATAAGTTGCATCCACGCGATGATGTTATGGCATCCGGTAGTTCAAGGTCTCAGTAAAAACCGGTTTTCGTTAACAGTTCTTGCACGCAAATGGTAACTTTGGTGATCTTGAAATGATTCTTCTTCTTCTTCTTCTTTTTTAATCAGGTCACTTTTCATTTGGAGGCCAGCAGGGGATTCTGAGGAAAAAGATGAAGAGAAGATTATAGATTGTTGGTCGGAGGAGAAAAGGACTTCGGCTATGGGGCGTGCTGATAAAATGGGGAAGACATTTCTTGGTGCTGACAGCGACGAGGAAGAAACTACTGGCAGTGGTAAGAGGAACATCAAGAAGAAGAAGAACCCTTCTTTGAAATCAAAGTCTTTTAGTACTTATAGGAAGAAGTGATAATTAATCTTTAATGTAGCTCTTTTGTATAGTGTAATGGCCTTTTAACCCCAATATTTTTGTCTGGAACTGGGTTGGGGGAGGGGGTGAAATATTGTCCTCTGTGGCCTATTTATTTACTAAATGGCTGGCTATTAAGGGATCTTGTTTCTACAATGAAAATATTCATATTTTACTTTGGAGTACTACTTAACATTGCTAAAGAATACGAAATTATGTGCTTAACTTGGAATCTTGTTAAAAACATAAATGTGTTTGAAATTATGTTTTGGGATGAAAGCAATATTTGAAAAGGGGAGAAGGGTTCTTGTTTTGTTCAACACTTGTGGAGGAGGGTGGAAAAGATGAGATCTTTCATTTGGCTTTTATTTTTAGCTTATGAGCTGAAAATTATTAATCCCATTTTCTTATCTCAGGTAAAAATTTACTTTTTGATATGTGTTATATTACTTTTTAACTATTTTTTTTAAAATAAATTTAATTGTAATGCTTTAATTAAGTACAATAACCATTAAAAAAGTGCAATTATAGCACTCAAAAATTAAGTAAAATAATATCCCCTCCCTCTATCATTAGAATAAGTTTCTTTTTCACGGAATAAAAAGGAATCAAATTGTGTTTACTTGTAGAAGTTTATTCCAAGTATAGAATCACAACATTATTATTTGTATGAAAAGATCAATAACTTTTAAAATCTACTTTAAATTTAAGATGCACCTGTAAATGCGTATGATATGCAAATGTTTATTACTCCGTACAATTTTTTGTGGACTTTAGATTCATGGTAAATTCCTCAATGGTTCTAAAGTCTACACTTACAACAACAACAACAACAATCCAGTTGAATCCCACTACAGTAGGGTCTGGGAAGGGTGTGTATACGCAGACCTTGCCCTTACTCGGAAGTAGGGAGGCTGTTTCCAAGAGACCCCTGGCTCAACCTGCACAAAAATATGGTAGGGAACACAATATAACAGGGTAACAGGATATAACAAGATATAACAGGATAAAGCACCAAGTACAATGAAATGAAAGTCCAGCAAGCAAAAGTAGAAGATTCCAATCAAACACAACACACTATAAAAACCTCTGCAGCACCGCGCTCCTAACCAGCTACTTTAATCCTAGTCCGCCAAAGGTTCCTATCTAAAGCCATATCCTCAGTTAGGGTGAGAAGTCCTAAATCCTGCCTAATCACCTCCTTCCAATTCTTCCTAGGTCTACCCCTTCCTCTACTTCCCCCGATAACCGTGATCCTCTCGCACTTCCGTACAGGGGCATCAGCATCCCGACGTCTCACATGCCCAAACCATCTCAACCTCGCTTCCCGCAACTTATCTTCCACCGGCGCCATGCCTACCTGACGTCGAATAACTTCGTTCGAAATCCTATCCAATCTTGTCTTCCCACACATCCATCGTAACATCCGCATCTCCGCCGCATGCAGACGACGCATATGAGTCTTCTTAATCGCCCAACACTCTGCCCCGTATAACATAGCAGGTCTGACTACGGATCGGTAGAACTTACCTTTCATCCTGGGTGAAATTTTCGAGTCACACAACACCCCTGAGGCCAACCGCCATTTGGCCCAAGCCACTCCAACACAATGTCCAACATCCCCGTCTAACTCCCACAAAGAGCGAGTAGTCTCTTCCTACTAAATTTTTTTTGAGGCAATACAAGGCAAAATCACCCTATGAATCTAGTTTAATAGGAGTTAATAAAAAGGAACCGTATACAGTAANCCCCCCCCCCCCCGTCAATTCCGGCAAACAACCGTCAATCCGCCTAACTCAATGCGACAAATAGTAACCGTAGTTATTCAACGCCCTCTTCCCTCCGCCGCAACTCCCCCGGCGCCTCCTCCGCCGTCACCACCGACATCCAAATTCCCCCTCCTGGTTTGCAGGAAAAAAAATCCTCATCTGCCCGTAAAATTGACGCAATAATCATAAAAAAGAATATCCGCGCCGATCAGTAGTTATATTTCCCGGATAATTGCGCGAATCTGCGATCAGCTCTTCTTTTAAACAACGTATTAATTAAACTTTTAGGGATTTTATCTTCATCACGCAGTCGATGTAAAAGGAAGAAATCGATCGGGGTTAGTTTGCGGATTGGGATAAGAATGAAGCATCAGAAGAAGAAGAAGAAGAGATCAAAGGCGTCGAAAACCGGCCGGGTCGGAAAGGCGGCTCCTTCTTCTTCAGAGGGAGATGTGAAACAGGGGGAAAAGGCTGTAGGTTCGTTATTGGAAGCTTCTAGTTCTGTTTCAGCGAATGGGGAACCGAAGGAGGACGGCGAGGTCATTGTGAACCTGGATGAGATTTCGGAGGATCGGAGCACAACCTCGTCCTCGTGTTTTAGCTCTTCGGAGACGTGTATGGAGGATCATTGTCTTCAAAATGGGGCTAGACAGAAGTGTAAGATGAAAAAGGATATAGCTTCTGCAGGGACAGTTTCGACCTTGCTGGGAAAAGACTATGTGATGTCTGTTCCTAAAAAGATTTCATCCAGAATGAAGGGTTCTAATGGTGATTTTTTTAGTAAGGAAGATGCTGAACAATTCCTGTGCTCAATGTTTGGTGAACACTGTGATTTGAGCTTCTCTGCTCTCAGAGACGTATTATGTGAGTTCCAAATTCTCTAGTTTTCATTTGGAACTATGAATTTATGCCAAAAAAACCACAGTGACGATTTGTATGACTTCTTAAGCGTAAAAACTTGGCTACTTGTAAACGCATGGCAATCGATATAATTTGGGTATTCTCGTTGCAAGGATAATATCATGAGCATTCCTTACTTAAGATGGTCATAGGTATAATATTGGTGTCGCATTGATTTTGTAATAGCAACACACATATCTTTGAACATGACTGTATGGATATGATCATATGAACTTCAGTTGATTGAATGAATAAGATTTGTGACTTCGAGTTCTTTTCTATTTTTGACAGGTAAGTGTGGATATGATGTAAATAAGGTATGGTTTCTATTTGAATTTCACTCAAGCTTTCTGTAATTTTTTTCCCATTTATTGGATTGCCAAGTAATGACAAAAATCAATGGCTAGAATGCTAGATATTATTGCCTTGGGTTTTTCCCTGCATTGCTGTTTTTACATAATTAATTTTATATGATTTCTGGATTTTGATTCCCACTTTTCGTAATGTCATTGCATAATCTTATTTCAAAGATTTACTAAGTATGAAGTATTTGTGTTTCTTGTCTTTCTGATCCTTGTCCGACCCTGTTTGCACACTCAACTTTTTTGAACTTTAATTTTATGGGTGTGTATTGTTCTAAAGTTAGTCTTAGAATGGTTACATTACTTTCCAGGCTCTAAATGTATTGCTTCAATTATCAGCATCCTCATGTGATCAATCGGAAAAGAGTAGCTGCAGCATAGAGGCACAAGCACCATCACTTAGCAAAACAAGTGAAAATGTAAGTTAAGTTTTGATCTCGTGTTCCTCATTGATTTCTTTGTTTGTTAGATCTTTGCTGCAACTTCATGTTTTTTGAATAATTGATTTCACTTTGTCATTTGTTGGATCAAGTCCATAAACAATTTCTTGTGAATATAGTACATAATCATATTGCCTTATGTTACTCTTGCAGCACACTGAAAATACTTGTGGTACTGTTTCTCCTTCATCTGAAGGAGAATTTCAGGACCTCATACCAAATACAATGAACTCTTGCTGGTAAGAACTGTAATATTTCACCGTGCTACTTTATTTGCCTAACTCATCATGCCAGTAAAGTAAAAAAATATTGTTATAAGCTTTAAGCGAGAATTCTCTTACATTATTTCAGGAATAAGTTTAAATTTAGTCCTGATACTAATTGGAGTTCTTCACCAACACCAAAAAAATTGGATTCACAACTCACAAAGGAAGTTTTAAAATCGTTGTTTAATATGCCTACCCCCAAGAATGCTGAACGTGAACCAAATACACTGAACTGGAAGAATGTAGTGACTAAAATGGCATCGTTCAGACCAAAACACGAGCCCTTCCCTGCCAAGATTGTAACAGATCATTATGACCATGGTATTTGTCAATTTGCCGCTCTAAGTATTTTTATGATTTACTTATATGTGCAAAACATTTTGGTTTATTGGCATCTATTTACCAAATGATGTCCCTGTGACACATTTTTTGAGTCTATTTAAAAGTTTAAGTGCTTTGTGTTATGCTTGTGTCCTTTTGTAGCTAAGGGAGATGACTACCAGGTGTTCAGAGAAGCTTCAAAGCAGCATTGGGAATCTATGAAGCAATGCTATCAGAAGGTATTCTATATATTGTTTGGGTTTTAGATGACAAACTCATACACAATTTTTCTGAAAATTTGCACATTCTGCTGCAGGCTGCCTCAGCCTCTACCAATGGCAAACATCAATATGCTGCTTATCTCTTCGAACAGGTTTGTTGTATGACGTTGAGATCGGATCTTGCAAGTTTCTGTGCAGTTTTTTTTCTTTCAATTCAGTATTAACCTTCAATACACATTTTAGAATATCCTGCAGTATTGATTAAGATGAACTTTTACTTATTCATGGAAACTAGCCAGTTAAAATAGGTAACACCTTTTCATATATTGCAATGTTTGATCAGGTCTAATGTAAACCCTAACCTAATTTATGGGTTTCAATCGAAATCTGCTAAATGGAGGATCTCACTCACACACACACACACACACACATACAGGTTAGGATGATATTTGTTTAGAGATGCAGAGTGTGAGTTTATGGTAAAACTATTGAGTCGATTTTATTTTAAAATTTTAGAGAGAGAGAGAGAGAGATGCAGAGTGTGAGTTTATAAGGTTTGTGGTAAAACTATTGAGTCGATTTTATTTTAAAATTTTAGTATGGTTTGACCCATATGCATTATGGCGCAATTAAGTGACTCTAAGTCTCTAACCCAATCTTGAATTCTATCGTTATCCTTCGTGTCATCAGCATTCTTTTGTAACCTCAAAGTGACGTACTAGTCGGGATCATATTTGAAATTTTGAACAATTGGAGAGTCCAACTTTGTGTTATTTGGGGTTATCAGTGTACTTGTTATTTGCATGTGTCGTTTTACTTTATTTTGACCAACATATTCCCTTGCGTGGAGCGTGTCACAGGGTAGCACGCACAATACAAAAGCCCAGGAAGCTGACAAACAAGCCAGCCTAGATGTTTTTGAAGCCAGGTGGACAATTATCATGCGAAATGAAATGGATAATAATCGATGGTTCTTGCTCTTCAAATGCAGTACTATCTGGTTTTCCTATTGAATTAGCTATATTTTTATCACAGAAATAAGAGCATAGAAAACATGATCACTATTGACCTGCATGGGCAGCATGTCAGACAAGCCATGAAATATTTGAAACTTCACCTGCTGTTTGGGGCCTACGTACGCTGTAAGCATCCCATATACTCCTCCGTCCATATTTAGTTGTGTGCTTTCTAAAATACCTCAATTTTAAGGAATATGGTTAAAAGTAACAAAAGACACCATTGAAGCTAGGTTGTCCTATGCTCATGCCACAATGCCAATATGCTCTTTAGGGGTGTTTTTGATTATTCACAGTTATTTCTCTACTAAACTTGGTAAGTTGACAATTAATTTGGATGTCTAAAAAAGAAAAGTGTACAACCAAATTTGGACGAACAGAGTAATAAATAGAAATAGAGAGTATGTATAATTGCTTTGGAGTTTGTTGTAAACATATTGCTTATTTTCGTTATCTGCAGCTGTTAGATCATTTAGGGTTATCACGGGATGTGGGAGCCGTGGTGTTGGGAAGTCTAAACTGAAAAACTCCGTACGAAACACTTCTCCTTTTTTCTCTTTACTACTAATCCCACCATATCTTAGCTGTGAATTTTTTTTTTCAAGTTCAATCTTTATTTGTTGCACGCAGGTAATTAATCTATTGGAAAAAGAAGGTATTGAATGGGGCGAGGAAAACCGGGGAGCACTGTTCGTCAAACTTCATGGAGAAACAAACTTCAGCTTCATAGATTCTGACAGTGATACCGACTGATTATTGTCAATCTTTTCAATGGGTAGAGCATCGTGTTGTGGGATCTTGAGGTCACGGGTTCGAGTCCTTGAAGCAACTTTTTGCAAAAAAAAAAAAAAAACCAAGGTAAGGGGTACTTTGTGTATAGAGGAGTTTTTAATTTATTAGTTCCTCACTCTATGTATTATTGTTAATAGCAGGTTTAATTTAACCAAATCAACAATTAGCAACTCTAGGTAGGTAACTAAGCTAAGAGCTAAGATGGTTGAGTTTATTGTATCATTTGTATCTGTCCAATGTACAGTTTTTGGTTGGCAGAGGTTTCCCTTCGGAGGGATTCCGGCTTGTTCGTGGTAATATTTTGGCATCACTCATATTTTTCGGGTTGTTTTTTTGCGGTTGAAATTTCTTGAATTTAAAGTTAGTTGTATGTTTTTATTTAAAAAAAATTATTAGTGTTTATAATTGAAAAGGTTTAAGCCAATACTCTGTACTTACTAATTTGATAATTATTTTTTGTCAAATAAAAAATGCTTCTAACGTGAGAAAGACTCGCAAAAAAAAAGGTGAACCTTGTACCAAAGACGACTCTATCAAAAAATGCTTTTAATATTTTCACCAAAATAAAGCTCTTAATATTTGTATACAAAGTATGGCATACAAGTATACCATGCCAAAGAGTACCAATATATATTTTACCAAAAATACAGTGAAATGCCAACTCATATAATGTCAAGTTAGGGCATTGCATAATACTGGCAAATCTATTTAGAATATACAAATATAAGAGATTTAGCTTCGTACTCCGGGGTATAAATTTAATATTTTAGTTATACTCCGTATTAGGTAGATCTCCTTTTTATTTGTTTCCGTTCAATTTATAATAAAATTGGAACTATCAATTTGTGAGAACAACTGTTCAAAATATTATATCGGAATCATGAAAAATTAAAAAAGAAAAAAGAAATGGGACAGATGAAATACCTAGTTGGAACAAACAGTAAAAGAAAGTGTGAACATTTGTATTATTATTTTGGAATGAAAATATGGACATGTCTTTAGTTAAAAGAGAGTACACGCTTAGGAGCTAATTACAAAGTTTTTTAGTTGTGTACTCTGCATGGTTGTTTTTCACATTTATATGAGAGATTTTTTAAAATAAGATTGATTTAATTATTTTTTTTAAAATAAAAAATATCTAGTGTTTTTGTTTATCATTTTCTAGCATAAGTAGAGGAAAGAATAGAAATCATGTGAAAATAGTAAATTCTTATGAAAAAGTTAACATTTTTGTTGGGGAGTATTACTTTAGTATATAAAATGCTATGTAGAGTTATTTTTCTTTGATCGAGACATCGTTAGATTATGTATATCTATTTTTCTTTCAACTGAGATTTGTAAAAAGTATTGCTTCACTTGCCCTTATTTTTGTTAATGAATTAATGACACACAAATTAGACAATGAAAAATTATATGATTGATATTAATTTTAAAAAGTAAAAAAAATAAAAGTAAGTTTGAGTCACAAAAATATTAATATAGTTAGACTGTTAGAGACAAAAATATAATGACATAGAGGTAAATAAAGTATTAAAAATTTGTAATTCGTTAAATATACTCCGGAATAAATATTTCAACAATTTTTATTTTTCCAATTCCTCTCAATTTTTTCTACTCGTAACTCTATCCATATTTTCCAAACATTTCAACTTTTTTCATTTTTTCTGACACTCAACTTTGTTTTTTTACGAGTGTTTTTGGCTTGGTAGGACTGTAGGAGTCGACGTTGAATGTGAGGTTATTGGATACGCCCTCCCCAATCATCATCATCCTCCATTCATTCATTCGTTCGTTCCTTCTTTCACTCCCGTATTATCTCATCTGCCGCCGGAAGACAATACCATGTCCGGAAGCGGCGTCGTAACGGTCTATGGAAACGGCGCCATCGCCGAGGCGCCCGCCAAGCAGTCCCCCTTCTCCGTCAAGGCGGGCCTTGCCCAGATGCTCCGCGGCGGCGTTATCATGGACGTCGTCACGCCCGAGCAGGCCCGCATCGCCGAGGAAGCCGGCGCTTGCGCCGTCATGGCCCTCGAACGCGTCCCCGCCGACATCCGCGCCCAGGGCGGCGTGGCCCGCATGTCCGACCCCCAGATGATCAAGGAAATCAAGCAGGCCGTCACGATTCCGGTCATGGCCAAGGCCCGGATCGGGCATTTCGTGGAGGCCCAGATCCTGGAAGCCCTCGGGATCGATTACGTCGACGAGTCGGAGGTCCTCACCCCGGCCGACGACGCGAACCACATCAACAAGCACAATTTCAAAATCCCCTTCGTCTGCGGCTGCCGGAACCTCGGCGAAGCCCTGAGGCGCATCCGCGAGGGCGCCGCGATGATCCGGACCAAGGGCGAGGCCGGGACGGGCAACGTCATCGAGGCGGTCCGCCACGTGCGCTCCGTGATGGGCGACATCAGAGTCCTCCGGAACATGGACGACGACGAGGTCTTCGCCTTCGCGAAGCAGATCCAGGCGCCCTACGACCTCGTGATGCAGACCAAGCAACTGGGGAGGCTCCCGGTGGTGCAATTCGCCGCCGGAGGGGTGGCGACGCCGGCGGACGCGGCCCTGATGATGCAGCTGGGATGCGACGGCGTGTTCGTGGGGTCCGGGATATTCAAGAGCGGGGATCCGGCGAGGAGGGCCCGGGCAATCGTGCAGGCAGTGTCCCACTACAGCGACCCGGAAGTGCTGGCGGAGGTTAGCTGCGGGCTGGGAGAGCCCATGGTGGGGATCAATCTCAACGATCCCAACGTCGAGAGGTACGCCAATCGTTCCGAATAATATACCCCAAAAACTTGTGATGTTTCAGAGGATGGATGGTTTCATTAGACTGGTTTCATATGAATCTCTGCCTATGATTGTGTTTTCTTTAGTTAGTTTTATGTATGCTCTCATGGGTGACTCTCTCACTCTGGTTTTAGCTTACAAATGGTCTGTGATTGATTGTTTGATTAGAAGACAACTATTAGTGGCTTTGGTTTTTTGCATTTTTTTGATTGTGAAGGTGGCTAGAATCAAGTCCAACAACAACAACAAATTAAACCTAGATATTTAGACAAAGGATATTTGAGATCCAAAAATTAACAAAACCACTCCATAAGTTTTTACTTTTTAGGCTAGTCATGCCATCTCAAAACCTTCTTCCAAGTTACTATTCACACGGTCAAACTATAATCACTTTCTTCGTCTATTTTCATTAGTTATTTGATAAAATAATTGTTTTGTAGAACTATTCACACGGTCAAACTATAATCACTTTCTTCGTCTATTTTCATTAGTTATTTGATAAAATAATTGTTTTGTAGAACTTTTGATGTAGTTTTAAATATATAAATTTATTTTTTAGTTTTATACTTACAATCAAATAAATTGAATTGAAAATAAAGTCGGTCAAACTTCGTAAACAGAAACGGGAAGAACTTTTATCCGAAATTAAATTAAGCAGGAGAACTTCATTTGTCCTAAAGTAAATTACATGTTTCGATTTACAACGTTTGATTGAAATTATTCTCAATGCAATTTATTTGAGAATTTGGAGCATAACTAAAAAATAAGATTCACATATTAAAAACTACAATAAAAGTTCTACCAGAGAAGATGTGAGTGACGTTTGACCGTGTAAATAGTAAATAGACCATTAGATGTAATGAGCTCATTTTTTGTATTATCATACAATACAATTTTTATTTAATTGATGATGAAAATTTGTCCATATTGATTTAAAAAAGTCTAACTGGACAAAGTAGTGTGGTAGAAAAGCTATTTCATAGCATGCCTTTTTATTTAAAAAAAACTGTCTGCTTAGGCTAACATTATAGAAACTTCATGATGGAAACACTGTTGTGAAAATTCCACATGCAAAAAACACTCACACCTGAATTCAAATTTTGAACTGTAGGGACAAACCAGTCTTTTTGCGTTTGAAGTGTGGTATAAAATTTAACTATTTGCAATTAAAATATAATCAAATTAAGAATATGGGAATTGTGTCCCAGTTATGTATGTAAAACACATCTTAATCATACTTAATGTGTACAATAATAACACTTTGAATAATCTTCCAAAAACAACACTTTTCTAAGTTGAACTACACCCAGGAAAAGTGATCAACATGAAGTTGATCAACCAGTTCCCCTACCAATTCATCAACAATTTCCATCTCCAAATCCCCACAGATTTCATGTTTCCCTTCACCCACCATCCAGCTGCTGTGAGCTGTGTCCATATCACCCAGCCTGCAACTCTCTTCCCACACCTTCTTCACATAGCTCTCATCCTTGCACAAATTCTTCTTCCTCGTCTCATAAAAACGCATCTTGGGTCGGAAATCGTCAATCTCTGTTTTCGGTTTCTGGTGATTCTCAAGCGCTCCCGAAAGGGTCCGCCTTGATTTTGTGTACCTTCCTGCTTAAAAAAAACCAAAAGCTCAAGCTTATAGTTGAAGGTTTGCAGAATGTTTTAGGTGTTTTTGTATTTATGTAACGGTTTTCGACGAACCTGAGGAGAAAGGAGTCTGTTGTAGAGCTGTTAACTCGACGAAATCAAGAACAGAATTCGGGCTTGATTTCTCTGAATCACCCTCTGTTTTGGCCTTTTCTTTTCTTTCTTTCATCTTCTTCTTGAATAATAATAATCTTTCTTGCTTGAAATCCTCTTTCTTCTTTGCCTTTCTTGAACGGGCGGCCTTCACCGCTTCATATAGGCTTTCTCTTCTCATGTTGGAGTTCTTGTTTAATGACATCTCTGATTTCCTCTGTTCAAAGCCTGCAAGTTCTGGGCATTTCCCTCTTCTTCCTCCTCCTCCTACATACTCAAAGCTAAGAATGAAGAAATCCTTGTCGTCTAGCTCCATGTAGGTGGGAATCTCCCGGAAGCTACGAGCTCGCAGAGGCCTCTCGGCGCGGGGTGCAGTTCGTCGTCGAAGCGGGTGGGAATCCAATGAGTGGCTTCTGGTGAGTGATTTTGAACTGACATCAGTTCTGGGCTGCAGCGGCATTGACTCCAGCCCCATCAGCTTGGCCACGACGCCGGTTTTTCCCCCCTCTTCCGGCGGCGGCGGCATTTGAGTTGCGTGGTTGTGGGAGGAAGAAGGGGGGCGTTTGGAGAGGGAATCAGAACAGAGGAGGCGGCGGAACATTCCGGCAATGCAGCAGCCTGTGGCGGGTTTCTTGGCATTGCCGCCGGGTGTTGCAGAAGAGGGAGAAGGGTGTTTCATGGCTGAGACATGTGGTGATGATGCAGGCTGGTTGAGGGTTAAGAGGAGGAAGAAGATCGAGGGGTGAAGCAGAATGATTAGTGGGGGGAAAAAGTGAAAAGTGAGAAAGAAGAAGGAAAGAGAAAGTGGAGGGAGGGAGGGATTTCATTTGAATTTGAGAGAGAGGTGCCAGGTGGCGGTGGGGAGTGGAGTTTGAAAGTCCGCATGCTACTTTGCCGGGTTGGGGGCTCACAGGTGGCGGTGATGTGGCGCTCTCGTGGCACGGGGATCCTCCCAGTTAGACCGGTACATAAACACGGTTGTTGATTTTTTATCGAAACTCTAGATTCATATCTTTCAAATTCGAGAGATATAAATATATCTTCTTGGATGGGTTGTGATGTCGAAAGATTTAAAACCTAAATCGTGTTTAGGTTTCAAAAGTCCACTTAGACTACGTTTGGTATACGAAATTCAAATTATGGAATTGGAATTAGGGCCAATAATTCCAATTATGCTGTTTCGTATCACAAAAATATGTGGATTTAAAATTGCTAGTGCAAAAAATGAATTAGAATTAGAGAACTCAATTCCATCCAAATCAATTTCATAGAATATCAAACTCTCAATTCCAATTCCGTCAATTCCATGTATCAACGGGTGCTTAGGCCCCGTTTGATACACGGATTTCAAACTATGGAATTGGAATTGAAGATTTCAATTCCAATTCTGGTTTTTGGTAGCACAAAAATTATGTTGATTTGGAATTGATAGTGCAAAAAATGAATTGGAATTGGTAAATTCAATTCTATGGAATTGAATCTCATGGAATTTCAATTACAATTCCATCAATTCTGTATACCAAACGGACACTTAATGATTTTGATATCGAGATATATATTATAATTCATCTCTGCACACAGGGGAGCATGGATGAAATATTGTTTGAATGTCAAGATATTGTTGCGAAATGGAGAACAAAAGAGGATTAAAAGATAAAAACCACCAATTTTTTTGAGGGTTTGTTTGGTACACAGAAATGGATTTTGAATTGGAATTCTATGAAATTGAATTAGATAAAATTGAATTATAATTCAATTCCAAAATTTTTGTTTGGTATAACTACGGAATTGATATAGAATTGTACTATAATTCCAAATTCATTGTTTGGTAGCACAAAATTGAAATTTTCAATTTTTAAAAATCAAAATTCATATTTAAAATCTAAAACTTAAAGTTTACGTTTAAAATTTAATTTTTATATTTTAATTTTTGAATTTTATATTTGGAATTTTAAATTTTAAATTTGATCGGTATTTTACATGATACTCCATATGATTTAGTTGTACTCTTTTCGTAAAAAGAACACATTTTTCGAATGGAATATGCTAGGAGTACACCTTTGGTGTACCCCAAATGTACACCACTTGCCTCTACACCATTCATTTTATTTTCTTTTTATTTTTTACTTTTTTTTTGAAATTTTCTTGCCTTTTTTTGTGTGGTGATGGAGGGGGTGGGGGATGTTTGGGGTACACTTTTGGTGTACCCCTAGCATTTTCCTTTTCGAATTTCTTGATCGGGTTTAACAAAGTTTGAAAAAAAATACTCGATATTAGATTACAATGTAATTGATTAGAGAGAAAGTGAACTTTATATTGCAGAGACATACTCGATATTTGTAGAGATCTATTCTTAGTATAGTTGTTTCTCAATATAGTTGCCAGAAATAAACTCTATTCTTACCCTTAACACTTTTTGTCTTTACCAATTATGCAACACTCACCGACAGAAAATGTTATTTGTATCGAGAACAATCGTGGGTATCTGAATGCAAATAATACTAGGAGTAACCGATAACTTATGGGTCTAGCCAAATGCTAGGATACCCTGAAGAAAAATGCTAGGGGTACACCTCCCATTTGTCCCCCACCCCCTCCATTACAACAAAAATAGGCAAGAAACTAAACAAAAATTAAATAAATAAAAATGGGGTAAAATTGAGTGGTGGAGAAAGGGGTGGGGGATATGCTAGGGGTACATCAAAGGTGTACCCCTAGCATTGCTCTACCTTGTAATATCATTTCTAAAATTTGTTGTCATTTTTACCCTGTAATATCATTTCTAAAATCTGTTGTCAAGTTGAGAGTAATTAAATATCAAAATTATTCAGTTTGACTCGAAAAAATCGAATGACAAATACACAAGAATGAAGGTAGTAATATAATTGGATTCATGTCAACATAATATTTTGATATATCATGTTTTATATCAAAATTTAAAGAAAGTAAAAATATTTTGATATATCATGTTTTATGTCATAATTAGATTCTCTATTTGACTTGATACAAAATTTAAAGAAAGTAAAAATATATGGTTGAAAGTGATACAGAAAGAGAGAAAGATTGTTAGCCATTTAAAATTTTCCACAAAAGAAAAGTAAGAGGTTTTTTTTGCGACGTTTAAAAAAAAGAAATAAAGATTCTACTTTGGAATGAAAGAAGTAACATTTATTCATTTAAAAATATATTTAATGATATGGCTATTTAACCAAAAAAGTCTAGAGGGAAAGATTTTTAGCAACAGAGAAAGAGAGAGTATATTTTTAGTACTCCATTAGAGCATCAACAACGGCAATTCATCCATTTGCCATGCCCTGCCACATCGGGTGAAAAGCCAACCTTACTCGCGTGGGAATATCATTTCTCCACGGTCAGCGAGTCTTGCGCGAGGCACTTTAAGCTTATTTTTTCTTTTTTTGATCCTTTTAAATTTGAGAAAGAATTCCTTAAAAAAGGAAAAACAAGAAAGAAAATGTTTTCTAGAAGGAAGTAGAACTACTTTTTACTCTCTTTGTCTCTTAATAGATTATAATTTTTTTCACCCCTTGATAACTTTTGTTTACTTATTATTTTTACTGATTTATTTAATCAAAAAAAATGTTGTGAGATCTTTTTTTGTAGAACTTTTGATGTAATTTTTAAATTTATAAGTTTTGTTTTTAATTCTTATACCAATCTTTAAATAAAATGATTTTTAAAAACAAAGAGTTTTTGCATCATAATTCTAAAATAATAATCTAATTTTAGATGAAAGAATATATAAAAATATGGAGTAGATAACAAAAATATTTTTAATAATTAAAATATATATATATATATATATAAATTATTTATTTGAGTAAATAGAAATATTTTCATGATAAAAATATATAAGTAAAATAATTTTTAATAATTCAAATATGGCAAAAATATGAAAAAAAAATTAGTGATGAAAACAATGACTTGCCACTGCAAGGCATGTCACTCCACTCACGTGCCACTCGTTGACTGGACTGTTTTTTATTGGTTGAAATGTTCCACATGAGCGTGTGGCATTCTATTTTTGTCACACCATTTTTCATGCTCTTAGTTCAGGAATTACCTTTCCACTTTTTTATCTAGGAAATTTCTTCACATTTTGTTTTTTGACAAAAAAAAACACCAAAATATCTCTTTTACCTCAAGTCTATATATACCAAAAAACTTCAGGTTCTAAATAGAAAAACATACCGTACTTTGTATAAATCATATGGCCCATATTTCATTTTTCCTCACAATTGTTTGGGCAAGGGAAAAAGATTAAAATAAAAGTAAAAAATGAAAATATACCAAAACAAGAGTTCCATATTTTTATTCTTGAAATAGGAGTTAAAATGTATATACAGTGTCAATCATGACTATATATATTACCAAAAAGTATTGTGAAATGGCCATGACAATGTCACATTATCACAGTGCAAACTCCTATTTTGTGATAAAAACATGAAGCTCATATTTTAATTTTTTCTATATTTTAATTCTAGTTAGGATGATTTCTTTTTACTAAAACTAAATAAATAAAAATAGAGTAAATTCCATCCAATTAGAGTTAAATTTTCATATTTAGACCTTGTTATTTAGAAATGAAAAAAAAGAGATGGATGTTGGATAGAACAAAAAAAACAGGAAAAAACTAGAAGGAATTAAACTGGAAGAAACTCAAAGTTAAGAGTTTAAGCCTTAAAAAACAAGCGCTTAGTTTCTAATTATAAGATATCATATAAATGATTCTCAATTTTAGAAAAGTTTTCCTCAAGCTAGTGGTTCTTCATGGACTATGTGTAGAAACAATATTTTATCAAATTTGGGTCTAAATACAGAATATATTTAAAAAATTGAAGACTAATCATTAAATATCTTATAATTGAGGATTGAATATGAAAAACCACTTGTGATTGGGAATAATTTATAGAATTTACTTATTAAAACAATTGTATTATATAGGACTTTTTTTCAATAAAGCAACTATTGTAAGATGGGAAAAAGAATAAAAGGAAATCAATACTTTTTGAATGGGGGGAGATTGCGTGTCTTGGCAATTGTTACCGCTACCCCGTAATAGTGGTGACATGTTCAATGTTGGAATAACAACAAATCCAAACTCAACAAATACACCACCACGAAACGAAATTGTTGCTCATGTTCATTTTATGAATCTTAGTATCTAAGATTTATGTTCATTTTATGTATCTTAGTATATTGTTATAGTAAAAGAATGGAAGTTTTGCAAAAAATATAAATTTACTGGTCCATAAAAAGTATGAGAAGATTTACATTCCACGTATAGACTTTAGAACCACAGAAGAACAATTCTTTTGTTTAATAAATCACAATACCTAAATATATACTCTCCTATATATCCTTAATTAATCAATCAATGCCGGTGGACATTGCGCAGTTGGCAAAAACAGGAAGTGTCAAGGAAGTGGACCCGAGTTTGACTACGAACAACTATTCTAGTAGGCAATTATGCTAAGCATAGGGCCTCTGCACGTACCAAATGCATGCTCCGTTCCTTATCATCAATCTGCGATTAAAGTCTAATTTACATTCTCTCAATGGTCGTCCGACCATGTCTGAGAGGTTCTCGCGGATGGTAGTCATCTTTTTTTTAATTAATCAACCAATGAATGGAATAAGATCTTGTTCATATATAGTCCCTTGAGCCTTACAACACAAGTAACTACAGTACTCCCTACTTTTTTTAGACAAGTAAGATCTTGTTCATATATATGAGTGTGTGTAAAGATTCATTTTATATGGGGTTTATTGAAGTATTAAAAAAAATATGTCGGTAAAATTTAAAACCCAAATAAGTATTTTTGAAAATTTAGAACAATTTTGTAAATATTTTGAAGCGAATACTTGAGCACAATTTTTTACTGTAAACTTATTCTTCTATTATTTCTTTAATTAGTTGATTAGTTCATTTCTTGCTTCTTTGTACTCCCTCCGTTTGCAAAAAAGGTTCCTATTTTGACTTGGAGCCAAAATAAGGAAGTGTAAAATTATAGTTGACTTCCAATTTTGCCCCTGATGTGATGGGTAAATGTAAGATGTGATGGATTGATTATTAGAGAAAAAGTATGATGTGATAGGTAGGGTATGAAAAAGTAAGGGTAAAAGTGGTTTTTTAATAGAAAGAGGAAGTGTTTTGTTGGAAGTGAAAAAAATGAAAGAGGAAGTGTTTTAAAAAACGGAGGAAGTATGTTTTATAAACGGATTTAGTACGGCTAATATTTTATTTTTTATTTGCATCATCATTTTTGGAAAGCTAAGGTCCGTTTTTTTATTTTGTTTCTAAAACTAATCTGTTTAACTTTTTTTTCGAATTCTAAATGCTGATGTTGCATCATCATTTATTGATTTTTTGAATTAGTTTTTTATTTCAGTTTGTTTTAAAAAATTGATTTGTTTTATCTCTTAAAAACTGATCTATAAAATGATTCTCGGATCGCTTCGTAAATGAATCTTTTTCTGATTTTACTTCTTCCGTAAAAAAATTGATTTTTTGGTCCTAAATTATTACTCCCTCCGTCCTAAAACTTTTTTTCCAGTTTGGTTTACGATGTTTGACTGAAATTATTTTTAATTCAATTAATTTGATTATAGGTGTAAAATTAAAAAATAAAAATTATATATTTGAAAACGAGATCAAAAGTTCTACAAAATAGGAGATGACATGACTATATTATTTAGAAATTACCCTAAATAGGAATAAAACATAGGAAAAAGTACCAAAATAGAGTTTCATGTTTTTATTCCCGAAATAGAACTTCACACTGTGGTAATGGGACACTGTATATGTGCACATTACTACACTTTTTTGTAATGTACATGACCATTTCTGGTAATGTAAATGCATTTTAAATTTTATTTCGAGAATAAAAACATGGAAGTCCTATTTTGGTATATTTTTAATGTTTTAGTCTTACTTTAGTCTTTCTCCCTATATTATCTTATCAAATAACTAATAAAAATAGATAAAGAAAGTAATTAAAATTTGACCATATAAATAGTACTTCCCCCGTCCCTGAGTATTTGTTCACTTTTGACTTTTTTTGTCAAAATTTGTAAATTTTGACTTTAAATAAATATGATATTAGATATTGATACACAAATAGTTTTATTAGATTTATTATATAATATATTTTCAAATTATTACTTTATCTAATTAATATACAATATATATTTTATTTAATTATAGATCAAAAGTTGAAAACAGTTTGCTGAAAAAAGTCAAAACTACACAAATACTCAGGATCGGAGGTAGTAAATTGGAAAAAGTTTTAGGACAAAAGGAGTAAATTACACATGGTCTTCTAAAGTGATTGAGCGGCCCTAGACGGTGTGTGTTTTTATTGTAAAGGACGAGTCCCATCCCAAGGCTCTCCTTAGACCCGGCAGGACGGTCACTAAGAGGAGATAAATTGGACTTTAATCGCAGATTGATGGCAAAGAGTTGAACTTGCACCAGGTTATACTTCCAAAAACCCTATGCTTATTAACAAATTTGCCTTCCAGCATAGTTGTCAGGAATTGAACACGAGTCTTACCTTTGATACTCATTACTTTACCAACAACACAACGCCCACATCTCTTTTTATTTTAAATGTGAAAGTCGTGTTAATTGTTACCACCCGTACGCAACTACGCAAGTTCCCAAGTCCTGAAATGGATGGAACGTTGAACACAAGTACTTTGGAGTTATCCTAATTTCATAAATGAGAAACGATCATATCACCAAAAAGAAGTTAGAAAATTGTGAATTTGAACATGTCAATGGTGAATTTAAAGCTAAGAGGTTCAATAGATACTTGCAAAGCATGTACCCGAGTATAATTTTTGTACACTGGTAGCCACACACGGTTTAGAACGAAATTTTGTTCATTCTGTAAATTATTTTCAGTGTAAAGTTCTTAAATGAGTTTATGAAAATATATGTAATGCATTTTTTAACATTATAGACATTAAAATAAAAGTAAAATAAATAATTTAGCATTTAATATAATATTTGGTGATGAAAATGTTTACTCGGTATATAAATTCAAAAGTGAACACATCAAAGTCTTTTTTAAATCCATATTTTTTGAAAGCCTCTGAGGAATACAACATGTTTGGTGTGGTTGAAAGAATTTTCATTATTATTTAAAACTAATATTTTTAACTCTCTCTTGGTTTTCACTCGTGAAACAATAACATAAAGATGACTATGAGTGAACTTCAACTTAGCTAAAAATAATTCAACAAATGACAATGCTTCATATTAACTTTTGTTCATAATCATAGCAAAACATAAAATCTTCATTGCGGTATATCTTCCTTTGGTCTTTATTCATTATAGATATTTATATACGACAACTTTTCTTTGTCATATTTCAATTCTTCTACCAAAAATTATTTTTAAATCTATTAAGTGGATTATCATATCGAAATGACAAATCACTAAATTTCTATAAGGATCGTTTATTTGAATTAATTAACTTTTTAATCTCAATCAAATATAAACTCTTTAGATCTTCTTGGAAAATAATAAATTTTGTAAAAAATGGTTAAAAGGAGACTAAATTATTTCAACCTATATCTTAATTCTAGAGTTTTGTATACATATCAGGCATTTCATATTAATCTTTATATAAATAATAAAAACAACATTTTTATAGAAATACCTTGATTATGCAATATTCTTCTTCGGTCAAGTCTAATCTAATCAACCACCATGAGCTTCAATGGTTTTTTCCAAATAACTTAGAGACGATTCATGGTATTTGTCACTTATAGTGTGACTAACAATTTTCTTGGCTGATTTTGAGATCCTAGCTCAGTAGTCTAGCTCTTTTATACTTTCAATAAATTCTTTATCATTGTTTAATAACCTCAATGTTTCACATGCATTCTCATATGAGTTTTGTACAACATTGTTATACTCCCTCCGTCCCACAAAATATTACACATTTTGAATAGTATTTGGTCAAACAATTACACGCTTTGGCAGGCGGCGGTCAACGTCAAAATCTAGTCAACACCCCTTCATTTGATTTTATTTTTTTCAAAAAAAAATTCAAAATGTTGAAAAAATATGGCAAGCTTTGCATCATCTGACCATAGCATGTCTATATATATATATATATATATATATATATATATATATATATATATATATATATATATTTTAAGGCAATGAAAATTGTATTAATCAAAACGAAAGGAGGGTACAAAGTCATGCGCAAGCGCAGATCTTACATTAATAGGGAGACTAGAAACATATTTGTATTCAATAAAAACAATGTCTTTAATTCTATCTTCCTTTGCCAAGAGGTCAGCAACTCGATTAGCTTGTCTCAAAGTATGACGTATTTCCAGCTTGTGTTGTTGGATTAATCTGCTCAAAACATCGGTGGGAAACATGGAGAATGGGTGGGCAGTTAATTTAGTTGTACGTACATAGATCTCCCATGCATCCGTTTCAATAATGAAGTTTGCCGTGAGTCTAACTGCCCATTGCACAACTCTAATCAGGGCTTGAACTTCAGCAATATATGATGTTCCTGCTGTAATTGAGAAGCTGGCTGCATGGATGAAGTTGCCTTTATCATCTCTAAGTATACAAGCTCCTCTTTGGTGGGATGGAGTGTAGGAAGCATCCACATTAAGTTTGAGCCTTCCACTAGGAGAGGCCAGCCATTTCACCATACGAATAAGTTTCATAGTGCGAAAGGGAGGGCTGATATTGTTGGATATAAGCCAATCATCTCTAGTTCGAAAAGCCTTGGGACATTTGGCCAGTAACCACTGCCTAGTGTAGTTAGCTATATTGTTGATTACCTGAGCAGGGTTCCAAGCACCGTCATTGTGGATAATTATATTTATTTGCTTCCAAATATGCCAGGAAATGATGGATGGAAGATGTTTCCGAATGAAACCACCAATAGTATTATTACCTCTAAGCCACCAGTTCATGAAGAATTGGTTATTAAAAGAGAAGTACCATGGATGATGCCCAATGTAGCTGAAAAATGCCTCCAAATAGGTTGAACCTGTTGACACTCTAAGAGACAATGACTTGCTGTGTATGGACCATTGTGGCACAAGAAGCAAACTGAGGGAAGATGAAAACCAAGTCTCTCTAAGTTCTCAGGGATGGGCAGAGCTTTCTTGAATAATTTCCAGAGGAAAATGCTAACTTTAGGGTTTTGCCCTTTGCCCCATATGTACATGAAAGATCTACATGTAGGACGAGAGACTCTACAAATGTCATAAGCACTAGATAAACTAAAGAGTTTATCAGAGGTTCGTTCCCAATTCAAGATTCCCTCCTCATTTTCAGTAGTGTTCGCCACACCAATCTCATCAATTTCAACAATACGCTTCCAGACGGGGGAGTCAATAATATGGGCTTCCATTTCACCATCTCGTTCATATTTTGCGTGCATAAATTTAGCCCAAAGGCTAGTGTTGCTGTGGTAATTCCACCAGAGTTTTAAACTGAAAGAGTCTTGTAAGGAGCTAAGGTCTCTGATCCCCAAACCACCTTCTTCTTTTGGTGTACAGATGTCCTCCCACTTAACCCAATGGTGCTTGCTTTTCCACCAGAATCTGGACATTTTCTGTTTAAGAATGTTTTGGACTGACTTGTGGAGGGTGCTGGAGCCTAAGAAGAATATAGGCAGAGTATTCAAGACATGATTAATCAGTATGAGTCTACCAGCTTGATCAAGTTGCTTAAACTGCCAGCTTCCAAGCTTTCTGTCAAAAGCAGTGATCAATTGATTACAATGCTGAGTTCTGGCGATGCCCTTATCAATTGATATTCCAAGATAGGTGAAAGGAAGTTTTTTATGTTGCATGTCCAGTTCTGCAATCTTCCTGCTGTTTTGAAATTTGCCCACAAAGAAGCTTGATTTTTGTTTGTTGATATTCTGGCCAGAGCATTCTTGGTAAGTTTTGAGGAAAAACTTGAGATTGACAAGTGATCTGCAGCTGCTGTTACAAAAGATGATGATGTCATCAGCATAAGATAAGTGAGATATAGGAATGGAGTTATTACCACAGTTGTATCTTCCAATGACACCATGATTCATGAGCTTGTTAAGGTTTTTGGAGAAGGCCTCATTTGCAATAATAAAGAGTAAAGGAGATAATGGATCCCCTTGTTTAATACCCCTAGTCTGACTGAAGAAGCCACATGGTTTTCCATTGACAACCACTGAGTATTTGGAAGAGTTCATCAAGTTATGAATAATGTGGATGAATCTGTTGGAGAAACCAAATCTCAAGAGTACATCAAATAGAAAGCTCCACTTCAGTTTGTCAAAAGCCTTAGACAAGTCCAATTTAACAATGATATTTCCACCCCAAGCCTTTCTATCAAGATTGTGAACCATTTCCTTTGTGAGAAGTATCTGTTCACTAATATCTTTGCCCATCATGTATGCACTCTGTTCTTCTGAGATGAGGATGGGTAATAACTTAGACAGCCTGTTTGCAAGACATTTTGAGGCCAGTTTGATTGCCACAGTGAACAAGCAAATAGGTCTAAAGTCATGTACACTGCTGGGATTATCCACCTTGGGAATGAGGACAAGGTTGGATGAAGTGGCAGCATCAGGTAATGGAGTTCCCAACCAGACTTCCTTCTTGGCAGGCTGAGATAAGTTCCTTTTTTATGATGTCCCAGCAGTGCTTAAAGAAGAAAACATTGTAACCATCTGGTCCAGCAGCTGAATTAGGATCCATTCACCACTTTGAACACCAAAATTCACCATTTTTTTAAATTTTAAAAATAAAAAAAATAATTAAAAAAATTGTAACACCGGTCAATCACCAGTCAGCGGTGGCAACTTAATCGCGGCTGGGGGTGGCGGCGATCGCCGGCGGTCAGCGGTGGAGACGACGACGGCGGTGGTAGGGGTGGTCAAAGCCGTCAGTGGTCAATATGCTGTCGGACGATCGATCACCGTGAACATACACCGCGATGTGCTCGGTCGGAAAAGGAAGAGCTCGGTTTTGAGAACCTTAGAAGTTAGAAATACCATGATACAATTTGATCATTATTGGTCGTATTGAATATCGAAGGATACATCCATATATATAGGGATTTTAATTAAATATTCTAGTTCAAGTAAGAAAAGAATTATAGTAACAATACAATAAGAAAATAATACAATAAGAAAAGTAATTAATAATAATATTCTATTTTCTAACATATCTAGTATTCCTAATAAGAATCTTATAATTTCTTAAATAGCAAAAAGAACATGAAACATTTTTATTACTGACTTGTATATAACATTATAATAGTACGAAGTAATTATTAGTAAATTATATGAAGCATTATATAATGTAACACAAATTAGTTGTATACGAAATATTATGTAAAAATAAAAAACATTACCATTATTGTTCAAATTTATTAAATTTATTTAATTTAATCTAAAGGGATCTTATTTGATTAGTTTGGATTTGAGTTGATTAGATCTGATTTGATTTTTAGTCTCATTTGATCTGATTTTAATAAGCATGTATAAATAATAAGCTAAAAAATAAATTTTATAGAATGTACCTTTCTGAGATAAAACATAAAAAAATCATCTCGGATATAAAATGAATAACGAAAATAGAAGCTGAAAGAAGTTTGTCTCTGTAAATACTGAACATGTAATTTAATTTGCATCCGATAGAGTATATTTTATACGCCCTCGGTCACAGTTTTAATGGGAAAAAGGACTAAAATAAAAGTAAAATATTAAAAGTATATAAAAATAGAAGTTCCATGTTTTTATTTCCAAAACAAGAGTTAAAATAAATTTATATTACCAATCATGACCATGTACATTATCAAAAATTATAGAAAAATGTACGCGTACACTGCCACAATACCACAGTGCGAACTTTTATTTAAGGAATAAAAACATGGAATTTCTATTTTAGTACGTTCTCTATGTTTTACTTCTATTTAGAGTGATTTCTTTTTTTTATTATATTTTTTCTCTCATCTCTTGATAACTTTTGTTTATTTTTGTATTTTCATTGATTATTTGCTAAAATAAAATATTATTATCACCTTTTATTTTGTAGATTTTTTGACATAGTTTTTGAATATGTATTTTTTATTTTTTATTGATATAACAATTTATAATTAAAATAATTTTAAAATATATAAAAATTTACCCCGTAAATCTCAATTTATAATCAAATTTGGGAGGGAGAGAGTAGCATATACAAGTTCCCTTGGAGATGTAGTCAAGGAGATTTCTTCAAATTAAAGAATACTAACACTCTGTATGGTTCAAGGAATTTGAAAGAAAAAAGAAAAGAAAATGAAATGGAAAATAGATTTTCTTGTTTGGTTAGAGAGGAAAAGAAAGAAAAAAAGGAAGGAAAAGAAAATGAAAAGACAAAATATACTTAGAGAAAGAAAATCAAATTCTTCTCATTTTGGTGAGAAAATTGAGAAAAAAATTATTTTCTTTTCTTTTCTTTCCAAATTGTAACAAAAAGTACAATTTTGGCAAGAAGATCAAACAACACTTTTAATAATACTTTATTTCAACACAATTATGTACTTCTTAAAAATGAATAGTAAGGGTCCATTTGGTATACGGAATTAATGGAATTGGAATTGAATTGGAATTGAACTTCCATCAGATTCAATTTCATGAAATTGAATTCACCAATTCCAATTCAATTTTTGCATTGTTAATTCCAAATCCACATAATTTGTGTGCTACCAAACATTAAAATTTGAATTGAAGTCCTTAATTTCAATTCCATAATTTGAATTTCGTGTACTAAACGGGGCCTAAAAGGAATAAAAAGTATACAGAGCATAAGAGTACAATGATTTATTCTCAATAAAAAAATATCTACGGTATCACTTAAATAAAATAAATTGAAATTACACTGAACCGTTCTCCTCGGGTTCCACAATCACCCACTCCACTGAACCGCCAAACCAATGTAACCAAACATAGAAAAAAATTACTCCCTCTGTCTCAAGACTATTTACATTCACATGGTCAAACTATAATTACTTTTTTTACCTCGTTTCGTTAGTTATTTGATAAAATAACATAGTCATGTCACCTCTTGATTTATAGACCTTTCGATAGAATTTTAAGATATATAATTTTTATTTTTTAATTTTACACCTAAAATCTAATAAAATGAATTGAAAATACTTTCAGTCAAACCTCGTAAACTGAACTGAAAAAATCATTTTAGGACGGAGAGAGTACTACGTAAAGTACATAAAGACATACTCCATACGTTCCTTTTGAATCTTTCCAATAAACTTTTAGAAAAAGACTAAAGTAGGAATAAAACATTGAAAATATATCAAAATAAAAGTTTCGTGTTATTATTCTCGAAATAGAAGTGAAAATACATCTACAGTGCCAGTCATGACCATATAAATTACTAAAAAATATTGTAAAATGTCTATATGCAGTGTCATATTACCATAATGCAAACACCTATTTTGAAATAAAAATATAGACCTTCAATTTGATACATTTTCAATATTCTACTTCAATTTTGCGTGATTTCTTTTCACATTATTCAACACAAAAAATACTCCGTAACATTTTTTATAAGCCATATAAATTTCAATGTATTTTAAAATAAACTTAATAATATTAAATTTATATTTGAATTCAATGTATTTTTGTCTAATTTGTAGTTAAAATTTTAAAAAATTAACCTTGAAAATCAAATCAAGAAGATTCAAAATTAGAATCAAAATATAACCCATTCTAGTCTTATCTTTTTCTCGATTACTGTTGTTATTCAAAGAGTAATGTGAAAATGAACAACTGTAGGAACACCACTCCTTTGAAATACAGAGACCAAACAATTTCCCTGGGGACCAGACAACGCATATTTTCATCATTTTGAAGAAAATAATGGCACCAAAAATTCAACATTCGTACTGAAAAAAAGGGATGCCTTTTAGCACTTAAATAATTGTCCTTTTTGACTTCTTATTGAATTCCCAATAATACTTTTGAAATTTTGATTACAATGGAGGCCATAGAATCTTTAACAAAAAAACCCTCCATGTCTATAACCTCTCCATTCCACTAGTTTATAGTAATCATAATTCTATAGAAGAACTTAAACATAAACTTCAAACACTTGTTGCTGATAACCCATTGATCTTCAAGCCATCTTCTTCGAACCCGTAAGCTGTGGATCAGTCTGATAGAAAACAACCTCCCCTTCGTCGCTCACGTAGTGATCCTCGCTCATGCTCTTAAACAGAACAGGAAGAAGATGCAATGGGATGAGCCCAGATTTCTTTGGCTCTCTGTAATACTTCCCCAGCACCGGGCTTGCAGCTTTCGTCTGCACAAAGAAAGATAACAAACAGCAAGACTTAGCCAAGAAAACAGTGAAGGCTACAGATTGATGAATGGAAGAAAGATGAAGAAGAGGGCAATACGGCTTCGATCAAGTGATAGTGAGGAATCTGGGGAAACAGATGGTGGATAACGTGTGTGCCAATGTCATGATGAATGTTGTTGAAGATTCCGTAGTCGCGGTCTATTGTTGTCAGCCCTCCCCTCAAATATGACCATTCCTGCATCACAATGTACATCTCAAGCTCTCACCATTGTTTAATTTCAAGACATTTTATATGAACCAGTGCCAACTTATATAGAGAGAGTTTGGGAAGATGAGAACCTTGCCGCGATACCATGGAAGCTTTTTGTCATAGCCATGGTGATGCAAGTAGGTGACAAGATCCAACCACATCACAAATATCTGAGCAAAATAATATAATGTGAATCATTTAGGAAAAACTCTACTAATGGCATAATTATGAGATTGTGAGGGAACAAAGATGGCAGTGGGTGGGTAACTGACCAAAAGGGGAATGCCATAGAGCTTGAACACTAGAAGAGGGCAAAACACTGTTGAGAGGTAGAGGATGAGAGCAGCCATTAGTGACCAGCAAGCAGTTGAAATGGCAATGCACGTTCTCTCTTCAGGCTGGAACAAGCCACTGTATGGGCTGAAATGAGATCCAGTTTTCCCTGGAGATCTCCATATCTGAGATCCAATTCAAAATTCATGGCTACAATTATTTATACTTTTCTTTTTGGAATGAAAAGGATACAAAAGTAAAATTTGCACTAAAAACTTGACATTTGTGTCTCACCAAGTATACAGGATAGGCAAGCAAAGGAAATGGGATCTTGAATCTGAAAAACTTAGTGGAGTCATCCAGCTTCTTGTACAAACTCTCAGTTAACTGCAATTTGATTGGGGGGAAACCCCAATTAATGAATAAAAAAACAAACAAAGGAAAACAAGATTGGGAATTTAACAAAATTGAGGGGAATTACAGGAACCCAAGACTCATCATGTTCAACATTTCCATGATTCTGGTGGTGGGTTCGGTGGCTAATCCTCCTGCATTAATTGCAAAGAATAAAAAAAATCAAAACTTGATCATTGAAAAGTACAAATGGAATTAAAAAACAAAACTGTCAGAGAGCGATAGGGTGCAAGAATCAAGAAACCCACCATCCATTGTATGGTACAAGTATGAAGGAGTGGAGAATGTGGCCAACAACGCTGTTGAGCAGAGCACTATCAGAGAAACTCCCATGCCCACTGCAATAACACAGCCGTACAAAAGGTAAATAAATCATTCAAAAACAATTTTTTTTTATTTAAAAAGTGAATTATAATTACAACAAGAAAAAGAATATACTCCGTAATAATCAACTGGTGCAATTATTAATATTCTTCTGATAAGAAAAAGAAAAGAAAAGTAGGGTTGCAAGTGGAGAAAGATACCAATCATGGCCAAGGACAAAGATGGCCCAAAACATAGTGCCCTGAGCAGCCCAATAAAGGGGCCAAAAAACCCAAGAATCAAGATGAACCACTAAGGCCATCAAGAAAGCCACTACCAAAAAGTCCCTCAAAACATAGCTCAAAGATCTCCATGGATTCTTCACAAAGCAATGCTTCGGAATGGCTGCCCTAATCTCACCAATCCTAAACGGCGGCGGCGCACTCGGGTCAAATTCCATCTCTGCCCCTCCCTTCTTCCCCTCCTCCGCCCCGATGCCCACCGCCGGAAAAGCTCCCACCACATCATCTTCACTCGCTCCCAATGAACCCATTCTTCAACCAATTCCGATTGATCCTGCAAACAAATCAGTAAAAAATCGAATTTTGAAAAAAAAGAAGGACAAGAGAACCTGAAAAAGAAAAAAAAGGGGCAAACAGTTCAAAGTGGTTAATCACATGCAAAGCATATGAACCAAAAAGAGAGAATCCCAAACGGCTAATTGGCTCCCAGAGTTTCTGAATTAAAAAAGGGAAGAATATTTTAAAAATTTCCGAACTTTAGGGAGAAAAACAAATGCGGTGATTCATATGACGCATAACATATCTCCATCTCCTTGTTTCTTCATGACGAATGAAGATCTGGGATTCAAATCTAGAAGAAGAAGGAGAAGAAGGTTAAAAACCCAGAAATGACGATTTGTTTGAAGAACAAATTTGGGTTTGAAAATTGAGCGCCCTTTGGTATTCAATGTGCAATGCATTGTTAGGAAAGGTAAGCAGAGGAGACGAAGAGAAAAGAGGGTAGAAACAGAGGAGAGAAAATAAAAGAAGAAGAAGAAGAAGAAGAAGAAGAAGAAGAAGAAAGAGAGTTAATTTACCTGCAAAGAAGAGTGCTAGAAATGAGCAAGAGACATGAAGGGATGCATGTATTGTATGCCTATTTATAGGGGACTAATAATACACCAAAGACTACTCGTAATCCTCATAAATATACTCACTTCCATCGTTCCAACTTCCAAATATGGAGTAATTAAGTGGCAAATGTATTTTCTAAATTGTGCTTTTTTGGTACTCCGCATTAAACATTTTTTATTAAAGTTATTTTTAATTTAATGTATTTAAGGATTAGTATAGAAATATTTGCACGAAATAGCACTAAAATTTAAATCATTTCCCTAAATAGCACTTAAATTGTTTTATTCTCTAAATAGCACTTAATAATGTCTATAATGTCCAGTGATGGTGAATATTTGTTTGAGTAATGACATACATAATGACTAAAAGTACTAGATTGGGAAGGAAAACACATGTGGTGCTATTTAGAAAAAGTCATTATGTTTTAGTGCTATTTAAGTAAATTCCTCATTAGTATAACTCTATTAAAAAAAGATTATTTTTAACGAATAAGTAATACTCCTTCTGGTCCTAAAACGCTTTAATTTTTAACTTTTTTGGTCAAACAGTGACATTCTTAAACTATAAATTAAATGTGATCTAAATAAATAAATGATATAGAAATTTGATATATCAAACTATATACTAAGATGAACCCAATTAAATTTAATTAATATTATAAATAAATATACTTTTCTTACAATTTGTGGTCAGAGTGTGTCACTGCTTGACCAAAAAAATCAAAACATGAAATTTTTTTAGGACGAGAGTGAGTAGATTAATTTTTTTTAATGGGACCGAAGGAATATTTAATATTATGTATGGATAGGCCAATGCCGCAACCGGGGGATCCCATGTAACCCGAGGGTAGCGAAAACCTACGCAACAAAAGAGAGGGAGAACTTCCTAGATAAAATTAAAAACTATGAAAATACCAAAATAGAAGTAATAAGTCTTTTATGATCAAAATAAAACTTTACATTGTCATTCCTACACCGTCACATTCACCACATTGTCATATTGTAGATGTCACACTGTCATCTGTCGCTGTTGGCCACCAGAGTGACAGCGCAGATCACTGACAGTTGACTGATCACACTGGCATATTACACTAAATTTAAACTCTATTTAACAGATTTGTGTTTTGATGGAATATGTTTGTGATTGACTTTGAATTATTTAAATTTATTATTGCTGAAGTTTTTGCATTACTGAAGTGTTTGTATACCCCTGAATGAAAGGAAACATTGTTAAGGAAAAAAAGAGTTTTGTCCTGAAAACAGCCATATGTTGTTCCTAAATCTTGTGTATTCGCGACAGACGACACATTCCGTTGCAAAGAACCAAATCAGATACGCAGTCGCAAATCCCGTCGCAGCCTGCGATAGATTTCAAATTCTGTCGCAAATATTGAAGTGAAGAACCTGTTGCAGGTTCTATCGTAATTTTGTGACAGAACTATTCTGTCACAAACAAATGCCACAACATTTTTGCGACAAAAAAAATTGTCGTACCTCCGTCGCAATTCAATGATCTGCGACCAAACTAAGCTATTTGCGATAGAAACTGTCCGTAGCAGATAACACCAAATCTTGTAGTGTACAAACACTCCCTACACTTATAATTAATTGTGTTAGAATAATAGAATAATAAGTTTACATGAAACAAATGATACTAATGAGTATATATAAGAAGCAATTCTAGTAAAAGTAGAATTTAACTCAATAATAGAAGCTAACTATTAAGCAACACTACTATATTTAATACTATTGTTATTATTGTGTAATATTCTTCCTCGAGCTGAGCTTGGACACTAGGTGGGAATTGGAAACCCTGAGAATGGAGAAGGCTGACGTGTGTTGGTCACTGCTCAGGTCAAAGAAAAGAGAGAAGTATGACGGGCCCTGGTAGCTGCTAACATCGAAGAAGAAGATAAAGGCTAAAAAAGGTGCATGTTTGTCTAAAGATTCTTGACATACTTTGTCTTTTTCTTGAATTCGGACAATACTCTATTTCTTTTCTCAATAGTGAGAATATTTTATGAGTTTTTTAAAAAGATGAGTTGTTGAGGTATTTCTTCCTCTTCCTCTATTTCCCTTCTTGGTTTTGCTTTCGTTTTGATTTACTTTAATTTTTTATTGTTTCTATAGATAAGAGATTGTTGATTTAAAATGAATGATTTGAGATAGAAAAACGTGAACTAAGTATACGTGATTTAGAAAAAGATCTATTGTGAGATTTTCATTTGGTAACATGAGGTGAGAGTTTCCTATCTGTCAAGAAGAGGATTGAATTGGTTTTGCGCAACTTTTGGATTCATTCGGAGAGGCCATGATTTTGGATCTCGCAAGTTTGGTCGGTAGTGGCGGAGATCAACCAGCTACTCTTGCTTCCCATAGTGTAATTGAATGCTTCAAAAATTTTGGAAAGAAAAGAAATTTTGTACTAGGGAAAGGTATTTTTTTTGTAAAGGGGATCACGAAAGAAAGATTGAAAAATGGGAAGAAAAGAACAAGGAAGACAATGTCCCGACGGGCGGCTAATGGCAGCACCGGAGCGACAACAACATTTTAGGCCATCAAGAGCGGCGACTAGGGCGGGACACGGTACCGGTTCGGTACCGTTACCGGCGCCGGTACCGGCGGTACCTGCAACCGTCCTCGTCGGCCGTTTCGTCACCTGGTACCAGGAACCGGTACCGGCACCACCCCACTCGGTACCGGTTCCGGTGCCAACATTTCCGTCCTGGAACCGGCGGTACCGGTACCGGTTCCGGTACCGTACCGTGTAATTTTTTTTTTCTCTTTTCCGGCAGTCCAACCATCGCAGAAGAAGAAGAGAACGGAGTACCGCAGAAGAAGAAGAGAACGGAGTACCGCAGAAGAAATTGGTCCGCAGAAGAAGAAGAAGAGAACGGAGTACCAATTTCTCAAAAAAAGAAGAAGAAGAGAACGGAATACCGCAGAAGAAATTGGTCCGCAGAAGAAGAAGAAGAGAACGGAGTACAAATTTCTCAAAAAAAGAAGAAGAAGAGAACGGAGTACCGCAGAAGAAATTGGTCCGCAGAAATAACACATGCTCTCATCGCCATCATCGGCTTGTTCCGCAGCAATAGCCATTGGAGTCGGCGACTGGAAACCGTATAAGAAATTGGTGGCCGGTACGGTACCGGAACCGCCGATCCGGGTACCGGAACCAGTACCGGCGGCCGGTCCGGTCTCTGTACCGGTACCAAGGGGTGGCGGTACCGGAACCGGCGGTTCCGGAACCGGAACCGTACCGTGTCCACTCCTAGCGGCGACTCTGATACCATGTTGGAATAATAGAATAATAAATTTACTTGAAATAATGAAAGATACAAGAGAGTATATGTAAGAAGCTCACTAATAAGTAAACACTAATATAATTAATAGTATTATTATTATTGTCTAACAAATTGTCTTACTTTTTTAGTCCGTCCTAAAATAATTGCCGTATTTTAGTATTTCTTGACTTACCTAACATAATACGGAGTAAATACGTAGCCACTTTTTATTTCTTCTAAATAAAATTGTAGTTTTCAACACTTTTCTCAAATTCGGTGAAGTCAAACAACGAAGAGGGTATATACGATAGAAATTTATTTGCTTGGTTTACAACCTTAGTTAAAGATAAAGTTGATTAATCACATCATTGAATATCTTTATCATGAAAGTACACACTCCACGGTGTGACCACACAAAGAGCACAAACAACTAGACATGATTTCAATCGTAACATGATAGACACCATTCCATTGAGAGGAAGTGAGGAACAACAAGCAATCATCTTTTCTTGAACCCATATTTTTTACGCTCGTAGAATAGATCGGTTTTGGCACTTCCAAGATTGACAATTTTGGGACACCCGTCGCGGTCCTTCTCCTGCTGTGTACACTCTTTACAGTAGTATGCATCAGAGATTCCAACCCCTCCACAGATTACGCATCGACCCTGGAAAGAACCGTAGTTGCATTCATCACAGACTCGCACGAGTGTGCAAGGCCGCACGTATGAATCACATATAACACACTTCCCATCGCATTTCTCACATAGTCGTCCAATGGCTATCCCTGGCTGCTTCCGGCACATGATCAGATCAGGGTGGTGCTTGGCCATTGTTGCAGCAAGTCTGTTTTATATCTAGAGAAAATACCAAAATCGTTATGTCGTTAATCATGATAAAGAATGAAAAACAAAAACATAGTATATCTCTGAAGAAATAGAGAAAAAAAATCGAAGAAAGTATGAGAACCAGCAAGTAATAAACAATTTTTGAAGGTTAAATGCGTTAAATCTGTAAGGGGAACACACAAACTCAAGAACGTATGCAAAACTATATTAGAGGAATAGCGCTCCTCCACAAAGGCAAAGTCAAGCCATTGATACCCTGCTGCAGAGAGAAGAGTCAATATACTAGCAGAAAACTGATTGAAGTGCAAATTTTCTTTAGAGGTCAGTCGGAGGTCACTCAAAGCCACAAGGAGCTCAATGTCTCAACGTAGCAACGACTTGTCATTGAGTCCCCTCTTTAGATAGAAGACACAGTAAGATAAAAGAGATCATAACATTGATACATTGCAATTGACCATGTCTACTGAAAAAGGCAAATGTTTTGACTAAATTTCCCATATAGTATGCAACTACCATCATGCCACCATCTAAAACAAATTCAAGGTCCAAGATTCGCCCCTTAATTCTTATGTTGCTTCCAATGGCAAAGCCAAGAACTTCACCAGGCTGGGGTTGGTCGGTGGAGGGGCTTGAATGGTAAATGAATTACGAAGTAGTTTTAAAATCAACATGCTTTGAATTCAAAACCATTTGAATAACAAATACTCCCTCCGTCCCATATCTCTCTTCTCACTTTCTTGTTTGGGCCGTCCCACTTGATTCTTCTCGTTTCCTTATTTGGTATATAATTTCTCCCAAAAAGACTCTTTTACCCTTCTTTTCTGCTTCTTTCTTTGACCATCCTTTTCTTCTCTCTTTTCCATTTCTTTTTCCCTCCATCCCCCGCACCCCCAACTTTTTTTTTCTTCTTCTTAATTAGACATCCACTCAATTTTTCTTCACTTTCTTCCTGCTACTTCGGTTCCTCCCCCCCATCCCCTTGTTTCTTGTTTTTTTCTTCTAAAGCAGCTCGAGATTTGGTGTTTGTCCAAGCCTCCTCTGGAATAAAAAACAGATATGGACATGATACGGGTTAAAACAGTGATCTCACACTGGTCAAATGGGGGATCGGTGTGGGGTTTATATAGCCAAGGGTTCTGCCACCTTAATAGCTAGCTTTTGAGGTGTGGCTCTCCCTTGTGTTGTATCTATGGTATCAGTGTGAACTTGGAGTGGTGGCCTACGGAGTGGTGGCCTGGTGAAACCAGCCGTGACCAACGAGGACGTTGGGCCTTATGGGGGGGCGAATGATACGGGCTAAAATAACGATCCCACACCGGTCAAATGGGGGATTGGTGTGCGATTTATATGTCCAAGGGTTCTCCCACCTTAATAGCTAGCTTTTGAGGTGTAGCTCCCTTGTGCTGTATCAATGGATCTGTTTCAAGAACCAAGAGGACTTCCTGCATCAAGAGAAGTCTTGGATCACACAATACCACTACAATCTAATGCCACTAATGTTAACATAATGACTTACAGAAATCCCATCAAACAAAAGAATATCATTGAGCAGTTGGTTAAGGATATGGAGGATAGTGGAATAATACAACATAGTTGCAGCCCCTATGCCTCGCCAGTGGTCTTGGTAGGGAAGAAAGATATTTCATTCCTAATTTCTCTCTTTTCCTCTCGTAACAACTTTCTCTCTCTTTTTCGTTATTGCGTCTCGGAGACTTCTTCTTCCAAAAGATCTCCCACGCTGCAACATTGGTATCATAGCTACGTTCCTAATCGTGACCTAGCGGGAACAAGGCAGAAGATGGAGCAAATGACGACACTTGAAGAAACTCTTAAAGCCCTAATCGAGCCTCAGAAGGTGTTCGCGATACAAATGGAGCAAATCAAGGCAATCACACAAGGTGAGTCGTCTCCAACACCTGGAAATCATGAAAAGAAGTTGGCAATCACAGGCAATTGCACTTCAATCCAAAGGTAGAGTTTCCTCTATTCAATGGATCTAACGTGAGAATTTAGATTAAGAGATGTGTGAAGTATTTTATGTTATGCCAAATCCTTAAAGTGAAGAAAGTTGATCTCGCCTCGTTATACATGACTGGAAAGGCTAAGGTATGGTACAGTAGCTATAGTATGGGGCGAAACAATATTATATGGGAAGATTTTGTGGTGGATTTGAGTGCCATGTTTAAGGATGAGATTGGATCTAAAAATGTGGAAGAGTTTTATAAGTTGTAACAAGCAGGGAGTCTAGAGGATTATGTTGATAAATTTGAAGAGTTGACGGCATTTATGTTGATGAAGAACCCTCAACTTCCGGCTGACCACTTCTTAGACGGTTTCATTGGAGGTCTCAAACCTCACCTTAAAACCAACGTGAGGGCTTTCAAACCTAGATCCCTGGCTAAAGCTATTGAGTATGCTAGATGCCAAGAAGAACCTGTGCAGGCTATTAAGGTGGTACTAAGGCAGAGCAAGTAAGCCTATGTTCAATAGCAGCCAGGGCTTGTTACCTACTCCTAACACTACTAAACCATCCAATCCCTTGCATGTGGTGAACCAGCCCAAATTCATACCTACAGCAGTGAGAGCAGAAAAGATAGCTAAAGGATTGTGCTATTATTGTGACAAACCATTCGAAAAGGGGCATAAGTGTTCAAGCAAAGGGACTCAATTGTTTTTGGTTGAAGTTGATGGTGAAAGAGAGGCAGATGATGACTCAAAATGTGGGGATACAGGCTGTCACATGGAGTTACCCAACCCCTTTATATCTGTTAGTGCCATTAGTGGTAATCAGGGATTTCAAACAACGAGGGTTACAGGTTATCATGGCCAGAAACCTTTGCATATCCTCATAGACTCTGGAAGCCCACACAACTTCTTGGACATTTCCTTGGCTAAGAAGTTAGGTTGCAAGCTGGAACCTATTGCAACCAAAGCAGTAATAGTGGCTGATGGTAATCAACTCCAATGTGTCTATGTGTGCAACAAGTTTGAATGGAAACTTCATAGGGCTATGTTTAAATCTGATGTGTTGGTCATTCCTTTGGGAGGATGTGATATGGTGTTGGGTATACAATGGTTAAGGAACTAGAAGATGTGAAATGGGACTTCAGCAACTTGGAAATGGAGTTCTCATATAATGGCAACAAACAGGTCTTAAGAAGCATGAAACAAACATGTTTCAGTAGTTGGATATAGCCACCAACTCACAAAAGTAATAAGCAGCTCTAGTCAGATATGTTTGCTGCAGGTCACCCCTTATACAATGGAGGGCCAATCCACTTCCATGGCTATTGACTCATGACGTTTCCACAGATATACAAGTAATACTGTTGGAGTATGAGGATCTGTTTCAAGAACCAAGAGGTCTTACTCCATCAAGAGGAGTTTTGGATCACACAATACCACTACAATCTAATGCCACTCTTGTTAAAATAAGGCCTTATAGATATCCCATCAAACAAAAGGATATCATTGAGCAATTAGTTAAGCATATGGAGGATAGTGGAACAATACAACATAGTTACAGCCCCAATGCCTTACCGGTGGTCTTGCTAGGGAAGAAAGATATTTCATTCCTAGTTTCTCTCTTTTCCTCTTGTAACAACTTTCTCTCTCCTGTTCGTTATTGCGCCTCGGAGACTTCTTCTTCCAAAAGATCTCCCATGCTGCAACAGGACATTGGCGAGGGGACAAAGGCGGCGGAGCCCATGGCAAAGTGGGTCGGCAACACAGAGCAATAACCCTAGACTTATATTTGGTTTCCTCAGTGTCTTCTTCTCTTCATCTTTTCAAATCTTTCCTCTTGAATTTCTTTGATGAAGATGAAAGATTTGTAATGGAGGGGAGAGGGGCTGATGTTGAAGAGATTGATTTTAAAATTCTTGATTTTGTAGATCTGAAACTTAAATTTTGATTTTTTATCATTTGGATTTTATGAGGTTGAAAAAGAGGTAGACACATGGGCGGAGGGGTATGCTAAAGAGATGAAGATGAAAAAGAGAAGAAGAACAAAGAAAGGAAAAAAATTGAAGGGGGGAACAGGGGAGGGAAATGGGCGAAGAAGAAAGAAAGCAGGGAAGTTTCAAACATATAGATGTAGCTACTCCCCAAGATACGATATTAAGCAATTATTTAAAAACTTATAAGTCAATTGTGAGATGATATTCCACAGAAACTACATCAACACGTATCAGTTTCTTTCACTAATTCAACCATTCACATATATTACACTGAACCATCATAAAAAATTGCACAAAAATAGAACTAGCTAAAATCACCATTAGTTAAATAAAAAACACCAATTAACATTAATTCAAAAAAAAACCGAGCCTTTGAGAGTCATTTCAGATTTAACACTCCGAGATATTACTAATCTGTTTTTGCAGAAAAAAAGCTAAAAAAATAATGGATTGGAATCATCTACATCAATAGCTGGAGAAATTAAAAATCACGGGAAGAACTCCGAAATAGAAGATCTTTAATGAGACTTTGAAAACCTTATACTGAACAGACAGATTCATTCGCATACACTATTTGAGGAAAAGAAATATTACCTCTAAATCTCGATCGGAATTTGGGGATCTAGAATAAGAAGAAGCACGACGAGCTTGAGCGGAAACTGCGAAATAAAACCAGAATTTGTGAACTACTACTGCTACTGCTCAGGCCTGCAATGGCGGTTCCAGAATCCGAATATGAATGGGGGTTTTGGGTCACATGAACCCTAAAACACAACTTTATTCCGGTTCCACCGCGAAAAAAATTCCTAACGGAGTTGAAAAAATTAACGGAGCACATCTTTCGCGCTCATCATTCTTTATTTTTAATTTTTTACAAATTAATTTTTGAAAGGGTAGGGTATCAAAAAAAATTTAATATTCAAAAAACAAAAACATATAAAAGGTAATAATTCAACTCTTTTGAGTAACTATCTAGAGTTTTTTGTTCGAATCTATAGGGAAGATCTAATTTCCTTACTAATTAGAAACTCTTGTGAAATATGTTTCCTTTTCTATTTATATTTAGTATGAGGTTAAAAGAATTTTCGTCCCATTTCAGTGTACCCCTAACATGTCCCTACAGGAAACCATCAAATCTTCATACAAGAAAACCCTAATTTATTTGTAGCACATTCAAGAAAAATTACAAATTCTTTGAAATGAATAGAAGTTGAACCGGATTTGGTTGCTCGAAGTTAATCTTCATCCACGTATGAAAGAGATGGCAGTTAAGTGGCGATAGATTATGTTGTGAGAGTAATAAGAAGGTGTTTGGTTCGTGTTGAGGAAAGGGAAAGGAAACAGGAAAGGGCATCAGGGGAAAGAGAATGATTACCCCTAAATTACCATGTCTGTTTGGTTCAATATAGAAAAGGGAATCGGAGCGGGAGTGGAGATTGGAGCTGGAGGGGGAGGGCGAGGAACATACCTGGGTTGCGGTGTGGCGGCAACTGGCGAGACATGATGTTGCAGTGAGACGCGGTAGGGTGGCAGCGAGACACGGTGGGGGTGGCGGATAGAAGAAATGGACGGGGAAGAAGGGTTAGGGAAGGGGAAGAAGGGTTAGGAAAGGGGAGGAGGGGAATGAGAATGGAAAACCCTGATAGGGAGCGGGAAATGGAAAGACGGGAAACAGGGTAATCCAAAGCCAAAAAAAGGAGAAATGGAAAGAACTTTTTGCATCCAAACGACGATAAACGGAATCCGAGAATCTCATTCCGTTTCCCGTTTCCCTTACCTCCAAACCAAACCCCCCTAAAGGTTAAAGAAGATGAAAATAAGGGAGGGGGGATGTTTTACGGTGGAGGAGGGAAAGGAGAGAGATTACTTACATAATGCGGACTAATATTTTAACAGTCGGTAACAAAAATCATCCATTTAAATATACCGAGCAACTATCAGGAAAGTCTTTGAAAGGAGATCATTTTTTTCATTTTAACCAAAAGCTACACTCCTAATTCAGAACGTCACACTCATTTTTTTCATTTTAACGAAACCATATCACACATACCATAAGATTGTCATGAAGGCAGAGCTTCAATTCCAAACAACGTTTTAAAAAAAACAGCACACATGTAGCGACATGTTTTAGATATTAAACGAAACAAACATAAAGAAAGAGAGCCAGCCGTGGGTCTCTAGTACTCTCCCTCGTCTCCATCCTCGTCTTCATCCTCGCCCTCGGCACCAACTTCCTCATAGTCCTTCTCAAGTGCAGCCAGATCCTCACGGGCCTCGCTGAACTCACCTTCCTCCATGCCCTCGCCAACATACCAGTGGACGAAAGCCCGCTTGCAGTACATGAGGTCAAACTTGTGGTCAATGCGGGAGAAGACCTCGGCGACACTGGTGGAGTTGGAGATCATACAGACAGCCCTCTGCACCTTGGCAAGGTCGCCCCCGGGGACAACTGTGGGCGGCTGGTAGTTGATGCCGCACTTGAATCCAGTCGGGCACCAGTCAACAAACTGAATGGTGCGCTTGGTCTTGATGGTGGCCACAGCGGCATTCACGTCCTTGGGCACAACATCACCACGGAACATGAGACAGCAAGCCATGTACTTCCCGTGGCGGGGATCGCACTTGACCATCATGGAAGATGGTTCAAAGGCACTGTTGGTGATCTCTGCAACTGAGAGTTGCTCATGGTAGGCCTTCTCGGCTGAGATAACAGGGGCATAAGACGAGAGCATGAAATGTATCCTTGGGTATGGGACAAGATTGGTCTGGAACTCATTGACATCAACATTCAAGGCACCGTCGAATCGCAGAGAAGCAGTCAGCGAAGAGATGACCTGTGATTATTAAAAGTGATCAGCATGTATAACCTTACCATTCAGCAACAAACAAAATTGTCTCAAGTCTTAAAGAGGAATATAGCTCTGTTACCTGAGAAATGAGACGGTTGAGGTTGGTGTAAGTAGGACGCTCAATGTCAAGGGAGCGGCGACAGATGTCATAAATGGCCTCATTGTCAAGCAGAATGGCAACATCAGTGTGTTCAAGGAGGGAGTGTGTGGAGAGGACACTGTTATATGGCTCAACCACAGAGGTGGAGACCTGTGGGGAGGGGTAAATAGTGAAACCAAGCTTTGATTTCTTACCATAGTCAACGGACAGACGCTCCAGGAGAAGAGATCCGAGACCAGAACCAGTTCCTCCCCCAACAGCATTGAAGACCAGAAACCCTTGAAGGCCAGTGCAGTTATCAGCAAGCTTCCGAATGCGGTCCAAGCAGAGATCCACAATCTCTTTGCCAACTACACAGATCATGTAGAGAAAATGAATAAGGATAAATTACATTATTGAGATAGGAAACAAGATGAATATAGGAATAAAGAGAAGAGGTGATTCGAAATGTACTTGTATAATGACCACGGGCAAAGTTGTTGGCTGCATCCTCCTTGCCACTGATAAGCTGTTCTGGGTGAAATAGCTGCCTGTAGGTTCCAGTCCTTACTTCATCAATCACAGTTGGTTCAAGATCAACAAAGACAGCACGGGGAACGTGCTTCCCAGCTCCTGTCTCACTGAAGAAGGTGTTGAATGCATCATCACCTCCTCCAATTGTCTTATCACCAGGCATTTGTCCATCAGGCTTTGACAAAAAAACAATAGGAAAATACGTGAGTACCAATAAGCAGAGAATAAATAGATCTGCAAAATCTAAAGGTGAAATCTATCAGATATTCAAAGAAATTATCAGTAACTAAGACAAATCACAAAACATTTAAGTGTTCAGTTCCATGTAGAGAAGATCTATGCGACCATATGCAGATAAACGAAATTCAACTAAGTGTACCAAAAACTGTAAATAAATTCTTGCAAATGACGCATCGATTCAGGTGTAGATCTAGATGCTACAAACAGATTACAGAGACTCCGTGGATTCAAATTAGCATAAATAAACTATCAGTTTTATAAACGTAGAAACCGAACACCATGAATAAAAAACTTTTAAACAATGTGTAAAACAGAAATCGCATGATAAATCACATTGAGGAGAACAAATCTCCGAAATTAAACAAAACCAATTCCGATCTGCGTCTGGAAACAGATCCATTGACGAATACATGCAGATATATCAAATGGGTAGCCGATTCACGCAGATCTAAGCGATGAGACGGTTATACAATGCACATAAACGCAGATCGGAACAAAACAGGTCAAAAACACATAAATCCACACAGATCCGATCGTCGTTCAGAGAATCAAGTAAAGAAGATCAAATGTGGATACCTGAATGCCGTGCTCGAGGCAGTAAAGCTCCCAGCAAGCATTTCCGACCTGGATTCCGGCCTGACCGATGTGGATTGAAATGCACTCTCTCATTTTCACGATTTGGAGGGATCCGAAATCCGAAACAATGAGAAGAAACGAAGGAGAAGGGGAGAGATAATATTGAGAAGGGCGTTTATCAAGACGCCGATACGCCTCTCAATTGGCCTTCCGGAGGCTTTATATACATAACCAGAAATGATGCCTGCCCCACCCACGTGACCAGGCTGTCCGATCAATTCAAATTTTGAATTTGTTTTGTAAATTAGATCTTCTTTTCTTTGAATTTACAAAAATACCAGGATACAGGTTTCCTACCGGATGACATTGATCTCATTGAGCTGCTGATAATGCAATATCCAGTCCAACAACACGATATCCAGACCTCGGCCCGATTGAAAAGATTTGAAGACCAACGATATCCAGACCTCGGCCCGAATTAAACACAATTTTAAGGGCCCAATTAATCAGGGGAGATATGGTACTGTTTTGTTGTGTATTTAATAATCCCTAGTTGAACATCTCCTCTCACTTGAGTTAGAGAAAACCCGCTCTCCATGATTCATAGGTAAGTTTACCTAGATTCGAGTTCTAGCAGAGACGGCCGTATTGACTAATGCGCTATTTGGTTGAAAAAAATATGAACATATGATATCTTCTAATAGAGTCAATAGCACTAAAAAATAATCCCTAGTAGGGCGGGACACGGTACTATTCCAGGACTGTCGGTTCCATTTCCGTCACTCTAGGGGACCATTACCGGCGCCAGATTTCCCAGTTCCATAGCTGGTTCCAGAACCGGCGGTTCCAAGACCGGTTCTCGTCCGCCTTGGCAGTCCTAATTTCTTTTTATACGATTGAGAATTTGAGATGCAAAACAAGTTTATAAGTTTTTATAAATTCTAACTTCTAAGAAGTAATTGTTATTTAAATAAAGAAAATTAAATAGTATAACCACATTTAATATTCTGATGGTTCAAAAAAATGACGATCTAAAGCACCGTAAAGAAACTCTAGAAAGAGCTTATAAATCGCTCATCTTAAAAAGTAAGTATAATATAAAATAAAAATACAAATTTATTCCTCAAAACTACCGCTTCCCTCCGTGGTTGCATCCATGAAATTTTGAGTATCGATGTTGTACTCTGACTCTTGAGCTCGATGTCTTGCTAAGAGCCAATCTCACTTGAAAACAAGTGTCTCAAGCGATTCAACGCTAAGACAACTTCGGTAGTCGGTTAGAATATTACCGCTAAAACTAAACTCTTGTTCCACAGTTGTGGTTGAAACTGACATAGATAACACTTGTCTGGCTAGCAATCCGAGTGACAGAATCATGTTTTCATTTCGCTTCCACCATTCAAAGACGTCGAACTCGCTATCGTTATCTTCATTGTAGTTGCATGAGACCCCTTGGTACATCGCAAGTTCATTGTGCGAACTTACACTTGTACCACATGTACTAATCGAGGCAGAGTTACGCTTACCTTTTTTCGCGAAGAGGCCACCCCTTGGTGTTACAGTGTCCGTCTCTGGTCCAGTTCAAGAACCACTGGCGTCGACGCTGGTGGCAATTCTTACTCGGAATCGTGGCCAACCATAATCCCTACTTCCTCACATGAACACATATTCCATATGCTTATTCAAGTTTTCCAAGGTTGAAACAGAATAATAAGAATTTTAATCGATATTTTTTCATTTCCTATATTCTCGTAGGAGTACTTTGCACTCTATTCGTCCAAAATTAAATTGCATTTATTATCTATATGATCACATTTCATTCATAATTTTTTATTTTCGTTAGTCAATTGATAAAATAATATAGTCATGCAATATCTTGTTTCGTAAAACTTTTAGTGTAAATTTTAATCATGTAAATTTTATTTTCAAATTAAACCCCAATTCTGAAATAAATTATCTTGAAAAAAAATTAGCCAAACATCACAAACCAAAATATGCAATTTAATGACATTGTGGCATTGCGGTGAAAAATGTGTAGAGTTCATTCTTTTATGGATTAGAGTGATTTTTTAAAAATAATTTTTGTCTTATTTTGGAGATAAAAATATGAGAGTCCATTTTTGGTTAAGTCATTTTTCTATGTTTTATTCATATTTTCATATTTCTCCCTTTACCCAAATTTGATAATTTTGCATTGACTGTACTAATGATTTTCATGAGCTTTCTTTTCATTGTCTTGAACTAATACGTGCCCGGGTGATTTTTATCATTTATCATATATGAGGCTCATAACCTCTTTGTGGGCTTGCCTCAATCACCCAGTTAGCTTGCATCCTTTTGTCGTAGAACCTCGTTACTCACTGAAAAGTAGTACGAGCCAACTTTATTAATGTGATGTTTTCTTACTAGTTCCTAATAATTGGTCATCATCGCTTCGTCAATTAATCGTCTCTCCTCCATTCATCTTTAGCTGGTAACTCAGCTCCCTGTGAGTAGGAAGTCTAGCATCATTTGGTATCTTATCTTCACACACATGTATTAGAGAGAATAATCTTGATATAACACGATACAACTAAACAATAGGTGAGAGTAATGTTTTTCCAGTTCTACTTTACCATTTTGTTTAAAATGAATTAATTAGCATTAAATTTATAATACGGAGTACAATTTAATGTATTTCTTTTATAATTTATGATAAAATAATAACCGCAAAAGTTAAAAATAAAAAGTGAGATACTCCGTATAAAATAGTTGCTTCGCTATCTAAAACGAGTCACGAGTATTGGTTCCATAAAGTATACCGAGGTCCAAGTTTTTAGAATTGTAAAAAGAGGATATGTAAAACTCACTGAGTAAAATTTATTAACATGTCAAATACCCCAAACTACCAATCCTACCCTCCGCCGTTTCGTCCTCCGGCCAACCAAAACCTAGTCGCCGGAGGAGCGGAAACGGGAGCACCGACTTTAGATCCGCCCACGACGGTGGAAGGAGAGGACGGCGTTCCGGTGATAGATTTCGAGCGCTTGACGGAGCATGACGACGGCGGGGAGGAAAAGATAACGGCGGCATGCAGGGAATGGGGGCTGTTCAGGCTGGTCAACCACGGAGTCCCAGAAATGCTGCTGAGACAAATGCTTGACCGTACCGAACAGATGTTCTCCATGTCGTTTGAGGAGAAACAGGCCGTATCAGGCGATGGCATGTCGTATTTCTGGGGAACACCGGCCGTGGCGCCGTCCGGGGCGGCGCTGCCCACTAACGGCAGCAGCCTTCATTGGATGGAAGGAATTAACGTTCCGTTGAGCCGAGTGTCGCTACATCACTACGAAGATGAAACGTTGGAGTCTTTCCGGTGAGACCTTGTCTTCTCTAATTTTTTCAAGAAATATTTGCATTAAATAGCACTAAAACTTAAGTTATTTTTCTAAATATCACTTAAATTGTTTTACTCCGTATTTCCTAAATAGCATTTAATACTGTCTATAATGTCCAGTGATGGCAAATATTTACTTGAATAATGACTAATGCATAATGATTAAAAGTGCTACATTGGAAAGAAAAACATATGTAGTGCTATTTAGGGAAAGTCATTATGTTTTAGTGCTATTTAAGTAAAATTAGTTTTTCCTTTTTCTCTTAACTTTTGCCAAAAAAAATATATTCTTATTTCAATTACTCCTTCGTCCAAAAATTTTTTCCGCGGTTTGATTTGATACGGAGATTAAAAAAAGTTAAAAAAGTGTAAAGACTTTCATGTGTTGTCTTTGATGTGATGAAATAAAGTGAATAATGTAGATAAAAATGAGGGTATAATGGAATAAATAAAATTATATAAAAATTTGATATATCAAAACTATATTTTAAGATGAATCCAATTATATTAAATTTATATTGTAAATAAATGTACTTTTATTGCAATTTATGGTCAAAGAGTGTCACCGTTTAACTAAAAAAGTCAAAATAGAAAAAAAAAATTTAGATCAGAGAGAGTATATAATAATAATAATAATAATAATAATAATAATAATAATAATAATAATAATTATTATTATTATTATTATTATTATTATTATTATTATTATCATCATCATCATCATCATCATCATCATCATCATCATCATCATCATGGTACGAAAAGAGCACCTTATGATAGCTAATGTGTATAAGAAAATACTCCGTACTATAATAAAGTAGTGAAACCAAATTTATAATATGGGAGATGCTAGGGGTACACCAAAAGGTGTACCCCATTTGTACACCACCTTTCCATAACTACTCATTTATTTTTTATTTTTATTTACTTAATTTTTTTAAATTTTTTGCCTATTTAAGTGGTGATGAAGGGGGTGGGAGACAAATGGGGTACATCTTTGGTGTACCCCTAGCATTTTCCTTATAATATACTACATGTGTCCTAGTGTATGCCAACATTGAATTTTTCCGAATTAAATTGAAACAAACTGTGAAATCAATTACTCTCAAATGGTACTACATATTAGTATATTAAATTAAATCTATACAAGATAAATTTAATAAAATAATATTTATAACAATGTACATTGAAGTTTTTGTTTAATTGAAGCTCAATGTTTATCTAATTTGATTCAAAAAAATTTTAACTAGATAAATATACTGAGACGGAAGAAGTAGGCATCCAAACATCAAAAGAAAAGGATATTTTTTTATTGCAATTTGGTCCCTTAAATTTAGTCAATATATGGTACAGTGTAGGTCAATGGGAAGACACGTGATCAAAATAGACTTTTTACAGGAATAAATTAATAAAGAATTTATAAAAAATTAATCAAAAGTAAAATTTGCTAATGGTACAAAGGAATAATGGTACTCTCTCGGTCTCCGTCTATAAATAAAGTTTTCGTTGTGCATTACGATGTTTGATCGAAGTTATTTTTATATCATTTATATGAAACATGGTATGAAATTAAAATATAAAAATTATTTTATCTAATCAAATACAAAACAAAATGAATAAAGTTTGACTATATAAATAGTGAAGAGAATTTTATTATTGAATGGAGGGATTATATTGAAACCAAAGGTTAAAGTAAAGAGAGTAATACTCCGGGTAACAAAGTTTGATAGACTCCGTATTTTGGGGAGAGAGTAAGAGGGTGGGCATAGTTACACGTGTAAGCATGTAGTAAAATTTTGTGGGTCCTAACAATTTCTCCCCTCGCAGTACTCTGTACTTTCTTGCTTTCTGTCACTCACTCACTCTACCAAGTATTTGGTCATATTTATACTCATTTTATTTTATTTACTACTTCCGTCTCAGAGTATTTGTCCATTTTCGTTTTTACACACCATTCAATACACTTCTTTAATCCATTTTATCTTGTAATTTGTATATTAAAAAATTATAGAAATTATATATTAATAATCTATATGTTAAGACACATCAAACAAGATCACACATGGCTATATTTAGGCTTACACATTGGGAGAATTTGATGAGTCAAAATGCTTAGATGAACAATTCCAAAAGTCAAAACTGGACGAATACTCTGGGACGGAGGGAGTATTAATTATCCATACCAATCATATCTTGTGAATGTTGGATCTTGGAATAGTTTTAAAACACTTTAAACTGAGATTTACTTCGCTAAATTGTGACAAAAAGGGATTGGGTCTGTTTGAGAATAACATTAGAAATTAGCGTTAGTGTTTTGAATTAAAATTTAATGGTGCAAATTATTTTAGAAATGTTAACGCTAAACACTGTCCATAGATAGCCTTTCCAAAACGCTAACGTTATTTTCAAACATGCCACAATGTCTTGGTTGAAGGGTTTCAAGCTCAGCTATAGTCCTGTTACTGTAGATGTTTCTTTAGTGATGTGGTCATGAGGTGTGTCTAGCTATTTATGGTAAGATTCTGGGACAGCTGGATTTTCATTGGTCCCTTTTTTTTGGTACATTGATTGGTCCCTTTGATCATCATGATAGTTGCGAGCTCCATTCTAGAGTATTTTTTTATATTTTCTTATTGTTAAAATTATTAAATTTTGACCATAAATCAAGTTGATTATAGATATTATTATAAAAATGATTTCATTAGATTTATTTTGTTAAATATTGTATTTTAGTTCGTATTGATTAGGCCGTATTTTATGGTGGCGTGACGAAGGCTTGACCTCCTATTTCACGTCCCATACACGCCCATTCACCATGACAGAGTTTCTTTGGCGGGGGCGTGGCCCCTATCTGCGTGAGGGCCATCCAAACGTTGCCCCCCAACTTTTTATTTTTTTTTCTAATTTCAACTAATCAAAATTTAACACACATTCACACTTCATCATATTCCTTGACACTCATCGTAAGTCATATCTTTCATCACTCAACATCATACATCTTTACACCTCGTCAAACCCCCATTACACATGGCCTTAATTCATAAAAGTTATTATTGTTTTAGTGTCTTTACTACTCCCTCAGCTCCATTCATAAGTATTTGTCCACTTTTAATTTTTTCAGTCAAAATTAGTAAATTTTGATCTCAAATTAAATAATAATGATATTAGATATTGGCATAAAAATAGTTTTATAAGATTGATTATATGAAATATTTTCAATATAGTATTTTATCTAATTAGTAGACAATATATATTTTATTTAGGCTAAAATCCACCATTGGTCTTTCAACTTTATCAGTTGAGCACGATTGGTCCTTCAAGTTTCAAAAGTCCATAAATAGTCCTTCAACTTTATGAGTTCTGCACCATTGTTCCTTCAAGTTTCAAAAGTCCATAAGTAGTCCTTCAGGTACACGTCAGCCCTCCATATGAAGTCCTTTTGATAGTAAATATTAAAAGTTAAACGAAATATTAGTTTCATATAATACGAGTAAATTCCACTAGGTACGACAACTCCGTATTATATGGAGCTAGTATTCAATTTAGCTTTTAACATTTACTGTCAAAAGGACATCATCTGGAGGACTGACGTGTACTTGAAGGACTATTTATGCACTTTTAAAACTTGAAGGACCAATCGTGCATAACTCATAAAGTTGAAGGACTATTTATGGACTTTTGAAACTTGAAGGACCAATCGTGCACAATTGATAAAGTTGAAAGACCAATGGTGGAGTTTAGCCTTTTATTTAATTGTAACATTATAGGTCAAATGTTGAAAACAATTAATAGAAAAAAATAAAAAATTGCACAAATATTCAGAGACAGAGGTAGCAAATTACTTCTTATTTAGAAAATTGCAACTGATGGTCTTTACTAATAGTCTCGAACTCTCGATCATTATCATGTTAGATTCTTTGCCATTACTTATTACTTAGAGGTCAAACCAATTTTGATTTCTTTAGCTAAATACTCCGCATATAGATTGCTGTTAGAGGAATATGGAAAACATCAAAGGAGAGTAGCCAAGGCTATATACCAAGCACTGTCTATAAATCAAAACCTCGAAGCAGAAAAACCCACCACAACAGCAAGCTATATCTCGGAAGACACCGGAATCCTGCGTCTATACCGATACCCTCGTGTCATTTGGACCACACAACCGCGGCTGCAGAGGAGGAGGAGGAGGAGATGGATGACCGCCGCCAGCCACCACCACCGTGGGGAATCGGCGCACACACGGACAGCTCCCTCCTCTCCATCCTCCACCAGGACCTCGTCGGCGGTCTTCAAGCCTACCACAACAACAACCAAAACCAACAATGTTGGGTCGATGTCAGGCCTATCCCCAACACTCTCATTGTCATCGTTGGAGACATGATGCAGGTTTCATTTGTGGTCTATAAGTTCTTGAGTTGAACTGAATAATCGATTTAACCTGGCTGTATTGTGCGTACAGGCAATAAGCGACGACAAATATGTGAGTGCGAAGCACAGGGTGAAGGTGAAGGGGGAGAGGGAGAGGATATCGATGGGATATTTTGTGTTCCCAGAGGAGGAAGCCGTGATTGAGAGCTCCCGGTATACGCCATTCACTTATGCCGAGTTTCGAGCTCAGGTGCACCGTGAACTTAAGACCGCGGGCTCTAAGATTCTTGGCCTCCGCGCCTTCAAGCGTGAGTCGCCATTCTTAGCATGATCGGTCGGGCAAACCGGTGCGGTGAGAACTGGGCTGCGTGGGGAATTGGGTTGGATCCTTGATCAAAGAAAAGAACAAGTTAATTAGACCTTGTCAAAAACTGTGTATGGAATTTGCTTTGTGTGTAATGGAGATTTGGAAATGTTGTTTATGGCTTATTGTCCAATACTCCAATTTTTCTTTAAAAAAATTGTAGAAACTTATCGTTGATATTATGAATGACAATCGTTTGTCAATTTGTGCATACAACGAAAGTAATCGCTCGTGAACTTTGGCCTGGTTTGGAGCATCGTTTTTTGTTAGCGTTAGCGTTATGGATAAAATTTAAATTGTGTAGATTAATTTTGAAAACGCTAACAATAAATGTTAGCTATTGTCAAATAACTTTTTCAAAATGCTTATTAATCTTTTAATGTGTGATTAACCCAAGTGTTTCATTATCAAATCTAATGATACCTACCCAATACTAATTCCATAATAATTAAATTGCTACATTTAAAGCTAAGTACGGAGTAACAAATTCTATTAAAAAGAACATTAAAAGTCAAAATTTAAGTGATTTGATTGAAAAACTTACAATAACAATTAGTGTTAACCTTGTGATTTGATTTAAAAACCTTTCATGTTTTGAGTTTTTTTGGTTAAACAATGATATTCTTTGACCATAAATTATGAGAAAAATATATTTAATTATAATATAAATTTAACATAATTTTGTGAATTTTAGGATATAATTTTGATATATCAAATTTTTATATTCTTTACTTATTTTGATTATGTTTAATTTGTAGTTATCAAATGTTAATATATGACACAAAAAAATCAAAACATGAATGGTGTTTAGGACAGAAGGGAGTAGAAAATAGACAAAAACTATAAAAAAATATTTAAAAAAAGTACACGTTAATCCTCACTACATATTTCATGACTTCACTTCAAAATTCTAGTGGCATACTCGCATTTGGTATCAATAATTTTGTTGTGTGCTGTGGAGCTGGGCTTCGGGCCTGAGCCCAGCATTTATTACATTACGGAGTCCTATAAAACAAAGGGGGGGAATGCCATTCACCCCCCCGTTTCCAGGCTTCACCTGTTCCGTGGTTCATATTCTTCCAGGTATTTTTATTTATTTATTTATATTGCTCTGCATATATTCAAATTCTCCGAGCGGGATGGTTTCTTCAACTTCTTGAGAACTATAGTTACTTGTTTTCGTTCTTGATTTGGTAGATATGTCAATGACGATGGTGAAGAGCGCTTACCAACCCGCAGCAGCTCCGCCATGGCGGAATGTGTGTGAAAATTCCGAGATTTCATCTTCTTCTTCTGATGATGATGACGGTGGTAGCGAAGAAACTCGTTCTGACAGTTCTGATGGTGATTCAGGGCGGATCACTGGCTGCACTCCGGCGAAGAGGAGGAAGTTGTGGTGGAATCCGGTCACTCCTGAAGCAGATTGTTGCCCTGATTCCATTGTTGAGTACTTGAACACGCCTCTGTCTAAGCGTAGGAATTCAGGGGAGTTGAATATGAAGGTGAAGAAACATCTCTCGTATTCCGGATGGGCCATTGAATCTCTGAGGACTCAAAATGGAACTAGAATGCGATATGTTTCGCCCGATGGAAAAATATACATGTCCCTCACTCAAATTTGTCACCAGCTTAACCCTAATGTTGAGGAATGTGTTTCTGTTCCTGTGGCTGATCGTACCGTGAAGCCCAACCCAAATGTTGAGGAATGTGTTTCTGTCCCTGTGGTCGATCATACGGAGATTCCCAACCCTAATGATGAAGAATGTGTTGTTTCTGTGGTGGATTGTATGGCGAAGCCAAAGGCATGTCGAGAGCTTTATGTGTCTTCTCCTAGCAAAGCCACTGTTGAAGATTCTGATCACGGAGAGGATCCTCAGGCTATTAGTGATTATATGTTTTTGTGCAAAATTAAAAGTGTAAATCCCAAAACAAGGGCACTCAAGGCAGAAGCTAAGTTTAGAGCCATGAATCATCTGGTTCACTGCAAATGGGAGCTGTTTAAAAGCCCCAAAAAAGACAAATTGGAATATCGCTACAAGGCTCCGAATGGGAAAGTGTTTTACTCTCTTTTCACAGCTTGCGAATGGTATGCACGAGAAACAAATGTCGGAGGCCTGAAGACTTTGGGAAGTGTTGTTGGATCAAATGGTAAAGAAAAAGATGACGAACAAGTGGTTTTTGGAGTTGGAAAATATAGAAAGAAATTGAAGTTTTGCTTGGATGAATCCAAGACAAGTTTAATTAGAGATTCTTCTCAGTCTCAAAACAGTAAGCTTGTATCATGTAAAAGTAAAAAGGGCAATATCTTGTCACGGTTGGTAGAGAGCAATGTGATTCCTCTTGAAGCAAAGGTGCAATACAGGAAGAAGGATGGATCTGTGTTAAAGGACGGAAGAATTACCAGTGATGGAATACTTTGTGATTGCTGCCAGCAAGTTTATGGACTCAGTAGCTTTGAAGCTCATGCAGGAAGTACAAACCACAGGCCTTCGGCATTTACATTCTTGGAAGATGGAAGGTCGATAGCCGAGTGTCAATTACAGGAAAAACAGAATGGCAACCTTAAACACTCCAACTTTATAGAACATGATATTATCTGTTCTGTCTGTCATGATGGCGGTGAATTACTTCTTTGTGATAAGTGTCCATCCGCGTTTCATACTGGTTGCCTTGGTCTAGAGGTACTTTCCTTCTAGTTACACTTACCATCAAATAAGTGTGAGGTTTATGGTATTTAAGTCCCTATCACTTTTTTTCAGGAGGTTCCACCTGGTGATTGGTTTTGCGCATCATGCTGTTGTGGAATTTGTCACCAGGGTGGATTTCATGAGAATGAAAACCACCAGTTCACAGATAATAGTTCTCTTTGCTGTTATCAGTGCCAATGCCAATGTAAGTGATTATATAGTTTTGCCTATGCAAATGAACAGTATAATGTTTATGAGCATAGACATATCTGTGTATTGTAGGATATTTCAGAATGAGATGGCCTAATCTTGTAACTGGATCCCCATTATGATATTTGATAACTTCTTGCAGATCATGTTGGGTGTGTTAAAAGTAGGGGTCTACTTAAGCTGGACAGCCCTCCTCCAGGAAAGTGGTTTTGCAACTACAAATGCCAACAGGTGCTTCAGACATGCCTTTCTTTTGCAGATGCATGTATTGTGCGAATATTTTGTGTTTGAGAACATGTTTTACTATGCTGTCCATTTTTGTCACATAAAGCACGAATGACAGAACATTCATTATGTATTATCTGCTTAATATGTGTCCAATCCTGCAAGTGTTGCTTCAGAGGGTGTTTTTCTTGGCCGATGCATATTGACTTACCGTTTAATTGTGTGATGTCCAATATAATTATCACCATCTTCTCTTTTATAATCTTTAATATTGTCTTTATCATTCCTATCATTGTAGATATTTTCAGGTCTTGTTCAACTGTCAGGAAAACCAATTCCAGTGGAGTCAGTTAATCTGCTAACTTGGACGTTATTGGATTCTGGAGATGATAAGAGATATAGCAAGCTTAGAGCTGCCCTTGATGTGATGCACGAGTGTTTCGAGCCCATTAGGGAATATCTAACTCAGAGTGATGTTGTTGAGGATGTTATTTATAATAAACGGCGAGTTCAATCTATCTGATGCATTTCTCTGCAAACTATATTATTTTTATTATTATTATTATTATTATTATTATTATTATTGTTGTTGTTGTTGTTGTTATTATTATCTTAAGGACATGCCTAATAGTAAACACCCTTGTCGTATAGGAACTCTAAGCTACGCCGTTTAAATTTTCAAGGGTTCTATACTGCAATCCTGGAAAGAAATGATGAAATTGTTACGGTGGCTACAGTAAGGTATCTCCTAATTAAAGACTCATTTGCTTTAGTATTTTAATTTCTTATTGCTTGTAAAGACTTTTTTTAAAATGTTGTTGTCCTTTGACATCGTTAGGGTTCATGGAGAAAAGGCAGCTGAGATCCCATTTGTTGCCACATCGTTCAAACACCGGGGACTTGGAATGTGTCGCATTTTAATGAACCAGCTAGAGAAGGTATATTTTTGTTGCATTACAAATGTTTTTATCACAACATTCACAAGCATTAGCCCATTTAGCCACTCAAGTGTGCTATCTTTCTCCCAAAAAACACTTATTTCTTGCACAAGCCATCCCAAACCCAAACAAATGAGGTTAATTATGTTCCAACCCTTGTTGACAGAAACTTTCAGAACTGGGAGTGCAGAGAATAATTGTGCAAGCCATTCCTGCAGCGAAGAACACATGGACCGGTTCGTTTGGCTTCTCGGCTATGACAAAAGCAGAGAGGCTGAACTTGTCAGACTGCACTTTTGTCAACTTCTATGGTACAGATATGTGCCAGAAGCTGTTGCGAAACGACACATCCACAGGATCAAGTAAATACTTTTCCAGCCATTGTTGAAGTCCATTTAGAGAATCTACTATAGTGATAGGTGGTGAACCAACAAACAATTTGACCATCTTTGTGCAGATGAGGTTGATGGCATTTGTCCCGTTTCACTAGCTTCGCAACCTGAAGAAATTCATAGCAGTGCAGGGCTTGAAGATCAAACACGAGACGAGATCATTTCTTCACTGCTGGGCTTCAAATAGGGTGACAATGTAGATCCTCTGCCATTCTTTTTATTTGCTCTAGCAAACATTAAGGTTAGTTGTGAATGAGCAAATAGGCATTTGAATTACAGAATGCAACAAAATGAATTATGCGCATTTATCGAACGTGCATGCATCAATTCCGTAATGTTCATGCCCTAATTTTGTGCAAATAAATAAATAAATGTGAAAACTTGTGAATGTGTATATATCGGATATACAATAAGCATCATATCCTAATACGGAGTACTAAGTATAAGAATTCGGAAAGGGTGAATATAAGTGATGAAACATTTCATGAAAAGAAACACAACTAAATTTAATCGAATGATAAGTAGGTTGGAGATTGTCCAGTTCTGATTCTTTGCCTGACCTGTTTTGGGAATTGACAATTCCAATTCTAAAACAAGATAATGAAGGGGGGCTTCTTAGTTTGATATGTTTTAGAGATTGATATGGTATGAGCTCTAAAATCTAAAAAAACTGATGCGCTCTAAAATTTGAAATGAATTTGTTTGTTCAAAACTTTGAATTGATATTTTTCTACAAAAACATTTTAATATCAAAAGAAAATTCGCATCTCGAATTTCATTTGGTGGGCCTATAAAGTATAAACTTAGACGAAGTACTATTAGTTCCGCTCCTTCACCATAACCTTCATGTTTTGAATCACAAAGATGTCAATTTTATTGGATTTTTCTTTTGTGTTTATAAACTGGTCAAAATAGCTTATAAATTGTTTTAAACTTAAAGGGAATTCATATGATTTTTCACACCAAATTTGTGTAACAAATCAGAGCACAATTCTATGTAATCTATGTTTAGTTTTTGTACGTTTGATACTCCCTATTAGTTAAGCATTTTTTTACAAATGCAATTATGATTTTCACCTACAATCTAAGCTAACAGACTATGGCACGAATCTATGGAGTGTGTATTTAAATTCCCTTTGATATCAGCTTTAACTAGTAATTCATCTATGCAAATATGCGATGCACAGGAAAGTCTAGTATTGATTGTTTGAGGTGATTATTAAAAAAAATAATACACTCCATTTTAATATCTTGAAAATATTTTCCAAGAATAACTTTTATCTTTAATATTTTTATAATTAATCTAGATTATTAAAAAATGGTATAAAATACACGAGAAACATTATTATCAAAGATAGCCTTAAATCAATGAAATTAAAATGGACAAATATATGGCGGCAATATTGACTTGTATTTTGGCCCCATTCCTCAACTTGTTTCCCCAAAAGGCCCGTGACCAACTCACTCACTGTGCCAGAGATTTAAAATTTTGATTAATAAAGCACTTAACAAGTGTTTGGTTAATGACATTTGATAATTCATTATCATTTAGGACAATTAGGACTTAGGAGTAATTTATACTCCATTTTTGGATTTCAAAGTGGGGGATATAAAAAAAAGAAAATTCATATCATTATTCTCAAAATTGCGTTGTTTTATATAGTGAGGTCATGTTCACACCACTATTTTTTGAGTAATATTAACCTTATATCAACAAATTATATATCCATATATTATCTCCATTCCTTAATATTTGTCTATTTTTGATTTTTTGTAGTGAAAATTGATAAACTTTTACCACTAATTGAAGAATAAAATTTCTATTAGATAATGATATAAAAATAATCTTATTAGATTTATTTTATATAATATTTTCAAAATATTATTTTATCTAATTAATATTATAATATATCATATAATTTTTATTTAATTCAAGGCCAAAAGTAGAAAATAGTTGGCTGCAAAAATATCAAAACTAGACAAATACTTAGGGACGAAAGTTGTATATATACTTTCATAACTTGTTGAAATACGATATATATATATATATATATATATATATATATATATATATATACTACCTCCGTCCCACTCTCTTTGTCCACTTTTGACTTTTGGAACTGTTCATCTAAGCACTTTGACTCATCAAATTCTCTCAATGTGTAAGTATAAATATAGTCATGTGTGATCTTGTTTGATTTGTCTTAACATATAGATTATTAATATATAATTTCTATAATTTTTTTAAAAAACAAATTACAAGATAAAATGGATTAAAGAAGTGCGTTGGATGGTGTGCCAAAAGATAAGTGGACGGAGGGAGTATATATATATATATATATATACATACATACATATATATACATATATATATATATACACACACACACACATATATATATATATATATATATATACTCCCTCCGTCTCATTCCCTTTGTCCACTTACCTTTTGGCACACCAGTCTACGCACTTCTTTAATCCATTTTATCTTGTAATTTGTATATTAAAAAATTATAGAAATTATATATTAATAATCTATATGTTAAGACAAATCAAACAAGATCACACATGACTATATTTATACTTATACATTGAGAGAATTTGATGAGTCAAAGTGCTTAGATGAACAGTTCCAAAAGTCAAAAGTGGACAAAGAAAGTGAGACGGAGGTAGTATATATATCATTTCGAATCAAATCAAAACCAATCAGATAAGTTGAAAAGAATGAGCCGATAGTCATTCTTGCATATCAATTTAACGAGTATATTTAACTTCAATTATTTTTTTAAAGAGTAATTAATTGACTTTAATGCTTCGTATCAATTCCGTCATTCACCTTTGAATAATTGGCAACGGCTAATAACGAAAAATACCTGATTTTAAAGCTTGGACTTTGGAGGCCCAAAAAGAGAAAAAAAAGTGAACTCACCTCAAAGTCCCAAAAGTTGGTTTATGAAGATGTCAATGCCGTGAACCAATTGAATTGAATGATCGATTAACAAACGGAGCAATAAGTGGCGTTGTGCGTGTAACTCGCCATATTCCTTCCCTCCCTAAATCAAACTCATCATGTATTGATTCTTAAAAAATTTAAAGAGATTGTATATTACTCAGTAGTATTTAATATTTAAAAATGTTTTTGGATTTGATAGATAGAAATAAAATGTGATAAGTAAATTCATAGTGATTGGATATAATGTGATACATAAGGCCAGAATTAGAAGGATAAAAATGATTTTTCAATAAAAAATAATATGATCGAAAAATGAACAATGAAAATTTTTTGGAAACAAATGAAGTATATAAAAAATTTTACATACAGAGGTGACATGTATGTATATATATTTTAATGAAATGAGTAACGAAAATAAATAAAAAAGTAAGTGATGTTTGACTATGGGAATAGTGCATATAAAATATTTTTTGCACGAAAGGAGTATCAAATATACTCTTTCAATTCCTTCCCAAATGAGTTTTTAACTCACTTTAATTTTTTTTATCCGACCCAAAATAAAATGAATAAGTAGAGAACAACATTTGTCGCCCCTCTAAACAAATTTTATTCACATTGTTTTATTTTTTAAGAATATATTTGAAAAGGGAGAGACTTGGTAAGTACAAATATAGATATCTCGCAATATCTTCGTGAGAAGTCGAATCCGTCCACAATCCTCTTCTACACGAGACTCGAAGAAAGAATTGACTTAATTATATGAGCGATGCTGTGAATACAACAAATTTGTACCCCAAATGCATATCATTCATTTTGTTATCATACATTTTTATTTATTTAATTATTTATTTATTTTTCTTTACATGCATAAATGTATGATATTGGAGTACTTGGGGTACATTTTGAGTACACCTACCCCTAACATTTTTCTTGATTATATATACATGCATGTGAAGATGAGTAGGATGAAGGTTCACGTGTCCCTAAACATGCCCGTGCTCATAGATATAGACCTTAGCGGCGCTGGCTCCTGATTTCTCTCACTCGGGTCACAATTTTGGCAAAACCTATGTGTACGCAATTATTGTTTGTGTGAAACATAGACATTGACTATATCTCGAGTGTAACCTAGGTGTAACCCAAGTAGTGTATCTCAAATGTACAACATTTACTCACAAACATACACAGAATTATTGTCAGTGTGAGACATAGATAGTGAATGTCTGTGCGTCTGTGAGAAGGCCATGATATGTACAGGGTACACTATTTAAGGGCACACTTGGCCGAGATTTCACGTAACTCAGGACGTAGAGTGCACCATCCCAATGTTCGTACTTGCTGAGGTATAAATTCCATCCCATATTAGAAGAAGAATGGCTTAAACAAATAGATTCTCCGTCCAAAAATTATCTTCTCGTTACGATTTTACACGTAAATTAAAAAAAAATGAAAAATATGTTGACATTTCATATTTATCCTTGAGTTATTGTATAAATTGAAATAAAGTATAGGTATGATTGTAATTAATAGGTAAAGGTGAGGCCGTGAGGGTATGTAATAATCTGGTATAAAGAAAAAACATTTGCCAAAAATGAAAATAAAAAGATAATTTATGGACGGACATATAAGAAAAGTGGGAAGATAAATAATGAACGAGAGAAGTAACATTATCCAATACTATGAGTGTGAAACCATTTGGGAGATGCCTAAAAAATTCGTGAAGTTTGGTCCAGAGCAGAGAATATCATACTAATGTAGAGGTGGGTGGGGTGCCCAAAAACTGAGGTAAGAGGAAGAAATTGAATTGTAAAATGTACAACTTTTTATTATATTAATGAACTAAGGTCTAAAAAATGAGCACAACCCTTAAATTCATGTGAGAAATTACCAACGAAAAAAGGTGGAGGAAAAAGAAGAGAAGAAAGAGGAAACTCGGTAGTCGGACCATGAAGAAGAATAAGAATGTTACAAATGTAGTATTATACTCCCTTCGTCCCAGAAAAATTTTCATATTTTGACTATTGTGGCTATTTTTTTCATTTTTTATTGCAAATTAAACATAATTTAAATAAACAAATGTTATAAATATTTGATAAATAAAAAATACTCCCTCCATTTTTTAAAAAACTTCCTCATTCATTTTTTTTGTTTTCCCAAAATACTTTTACTTTCTATTAAAAAATTACTTTTACTCATACTTTTTCTTATTCTACCTATTACATCATACTTTTTTAGTAATAATGTATCCATCACATCTTACTTTTACCATTACATCAAAGGCAAAATTAGAAAGTCAATCACAAATATACACTTCTTATTTTACCTAAAAGTCAAAATAGGAATCATTTTATTAAATGGAGTGAATATATCTTAAGATAAACATGATTATATTGAAATTACATTATAATTAAATATACTTTTTTTCACAATTTGTGGTCTGAGACTGTCACTGTTTGACAAAAAAATGTCAAAAATGAAATTTTTTTGGGACAGAAGTAACAACAACAACAACAACAACAACACACAAGAGTAGGGTCTGGGAGGGTGTGTGTATGCAGACCTTACCCCTACTCGAAAGTAGAGAGGCTGTTTCCAAAGAGACCCTCGGCTCAACGTCGAAAGTTGCATTGCTTGACTAACTGCTACTTCATTAATTAAAGAAGCGCAGACAGTTTAGAAATCCATTTTGATTTATTTCATCACACTCCAAAGCCAAAAAATGGTGAAATTTTGGCTCCATCGAAAATGATGGAATGAGACAGAAGTATTAATGTTTAAATAATTACTTCGTATTTATTTATCAATTACTATTTATTTACTCCCTTTATTCCTTTTTAATTTCGTGGTCTGTTTTTGATTTAAATGTTTGATCAACAATATATCTTAAAATGTATTAGCAAAAAACATTTAAAAATAATATATTAATAGGGTGCAGTTTTAACATGAATAATTTTAGTGTTATCTTCTAATTTTGTCCTTATTTTATAATAAAGTAAAACTATTCATTTTAAAGGCACGCCTAATTCCCGAGTAAACCCTCCCACAGTCCCACCCAACACGCTTCGAATCCATCTCAACCCCTTCAATTTTATCTCCAAATATTTGATTTTTGGATCAATTTTTTGGTCTAAAAGTCTAATAAATTTGGAGAATACATTGAAGGGATTGAGAGTGAGTTCAAATGAGATTATATAGTTGTTGTCATATTTTTTCTTGTAAAACAAGGGTGGTGAAATTAAATTTTACATAGGGAGTACCTACCGGTTGTAATGGGAATGACAATTAGATATGCCCTCAGCCCTCCCTCCTAGTTGTAAATCGTAATCATCACCATCATCAACTCATGATACAAATACCCATCAAGCGGACATTCCTTTCCTCCCTCTCTATATTACTCCATTGCTTTCTTTTTTAGCTTCTTCTTCAATTACCCATTCCCAATATAATTAACTTCCTTTTGTTTCTCAGCTCCCTCCAACAATGTCTCCCCCTTCTTCCCTGTTCTCAATTTCATGCCTCCTACTCCTGCAAGCCCTTTATCTCTGCTCACCACTCGGAGCGGCGGGTTCCAAGGTGCCCCACCGCAGCCGCCGCAACCACCACCACAACGGCGGAAGTCCTCCAAAGCTCCGAGCAGCGGCGGCGGCGGCCAATTTGAGCTCTTCTTGCTCTCTGTTTCAGGGCAGCTGGGTCTTTGACCAGACCTACCCGCTGTACAAATTCTCCGACTGCCCCGCCCTCATCGACCCAGAGTTCAACTGCCAAATGTACGGCCGCCCCGACACCGACTACCTCCGTTTCCGGTGGAAACCTGCAAACTGTGAAATTCCCAGGTACCCACCCATTTCTGCCCCGGGGCGAAAGATTTGATCTTTTTTTCCCGGCGATTCTTGATTTTCCGGTGGGGTGTGTTAATTTGTGGTGCAGGTTCGATGGGGTGAAATTTCTGGAGAACATGAAGGGGAAGAAGGTGATGTTTGTGGGAGATTCTCTGGGGCTGAACCAATGGGAGTCTCTGATTTGCATGCTCTCTGCTTCTGCTCCAAGAACGCAGACAAAGATCTCTCGCAGTGACCCTCTCTCAAATTTTACATTCTTGGTAATTATTTTAATTTGTTTTTGAATTGAATAATTCACATTTATTAGAGTTTTTTGTCCCTTAATAAATTTCACATTTTTACCCTTTGAGACATGAAGTTCCATTTATACCCTTTGAGATTATAACTCAATTTTACTATCTTTTTTTTTCCTTCTGAAATGATGCAGGAATACGGGGTAACGGTGTCGTTTTACAGAGCGCCATACCTAGTGGACATAGAATCGGTGGAGGGAAAAAAGGTCCTGAAATTGCAGGACATAAGCAAGAATGGGTATGGGTGGAGGAATGTGGATGTCCTTTCTTTCAACACTGGCCATTGGTGGGTCCACAAGGGCACTCTCCAAGGGTGGGTACACCCTTTTTTCATATCTTTACCTTAGAATACAAAAACTATTTCTGAACCACTTTTTATTGAATTGGTTTCTTGATAAATTTTGAAAATATTCTAAATATGACATCAAAATTCACACTATCAATGACGATATCGTATGAAAAGAACGTTCAAAAACACGTCCACGATCTCACTTGTGGTGTGGCGATAAAACATTATACTCAAAAATCTAATGGAATAGTTATTTTGCAGGTGGGATTACATGGAAAAAGATGGGGTTTTGCACGAAGATATGGATAGGTTGGGTGCCCTTGAGGAAGGGCTGAGGACATGGGCCCGTTGGGTTGATTCGAATCTCGACCCAACTCGAACTCGCGTCTTTTTTCAAGGAATCTCTCCCACCCACTACAAGTATGTCAAATGTTATCGAAAAGCTATTTGCCATTTCTCTTGATTATCTCGTATATAATTTATGGTGTGATAAAAATTACGAGTATTAAACAATCACATTCATCTACTCCACAAATCACGGAGGAAAATGTACTACCTCTTTGATTTTTTAATCAATTTTTGATTTTTTTCAATTAAAATTGATAAATTTTAACTATGAATTAAATAAAAATGATATTAGTCATTAATACAAAATAACTTTATTAGATTTATTTTATATAATAGTTTCAAAATGTTATTTTATCAAATCAATATATCACATACCCGAGTATATTTTATTTAATTATACATCAAAAGTATAAAATGATTGACTGCAAAAAGTCAAAACCATACATTTTTAATGAGTTAGTAACCTAGCATAGTACAAGTAGTACACCTAACATAATCTTGCATATATCATAGTCAACAAAAGAAAATTGGTGGGTTTTGTCAATAAGGTGAGGGTAGGTAATAGAAAGACAAAATATGTGGGGAGAGGTATGGATATATTTATCCATCTTCCATGCATCTCTCCCCCAAAACTTTTTACTTTTTTGTTTGTCCAAAATCAATTTTTTTTTTCCAAGGAAAAGAATATAGGAATCAGAAAATTTCTCCCTCCCTAGCAAAGTCAATTCATATTCTGTATTTGTTTAAGTTTTAAATATTTTTCCTAATCTACTTAAAAATGAAAAACAAAAGATTTTTATGAAGGACTAGTACTCATATAAAACAAAGAGTAGATGGAAGCCAGTAGGGCAATGGGTCCTGATTTGTTTATGTCTCTCTAGCGCAGCTTGTTCTTTTTTCTATTGTTTGGGTTACATTTGTTATTATTATAAATTATATAATGCCAGCACTATGAATATATATATATTGGCAGTTTCTCTTTTGCCTAATTAATCCACCAGTCACATGGCAGATATACCTCATTCATATTTTTATAATCCTCATTTTAAAATACCAGTAAGTATAATAAATAAATAAACAAGCGTCTATTGTCGAAAAAATATTATTTGTCCATTATATTTCAGCTAAGACCATCTTCAGACTCCAATCAGTAGCACCAAGCTCAAACTTAAAACACAGTAAAAATCTAAAATACAGTAATTCATTTCCAATCCATTTCTCCAAATTCAGACTCAAATCACAATATATTCATTTTTCACTTATTTTTGTGGTTTCTAAATAAAAATGCATTCAACTATAAAAAAATAAATGTCTAAATACGAAAACGAAGATAACAATTACAATATCCTACAAACATAAAATGCAATCAATATCAAGTCAAATACTAATTCATCTCTAACTAATTACACTAAACTCAAAATAACATTCTTAGTGTATGTTCATTTTATCACTTTTTTTATACTTTGCAAATTAAAACATTTGAAATGCGTTGGATAAAAAATTGCATAAAACTTGAAACAATTCAGAGAAAAAAAAAAGAAAGAGAAAAATGCAGTAACGAAGTACAAACTCAAATATGAGGAATGTACATATTAACTAGTATTTGCACTAAAGCTTAAGTCATTTCTCTAAATAACACTTAAACTGTTTAATTTCCTAAATACTCCGTAGCACTTAATAATGTCCAGAAGGAGGAATAATGTCCAGTGATAGCGAACATTTACTTGAATAATGACGAATGGATAATGACTAGAAGTGCTACATTAGAAAAAAACACATATGATGCTACATCGGATAAAGCCAAAAATCTTTAAAAGTGCTAGCTCATTATGTTTTAGTGCTATTTAAAGAAATGAAGAATGTCTTTTTTTTTGTATCGGTAACGTTATAATTTACGGGTGACTTTGAAATGATCATTGACAGCGCTCGCGAGTGGGGCGCGGGAACGGAGACGGTGTCAAAGACGTGTTACGGCGAGACGACCCCGACGGCGCCGAGAGCCGGCGGGGCCTACCCGGGGACGTACCCGGAGCAGATGAAAGTGATCCAAGCAGTGGTTGGGGGCATGAGCCACCCCACATTCCTTCTGGACATATCACTCCTATCAGCCATGAGGAAAGATGCACACCCTTCCATATACAGCGGTGATCTCACTCCCGCTCAAAGGGCTAATCCTGACCGTTCATCTGATTGCAGCCATTGGTGCCTCCCTGGCCTCCCCGATACTTGGAATCAACTGTTTTATACTGCCCTTTTCTCTTGAATGAAAGAAAAAAAAAATGGATGTTCAAACTTATATTTTACACACACACACACGATGTAATTCATCTATCATTGTTCTCGTCAATCAAGCAATTGTATGTTATCTATCATAGTCAACGGATGGTCAAGGTTTCAGATTGGACATCGGTTGATTTACAGTATGTTTGGTTCCATTAATTTGATAGGGAAAAGGAAAGAAAATTAAGTGGAAAATAGGTTTTCTTATTTGGTCAGAGAGGAAAAGAAAATAAGAAGGCAAAATGTAATTAGAGGAGGAAAATTATTTATTGTTCCGTAATATAGAAAAGAAATAACATAACTTGATACAATGTACTGTATATAGTGTAAAGGGCAATAACAGAGAATTCTATTTGTGACCCTACTTTTGACACTAAAGATAAATCATAAACACTTACACACAAATAATAAACATTATTAGTAGTTTAGTGCACAGCAGCAGGAAGGGTTTTTGGCATCCCCACAGTTCCTTATTCAAGAAAAACAGGACATGTATTTTAAACCATGGCCCCCATGATAAGGCTTGGGCTATCTGTTTTATTTTTTGAGTTTGACACAAATATGTACACACCCTAACAACACAGAATGCAGCACTGCATCTAAAAGACATGCTGCTAGTATTTGCTGCCGGCTCCCCAGCCTCTCTCACATGTTAGCTCCGTATCGCGAGCTCTGGGGCTGCTGCTGAGACTCCCAGCATCCTCTTCGGCACACCTCCGAGGATGTTCTTGTCAGACCCCAAGTTCCCACCGTTCACTCCCCTTGGGCTGCCCGGGTATGCCGAGTTGTGTACACCTATGGCTGCCCTCCCAGAAGGGTCAAGATTCTGTGACCACGAAGCGTCCCATTCCACTGCCTTAGCCGTGCTGCATGCCACACTGGCTCCTCCTGGAACTGTCAGCCTTGCCGCGTTCTGGCAGATACATGTAAATAAGTGCATGGTCAAGAATCAAAACACGAGTGGAATGGGTCTGGTCTGTTAGAGATCATTTACCTGTGGGAAGAACCTCTCGAAGATCATTCTGTAGTAGTAACCTTCTTTGGAAGTTGGGGGGTTATGTGTGAAGATATGTTCGGCGTTCAGCATCATTTTTTCTGTCACCTGTTAGTCAAAGAAAAAAAATCAACCATTTAATGTTAGAAAACATAGCAATAAGTTCAATTTGGTGAAGTATGAAAGGGAGGATGCTCACATGCTCTTCAGCATGAGCTTTGAGCCCATCAATCCAACTATATCCCACACCATCACTGAATTGTTCCTTCTGCCTGTACAAGATATGCTGTTGGCAAGCAAAAAAAACCTTTGTCAGTGCGCGTGGAGAAAGTAGAGCTAACCAAACTAAACTGAGCCTAACAACTAGGTATATCCACCACTCCAGAGTAGGGTACGGGGGTAGGATATACGTACACTTCACCTCTACCCCTAAGAGAAGAGAAGTGTTTCGGGCTGAACCCATTTTCGAAATATGAGACTTGTCCCACTTTAGTTGTATGAGCAACAACTGATGGGTTTATAAACCAAATGGGTCCTCCCACCTGACACACTACTGACACTAGTCTTTTGAGATGAGTTCCCGTGTGTGGTCTATATAACATATGGTATCAGGCATAGCCCACAAAGTGGTGGCCTGGTGGTGCCAGCCGTGATCATGGATGTTGGCTCTTAAAGAGGGCCGAATGTTACAAACTGAAACTCTTTGCAAGGTACGAGACTTGTGCCACATCGATTGTATGGGCAACAAATGAGGGGTTTGTAGACCAAATGGGCTCTTTGAGCTGACATACTAGTCTTTAGGGATGAGTTCTCACTTCTCAGGTTTGGTGAGGGTACCCGACAAACGGACTGGAGAGTGACATGTAATGTGGGGAGTGGAAGAAAACCTATAGAAGGGCTCTACGTTAACTAAGAAACTCACAGGCCGTGTAACAAAATTGAGGGGATAGTTTGGAAAGACCTTTGGGAGGTAGGGGTGCTTTTCATCATCAAAAGCCCTTCTGAGAATCCACTTCTCGATGCGTCCCTCTTCTGGTTTTATCTGAATCACAAATAGGAAATAGTTCAATCCAGAGAGATTGAGCCATAGCAAAAGACCTGCGTAGATTGGATTTGGATGCAATTCTTACCATCTTCCATTCAGGATCAATGTTCATGGCAACATTGATGAAATCCTTGTCCAAAAAAGGAACTCGAGCTTCTAAACCCCATGCAGATGTTGCCTTGTTTGCTCTAAGGCAATCATACTGGTGAAGTGCCTTTAACTGCATAAGCAATTCATTATAATCATGTTCAAGAAAAAAATCAATTCAAAAATTCATTTTCCCAGACATTTGAACTCTTCGGTAACCTTGCGACATGTCTCCCTATGGAATTCCACCTTGTTGGGTGCCTTGTGGAAATACAAGTAGCCACCAAAAACTTCATCTGATCCTTCCCCAGATATAACCATCTTCACCCCAAGAGACTTAATCTTGCGCGACATTAGGAACATTGGGGTGCTTGCCCTTATTGTCGTCACATCATAAGTCTCCACGTGATAAATAACATCCTCAATTGCATCAATACCGTCCTGCCATAAGTCATAAACCCTTTAGAACACCCACTGTGGTTCATCTCACAATCAACCCCCCCTCTGTCTTCTTTTTCATGTCATTTCTTCATATCCATAAAATACTTTTGGTTTGCTATGTACCTGTACTGTGAAGTGGAACTCGTGATGAACGGTTCCCAGATAATCTGCAACTTCTCTCCCAGCTTTCAGATCTGGGGAGCCCTACTCGGTAACAACAAAAAAAAACATTAACTGAGAACTAAATGGTATCAGTAAGAAACACAAATTAATACTGAACTGAAACAATTGAGACAGACCTCCAAACCAACACAGAATGAATGCAGCTGAGCTCCCCATTGCTTAGCTGCTTTCGTGCCAGCCAAGTGGCGAGCCGTGATTGATGCAACTAGTGATGAATCAAGACCTCCCGAAAGAAGAACTCCAAATGGAACATCAGTCATCAACCTCTTTATCACAGCCTGCAAAAAATAAAATTTCCTAAGCTATCACAGCGATACATAATCATAGTTCTTCCCCTTCCATCTAAAACAAGAATACGGTCTCACATTTTCAAGGGCGTGCCGAAGAACCAAGGGTTCATAAGGAGTTGATGGAATAGCCTCAGAGAACCATGGAGGATTGTACCACCTTCTGAAGCCACCCGACTTGCTCGAGTATAGGTGTCCCGGTGGAAACACCTCAAAGTGCTCACAATCATCATTTAAGCCCTTCAGTTCAGATGAAACCCAAACAGATCCTAAGGCAAACTCAACAAAGCAAAGGCAAAGATTGATCAAACCCCATATTTGGTAGTTTCTCATTTTGTTTTTTTAAGTGTGTATATGTTTAGTTTCAGGGTATATACCATCAAGTCCCCAGCCAATATAGAGGGAGGTGATCCCAATAGCATCGCGAGCGACTATAAAACTATTGTCGCGGGTGTCCAGTAATACAAAAGAAAACATCCCATCCAGCATCTCCACAAATTCCTCTCCATGTTCTTCATACTGAATAACACCACCAAACTGACTTTGTCATTTCATCTTTGAATTAATTACCCCCAAAGCCCAAGGGTCGATCTATTACCAAAATTGAATCTATTGGAATACTTTGAGCTCTTTCATTACACTATCACTCCCTCCATCTCGCAATAAAGTTCACGTAAACCTCAAGGATTATACTGGTTTTGTTGTTGGGTGTGTGTATAATACGTAGTATTTATTAATTCATACTTAAAGATATTAATAGTCAGAATGTTACATTGAACACGGAAAGGAGGGAGTAAATGACAATGATTTAGTTTAATGAGTCGACTCACGAGATGTGCAATAACATCGCAGTCACTACCCGTGAAGAACTTGTGGTTTGGCAAACTCTTCCTCAGTGTCTCATGGTTATAGATCTCTCCATTTACCTAATTGAACACAACATCCTCATCATCAGTAAAAAGGAAAAAAACCATGTCTTACCCTAGAATTGCTCAAAAACCATTGAGTGAACAAACATGAAATTACAGAAATGAACCAACCGTCACAATAATCTTCTTGTCCTCATTGTAGAGAGGCTGGTCGCCGGAGGCGGGATCGATGACGGCCAGGCGTTGGTGGGCCAGGTAACAATCCCCGTGCTGAAACAGCCCACTCCAGTCAGGTCCGCGGTGCTTCAACCTGTTCCATCGGTTATAAACAAACAATAATCAGATCACAATCCCTAACAACCAAAATCGATCTCCAGAAAAAAACAAAAAATCAGAACGGGATTCTGGAAATTGCCTGCGGGAGAGCTCGAGAACCCGAACCCGCTTGCGCTGGGAGTCATCGGAGCAACCCAAAACGGCTAGGATTCCACACATCGCTATACAGAGAGAGCTATTAGTGCGTGTCAGTTTAGTGAAGAAGAAGAAGAAGAAGAAAGGGGTGTAGAAATTGGCGGGTGAAGAAGTGGAAGAAGATGAATAACTGCGCCCGAAATTCGGAGAAGTCGTTAAGCTTTTGAGTGTGTGTATATTTTGTTGTCGTTGATTCGGTGAGATGGCGCGTATTTATAGGCCCGGAGGATGGCGCCATCAACTAACCACTTTCGTGTGGCGCCATTCCACCGCTTCCTCTTTTGGATAAACTTTTGTGACTATTTCCTAATCCACCTTTCATAATAATTACTCTCCCTCTCAAACTTTTTTTGTTTTGACTTTTTCTAGTCAAAGTATGATACTATTTGACTATAAACTAGTATTTCTACCCGTGCTATGCACGGGTTCGGTCAAGTTTTTTTTCCGATTATACAATACGGATCTTGATTTTTATTTTGAATAATATTCCAAGGTCAAATATAAATGATCTAGGTTGGATGTATTTCTACAAATCTAAATATTTTCTCCCTATATAAATTTTAAAATATATTAATACAAAAAGTAATAGTGATCTAATGATTCTTTTTTCTCACATTAATTTTAAAAACATAAATTACCGACATTATAATTATATAGTCCCTCTGTCCCTGAGCATTTGTCCACTTTTGACTTTTTTAACAAAATTGGTAATAATATAATGACATTAGATATTGTTAAAAAATTAGTTTTATTTGATTTATTATATTATTCATTTTCAAAATATTATTTTATGTACTTAATATATAATATATTTTTTATATAATTATAAGTCAAATATTGAAAACAGTTTATCAAAAAAAGTCAAAACTGAACAAATACTCATGGACGGAGATAGTAATTAAAAAGAGGATTCTTTTTATCCATAATCCCAACTACCCCCTCCCACGCAATGATTATAAAAAATTATTATTCTTTCTTGCATTATTAAAAAAACAAAATCTTAAATTAGTGATCCTAAATCTCTATGATTATAAATTTTAATTTTAAAATATTAAGAATCAATTCTTCTTCTCCCCCATATTGATTTTAAAAAACATTAAAATGTTAGTGCTCCAATGATTTTGTCAGGATAGTATTCTGGTCAAGATATAAAATGTTCTATTAAAATATAAATAGTTACAAATTGGAAATTATATTTTCTTTGATGTGGTTGTAACCTGTAACTGAGTCTTGAACTTATTAGCTATTGCACCTTAGATTTTCTGCACAATTTTTCTTACTTTTTTTGATTATCCTAAATCTTCATTGTCACAAATCTTCTCACGCTCCCCTCCACACCTTGATCTTCTTTGTCACAATTTTCTATGCATAAATCTGTGTTACCTCATAAAATATCATCCTATGAAGTTTTCTCTCTTATTCAAAAGTTCTTTATTTTATGTATAAACATTTTGAATTGCAACACAATATAAGTATGTAATGAGAATCATAAGTTACAATATAAGATTATTTTGATTGAAATAGTAAATCAAGTTACCTAGACAAAGTATAAAAGTCTTATTAAATCTTTTTTCTAATTTTTTTATTTTAAATATTCAATATTTTAAAAATAGTCAAATTGTATGTAAATACTTTTATTTCATATCATAATTAGTTATCTTACCATAAACAAAAGTTCTATGTAAGATATGCATTAAGTCAATCTCATAGTATATGTATAATCCATTTGTCTAAAAATAAAGTACATAACCATGACGTGTATAATTACCTTAGAAAATATAGTCTTAAGGCTTTTAATCACCTAATTATAAATTATAAATTTCTTTAATTTGAGTAATATAAAAATAGTCTTTTTGAATAACGTATTTTCCAAAATTGGTGTTATTAAGCATTATAAATTATCTATGTAGTACTTTATAGTTGAGATTTATTCACTCAGTGTCATCCGTATATGTTTGTTAATTAAATGGGTGTTCAGTGGAGGAAATTTAGGTATTTTCAACATTTAAATGTAGGGTAATTTTTCAAAATGACCATTTCGGATTAACCTTTTTCTAATGGCCTTTATAATAATTATAATTTTATCCCAATTGTGCATTGAGGGGCACCTTAATGTTTTGTGTCCCTCTATTAGGCACTCATGTTCACGATAGTAAATTTCGAATGAGGATGACCTCGCCTTTGATCCCCCACTTCATATCTATGTTGAATTTTGATAAATTCACGTATGCAAAGTACGTGATTTGTTTTTTTTTTTGCAAATACTGTTTTGTTGTATATATCTCATACAAATATTTTTTGTGTTTTTTTAAAAGTAATAGTTATGACTTCAATGAAGTCAAAAGTGAAATACCTATAATTATTTTAAAATGTTTTTGTAATTTTTCTTTGTGAAAAACTGTGCAACTATATTTGTTTTGCTGTTTAAAAATAAATTCATATCAAGTGAAGAAAATTTTGGATGTTTACATTCATAGCTTGAACAGAGCATTTCATGGTGACACAATTTTTTAATCAATTTTATTATATAATAGAAGATAATTAAACATAATATATTTTTTAATTTATATAATAAATCATCCGACGACTATAAACACAAATTCTCTTGTGATAAATCAAATCCAAAAAAATATATTCTAACTATGGAGTTATGAATAATATATTTTTCTAATTTAACACAATTATAGTTCAATCATCTATTGTTTTTAAATTTTATTTAAAGTAAATTTTATGAAAATATACTTTAATGTAGTTTTAAAATTAATTAAAAGTGTAATTATAAATGAAGAGTAAAAAAATTAATTGGGAAAGAATACTATTATAAAAAACGAATTTTCCTATTTCATAATTAAATTTATTCAAAGATTTCTTACCATAACGATAATTTCACATTTTATACGTCCTAATTAGGTGGAATATTAGGTTTCAAAACAAATGCAATTTTTTATAGGTGACGAAATATTTTATTTATTAGGTGTTAATATTTAAATAAATATTATCAAACTAACTTCATTTATTTAGATGTATCATAAAGAAATATAAAATTTATTTCAAAAAAAAAGCTTCACAGAAATCACTCTCCTTTTTTATATATAAAGGATTATATTTTTAAAATTGAAAAAATATTTTTATACAATCTTTTTTTAATTATGAAATATTATAAAAGATTATGTGAACTTGTAACAAAAATCACCCTTGCATGAATGGCTAGAAATTCAACCAAATGTCTAGGGGGTTTTGTGTTCAAACCCCCACAAAGGCATGATTTGGAAAAAAACGCAAGAAAAAAAAACTTGGGCAACTGGTTTGACTGGCCGGTTCTTATCAGTTCGATCAGTTCACGGTCCAAATCGGCCAATTGGTCTGATCCGGTTTTTAAATACGTGGCAGATGACTTGTTAAAAAATGCCAAGTAAAACCGCCACATGTCGAAATTCTCTCTGTGAGACGAGTCTCAAATATTATAGTAAAAAGATTGTGAGAAAATATATTTTATTATAATATAAATACAATATAATTGAGTTCATCTTAAAATATAGTTTTGATATATCAAATTTTTATATCATTTATTTATTTAAATTATGTTTAATTTATAGTAAAAAAGTCTCACTGTTTTCCAAAAAAATTCAAAACAGGAAAGGTTTTTAGGACTGGAGAGAATATTTTATTTATTTATTTATTTATTTTTTACAAATAAGTGCCACCAGTTCAAACTCCAATGGAAATTTGGCCTTTTCTTTTTTAGTATGTTAACAAAATATAAATAAACAGAAATTGCGTTTAATAGATTTTAAAGCGTCCAAAAAAGAGACAATGTTACTTTCTTTTTAGAATGGGATGAGTAAGAAGAGCGAGGGAAAATTTCTTATAAAATTGAAATGACAAAATAGAAATGAAAAATGGAGTAATGTGAATGTCAGGCCAATTGTGGAGAACTAAGAAATGAATTTCATTTTTTTATATCGAAAAATGAATCAGAACAAGCAATAAAACAAGTGTTATGAGAATATTTTATAGAGTCCTCCATACCGCACACAAAAGACATTTTTACTATCTTTTTTTTGTCAAAATAATTTTTTTATTTGTTACTTTCTTTTTTAGAAAAGAATATGCGATCCAAAATATTTCATTCTTTTCTAGACAAAAATTAGACAAATTTTACGTAGTCTATATTAATAACATAAAAGAATTGAACTTTTTGCAAAAAATCCTAATAACCAATCCATGAAATATGTGAAAATGTTCATCTTTTATATGTAGACCTTAGGACCACGAAAGAACAACTCAACAAATAAATTATTATCATTTTTTTTGTTTCCCTTTGAATATGTTTTAAACATTTCTTCACGAAATCTAAATGGATAAAATATTAAAAAAAAGATGAGTCTCATTCCAAAAGATTCTCTCAAATCCGGCCGGTTGATCACAGAGAAAAAATAAATTAGACTTTAATCGCAGATTAGTGGCAATAATTGATGAAGCCTGGATATTATACTTTCAGAGCTCTATACTTAGCGTAATTATCTCGCATAATTATCTCCTGATGCAGTTATATGAAATTCAACTCGGATCTATTCTTTCCTACTTTTGTCATTCGCCAGCGCAATATGCACACACCGACTGATAAAATATTTTCAGATTTTTTCAATTTGGAATTGAAGGAGGGAGTACGCATGTACTCCGTACCTGTGGCCTACTAAAACAGTACTAGTAACCTGCCAAAACACAGTCTTCATATGATCTGTCATTTTTGAAAACTTATCCGAATACACAAAGAGCTTATTGAAAAAAAATATGCTTGATTTTGTGCTTTGATTCATTGAAAAAAATACTCCCTCCGTCTCAAATTATTTGTCACATTTCTATTACCGAGGCAAAATATTAAGTTTTTTCAATTCATTTTAATTATATATTGGTAAAGAAATAAAAAATAAAAATTACATATAAAAAAACTACATGAAAAGTTCTTCGAAATAAGAGGTGTCAAGAATATTTTATTTTATCAAATAACTAATGAAAATGTAGAAATAAACAAAAGTTCCCGCGACTGTTGAAAAAGCAAATGTGACAAATAATTTGGGACGGAGGGAGTATGTATGATAACTATTACTCCCTCTGTCTCCCTGTATTTGTCCACTTTCATTTTTACACACCATCCAATGCACTTCTTTAATCCATTTTATCTTGTAATTTGTATATTAAAAAATTATAAAAATTATATATTAATAATCTATATGTTAGAACAAATCAAACAAGATCACACATGACTATATTTAGGCTTACACATTGATAGAATTTGATGAGTCAAAGTGCTTAGATGAACAGTTTCAAAAGTCAAATGTGGACAAATACAGGGGGACAGAGGGAGTACTCCATTCCTCCTAAAATAGAATAAGATTTTTATTTGGTCTAACACAAAGTTTATGAAAAATAAAAATGTGTGATTGAAAATGATTGAAAATGTGTAATTGAAAATAATTCATTCCATAGTAACTATGTATTATGACTTTTTAGATACATTTAAAAAAATAAATGAATATACACGTAATTTATGTATACATTCATTAACTTTTCAGTGTATTTAAAAACTCATAATAGACTATTAATATAAAATAGAGAAAGCATGTAGAAGTAAGTATTACGGAGTAGTAATTAGTTTGGTATACGTTCCCTTCTAAAGAAAAGTTTGGCCTTCTATATCTTATTTAGTTAGATTTCTTATTATTCAATTCAAATGAGTTTTATATCAATAATATTCATACTCTTTCTTTAGGCTATACATATATGTATATATGTGTGTGTACGCGTGTGTACCTTCTCCGTCCTCAAATTGATTACAACTTTTTTAAGACCTGCCTTTCGATAATTTTTTAGTTTGTGTATTTATTACTCCCTCCGTCCGAAAATGTTCTTCCCGTGTTGGCTTGGCACGCTTATTAAGGAATAGTAAAAAAAAGGCAAAATTTTCAAAAATGCACATACTATAAACTTTTGAATCTCCTTTTATTATTAAAAAAGTATTAAAAAAGTAGATTTGTGATAAAATAGAAGGGTATTATTGATATTTAGCCTTAAAAAGCATACTAAAAAAGTAAATGGGAAGAATATTTTCGGACGGACCAAAAAGGAAAATGGGAAGAATATTTTCGGACGGAGGGAGTATTTATTACTTGATAAATTAAAATATTGTTTTAATTTTTGTTTTATAAAACTTTTGAGTTTTTTAAATGTAAACTTATAAATTTTTCTTATATCATTTTTAAATTAATTAATTTTAAAAAATTTGTAGTTTTAATTTCTTAATAAAAAATATAAGCTAAGTTTCGACGAAGAGAGTAAATGATTTGAACGAATAAAAGGGTAATTTACCTAAATAGAACTAAAACATAATGACTTTCTTAATATAGGATCATATGTTTTTATTTCCCTATGTAGGATCATTGGTCATTATCTATTAGTCATTATTGAACTAAATGTCCAGCATCACTTGGACATTATTCTTCTCACTAGGCATTATTATGTCATATTTAGGGAATAAAAAAGTTTAACTCTTACATTAGAAATGACTTATGTTTTAATCCGATTCAATGTAAATTTTCACAAATAAAAAACACAAAATCTAAGACTCCGTACCAAATAAATCTAAACGGAGAGAATAAAGAATACTCCGTACTAGGAGTACCGGACGCAATGATATATGGTAAGAAAAAAAAGATAAAGCATAGGTTTATCCGCATCCAATTACAAACATGTCTGTTGTCTCTTTTCGTTTTGTTTTTTCTTACATTGTGCTAAATTATAATATTTCCATGCGCCATATTAGGGGTATATCAAAATTATGTACACAAATACTAAATATCTGTGATCACAGACATATGTATCTGTGTTTGCCTGATATACAAATTAGATACACTTACAATTATCGGTCCGACACTTCTGAAATGAAATAACAGAGAAAACACATAAACACACACTTGGTTGAGCTAAAGGTAGTCAGAGCGCATAAAACAAATAGATGCTACAATGAGGATCCGTAGGATCCATATAGTGATGAGGATATGCTAAAGAATAAAAACTCATCATAAAATGTGTTGTCAACAATCAGTTTACAACTACACTTACGGTTAATGCATAATAAAGAAGCCACTATTTTAAATGTAGATCCCACCGGCTTTGACATAATTATAACAATAAAACAACCACTAGATTCGTACTTCACGAAACCCGGATAACTAAACAACTAAATCTGCACTTGATATTTCCACCTCATGCGATAAGTGTCTTTCCATTCAAACGTTATACGTAGTAAATACTAATCAATTTAATATTCATTCATGAGACAATGCTTATCTACAATCTCCCTTTCAGTCCATGCCAAGAAATCACCCTTTCACCAAAAAAAGAGCTCTAGAGGAGCAGCAGGATCATCTTTTGGTCTTGCCTTGGAGTTGAGATGCCTCACTTGGCTGCAGCTAAGGTCTATACCTTCCAATCCCAAAATCTTCTGAAGCATGTACTCCCTCCGTCCCAAAAAGAAAGTTACGTTTCATTTTTTGCGCATCTCAAAAAACACTTCTACCCATATCTTCAATGCCTAAAACTTACCATATTTACCCTTTTATTGTGGGTAGTAGTCATTTTGAAAGTTTTTTTGGCATTTGAGACAATATAGAAATGCTTTATGGGATGCGCGAAAAGTGATATGTAACCTTCTTTTTGAGCTGGATGGAGTATATGAGAAGCTGGAAAGAATGTAAAGATCAACAAGAAATCAAATACACATAATACTAAAAAATACTGAGAAAAACAGGGTAAGAAGAATAAGAGAAAAGAAAACAAACCAAATCAGTTTTCTCTTCGCACAAATACCAAAAAAAATCAGGAAAGGGATATAACATTAAGGGAAAGAAGGAGAAATCAAAATTACAATCTAGTGCATGCCGCCTTCTTCTGGTGGTCCGATCGCCCTCCCCGTCTAGTTCTCCGTCTCTATTTCTGGCAGGGCGGCGTAACGAGACAGGCCCCACTTTTTTGTTTAGTGAAATTTGCACTGAATAAGACTAAAACATAAGTCACTTTCCAATGTAGAACTTAAACTTTTTTATTCCATAAATAGGACTTAATAATGTCTAGTGAGAGGAATAATGTCCAATAATGATGGACATTTACTTGAATAATGACTAATTGATAATGACCAAACGTCCTATATTGTGAAATAAAAACATATGCTCCTATATTGGAAAAGTCATTATGTTTTAGTCATATTTAGGTAAATTTCTCTTTTGTTTACTCGGCATTTGGAACCGTTGATTACGTCCCACTGCATGGTTAAGATTGAAAGTCTCCTTTTCTTTTTACTTTTTTAATATTTTTGTTTTTTTCCTTTTTGTTTGGGAACATTATTTTGGATGACTATTTCTCCGTAGCATTTTAAATAAAATTATAATCATGAACCCAATTTATAATGTTCAGGTTTTTAAACCATGTTGAAAATTTCTTGTTCTGTTTTTATGATTCGCAACCATATATATGTTTTAAAAGAACCATACCACATCGCATTTATATCAATACTCATGTTCCTTTATAATAGGTAGCAATGTAGCATACACTCGAGGAGCTTGGGATTACGTCCTATGGCTATTGGCATTGAATGTGCTTCTTGGATGATCCTTTCTGCTCTCATCTTCTAAAAATTATCTAATAAACTTAGTTAGTATATATAAGATTAGAGCGGAAAGGATCGTCCACGAATCAATCCAGTTCCATCTATTACCTAAATTTTTTATTTTTGAAAAAATATTTAAGACTTTATTCGTTTCATTTGTAAACTTTACTCCTTCTATTCTAAAATGATATTTTCTATTCGAACAACGTGTAAAACCTCGTAATTTTCAAAAAATGATTGTATAAACAAACTGGTATAGAAATAAAAAATAAAAGTTATATTTTTAAAAAAACTACATCAAAATTTCTATAAAATAGAAATTGACATAAATTTTTTATTTTATCAAACGATCAATGAAAATATGCAAACAAATAAAACTTATCAAAAAACGTAATAGTAAAAAGGTAAATCATTTTGAGACGGAAGAAGTAAAACATAATTTGTTGTAAAAATTTTAAAATATTGACTACAACATATTTCAAAGACTTATAAATAATATTTAATAAAATGAATGCAATACAAAAAAAACTAGAATACATCTTTATTACATTGTACTGTTTACTTTGTATTTCACATTGATAATGATATTTAAATATATAATAGTAACATTGTTAAACAAAACACAGTTTATATATTAGCCGTTCTTTGATATACTCCATATAGTTATTATAATATCTCAGTCCCAATTTAAATCGTCTGTTTCGATTTACGGCGTTTGAGTTTAGTTATTTCAAATCATTTTATATGCAAAATAGTGTAGAATTAAAAAATAAAAATTACATATTTAAAAACTTTATCAAAATATCTACAAAATTTGCAGTGACATGACTATATTATCGTATCAAATGACTAACGAAAATAAGAAAAGAAACCTTGTGAATAGTAAACATGTAGCTTAATTTTAGAGACTAGAGTTACGGACACTCAAGCGAATTCCTCGAGGCCAATGTTCAGACAAACACAAAGAAGATCCTCAATAGGGGGGTTAGATTCCCCACCAAGGGATCCCTTAGGTAGGGTAATGAATCCCATATGTACACTTTAAATCCTTGGCCACTGGATATGCGAACATACTCCACAAGGCTCGAACATAACAAAGTCTTATTGGTGTTCAATATATTCAATGTAGTTCCTATTGCTTTACTTGAATAGATATTTTAATTTATTTAATTTAAAAAGTTTTTGTTAAGAAATTTTAAAAAAAAGTTCAAAAAAAAAGTTCCGCATTAGTTTTTATTATTCTACACAGAAGTAGTTCATGTTGTGTATCTATTTTTAGGTTGTCTATTTTTTTCCTATTTGTACGCTACAAAATAAAAAGTCTAAAATATTTTTTTTGAAAGACAAACCATCAAAACTTAAAATATATTTAAATGATCAAAATAATTAAAAAAATACATTTTTATTCGGCCCAATCGGTCCGGACCGGTTCGCTCCTAAGTATTTGGTCCGATCCGGTCCAAACCCAAATAGATTTAGGTCCGATCTTCGATCCGTGATTTTAATCAATTCGGTCTTCGGTCCGGTCTGGTCTTGGACCGATGAACACCCCTAATCATTTCAATACACCCTAAACGAGAACTCGAGCTGCATCAGAATCAATGTCTCATTCCTAACTAGGTTCACAGTTGTATCAAGTACACTGTACACATGATTTAATTTCTGATTTATATTTTATGTTAAAGAATTGATCAACATAAATATCTTTAGATACAAATTCATGGACATTTTTAAACCAACATAGGTTTTTTTAATAAGTAAATATTTTCATTATAACTTTAAAAATATGAATAAAAAATCTATGTTTTTGAAAATAATTCATAAGAAGTACTTGTGTATTTACTTTTGTGTCCTGGAAGTGCAGTATAGGTCTCCATCTCAATCCTAAAACCAAAACAGCCGTACCCAATGGTGGGTTTTGTAAATGGAAAGAAACCAAAATAACTTTGTCACTCAAGTATGGAGTGGTGGTCCAAAAGTGTTACATGTCTTTTTTTATTGCATCCCATCCCTAAAGAATAAAGATTCATGCAAGACCATGAGACACCTTCCAAATTGTTGCCTAAAACCAACATATATAGGCATCTATTTCCATACTTCTTTGTTATTTTTATTATATTTAATTTTATTTTTACCAGTTTAGCCTACCACATATGTTAAGCCTTGTAATTGATGGCAAACATATTCTCTCATGTCCATATTAAATTATAGTCTTATTTTGATTTTACGCATTTAAAGATGAAAACTAAGGTTGTGTTAGCGTTTTCATTTTGAAGTAGTTTTAGTTTTTTAGTTATGTCAAAACTTAAAATGAAACTTTAATTTAAGATGCTAAATAAAGAAAGTTATACTTCAAATTAAATAAGAACGGATAGAGTATGTCTTCGACTAATTTAAGTGTAAAAATGGACAATTAAATGTGGATATGTTGGTTATTATCAATTTTTTCAAGGAATTTGATCGGTCTAACATGGACTGTTCAAGATCCCCAAAAATAGCCTTGACTAGTTCAACACAGTCAATGTTAGATTAAGACCATCAATAATTTCGTGATTGGGACAATCAACCCGGACGAGAACAAGTGATTTTTGAAATTCGAATTTCAAAAACAGGCGCTTAACATTCGGGTCCGTCCCAATGAAGACATCATATATATCAGTCAACCAAGAGTGATGTGGTAAAGTGGAGGGAGGGAAATAACTTTTGAAATAAATGGTGAAAGGTTTGTATGATGGGATGAGATATGTATAAATATAAATAAATACTCCCTCCGTTCTCAAAAACTCTTTCTCTTTCATTTTTTTTACTTCCACCAAAACACTTCCACTTTCTATTAAAAAACCATTTTTACCCTTACTTTTTCATACCCTACCTATCACATCATACTTTTTCTCTAATACTCAATCCATCACATCTTACTTTTACCCATCACATCAAGGACAAAATTGGAAGTCAACTACAATTTAACACTTCCTTATTTTTACACAAAGTCAAAATAGGAACACTTTTATAGATCGGAGGGAGTAGAAAAATGCTAGGGGTACACCAAATGTGTACCCCATTTGTCCCCCACCACATCCTTGTCCACAAAAAAAAAAGACAAGAAATTCAAAAAAAATGAATAAATAAAAATAAAATAAAAATGGGTGGTGGAGAAGGGGTGGTGTACATTTGGGGTACACCTTTGGTGTAAGAAAGATAGAGAGAAAGTGGCTCTGATCTGCCTGCCCCTCATGCTGAGGCAAATGCTGTGCATAGTATAGATGAAGCTAAAGGGAGAAAGGAGTAGGAAGAAGCATTGAAAGCATTCTGCAACTTCTTTGCCTTTGACCATCCTACCCCTCCCTCCCCCCACCCACTCTCACTCACACTCACAACACCCATTAGAGCACTGGTAATACATATAACGCCACTCGGCGTTATGCTACTTTTGAAGCCCAGGGGGCGTTAAACACCGCCCCCTGGGGCTTCATCCAGGCTTCATCTCTTCTACTTCAAACGTTTAACGGGCTTCAAACCCTTTCCCCCTCCCCACTCTCCCTTTAAAAAAAATATACACAAACATAATTTTTTTTACTCTATATTTTTTTGTTTAAAGTAATATTTTTTTGTTCAAATTTTTTTAGTAATGTAATTTTGTTTTGTTTTTTATTAAATTTAACATACTTTTTTTATTGACTGTATTTTTTATTTGATGAATTATTTCAGTTTGCAATATTTTACTACAACTCGAATTTGAATGAAGATATTTTTAGTTGCTTGAATAATTAGTAATTTCTTTGTAGTGTTATTTTTTTTTATGGATGTGATATTTTTTTAATGAATGAAACTTTTTTATGAATGTATTCTTCTATGAATGTAATATTTTTTTTTAATGAATGTAATTTTTTAATGTACTAATCTCCTTTTGATTAATTTAAATAATAAATTAATTAAAATTTAATAATTTAAATTTAGAAGATGTATATTTAAAAATGTAAAAAATGAAGGTTTGAAGCCCCAGTTTGAAGCCCCGGGGCTTCAAAACCATTTCCAGTGAATTTTTGGTGTAAGTTAAAATTGACGTGGCAGAGAGAGAAAGTTTGAAGCCCCGAGGCCTCATGACCATTACCAGTGCTCTTATTGCTTCTTTACTTACTCCCACCCTCTTCCCCCCCCCCCCAGCTAGCTAGCTTATATATTAGCTACCTCCATATTCATCATCATCTTCTTCTTTAGAAATATAATGATTTGGTTTGATTACTTCTTCAGATGTATTATATATATGTCATCCCCACCAAGGTAGCTCATCACACCAGTCATGGAGTCATCATCATCATCAAGACCATCTGCTGATTCACATCATCAATGTACAACACAATGGGTAAATCTTCATTTCTTATATAAGTTATCATTTCCAGTTATCACTTTGTTAGCTTTTTGAATATGAAGTAACTTGGCTAAGGCTCTGTAGTCATTTACACACACACACACAGTAAAAAAGAGGTTATGTTCGTTTTCATTTCCATTGGTTTTCTTATTTTTGTTATAATTTTTTTGGAGTCGTTTTCATTACATACATATTATGTAGTATTTTATAAAACTTTCGATGTACTTGTAGTTTTTAAATTTATACAGAGTAACTTTTTTAATTGTATATTAATTTTTAAATAAACTGAATTGAAAGTCGTTTGAGTTAAGTGTCATAAACTAAATCAATACTCAAGAGGAGTATATAATTGTTGGAAATATTTGATAAATTGGACAATTTTTGGACATAAATTCGGTAATTAATTTTTATTTTTTTTCCCGCTGTAATATTCAACAATAATAATATAGGAATGGATGGATTTTTTTTACAAGTTACAAGGATTATTACCTAAAACTATTTGCAGTTCATTTTAATAAGTGGTCATATTTCTATATTTACCTTCCAAAAAGGAACAAATAAAAGAGAATATAGTGAGCCAAACATTACAAAAAAAATAAGATATGTGTTCACATCCCTTTCCCATTCCTTCAATCCAAACAAATATTAAGGGCTGGACAGATCTAGTGATTTAATTTGTACCTTAGGAAATCAATATTCTATCTTCTTGTTTTCCTTGTCAAAACATTTCTTCTCGTTTTCCTTAAGTTTGCTATTCAGTAATGATGTAAGATGTGCCCTGAATGTAAATAAATTCATATTGTTTTTCTTGGAATCAAAATCAGAAACAGAAGCAGAAAGTATTAGGAGTTGTAACATTGGCATATCAGAGTCTGGGAGTAGTGTATGGAGATCTCAGCACCTCTCCACTGTATGTATACAAAACCACATTTTCAGGAAAGCTGAAACTCAAAGAAGACGACGAGGAGATATATGGAGTGCTCTCCTTCATCTTCTGGACTTTCACAATTATCCCTCTCTTCAAATACATTTTCATTGTTCTCTCTACTGATGACAATGGGGAAGGTAAATTAAACCTTGAATACTTAGATTGATGTTTAAAACCAATTCATGAAACCTTAATTAGGTTCAGTTCACAATGGGATTAATGAATGATGTTTGATCATAACATTAAACCACAACAACCAATGTACATATCAGGTGGCACATTTGCACTCTACTCCTTGATGTGCAGGCATGCAAGGCTGAGCTTGCTTCCAAACCAGCAGCAAGAAACAGATGAGAAGTTGAGCTCATATGGCATACAAGGAACTAAACACAACAGTCCCCATAGCGCCGCTTTCATGTCCTTTGTTGAAAACCATCCTAGCTTTCGCAATGCCCTTCTGGTCTTTGTTCTTCTGGGAACTTGCATGTCTATTGGTGACGGCGTCTTCACTCCCTCCATTTCAGTTCTCTCTGCAGTTTCGGGCATGCAGGTCAAACTTAAAGGACTTCATGAGAGTAAGTTGAACTTCGGTTTGTGTCCATTCTTCTTTTTCTTTTCTTCGTGGGTTCTAACTTAACGTGTCATGTGGTTATTGCCAGATTACGTTGTAGTGATTTCGTGTATAATTCTGGTGGGGCTGTTCTCCATCCAGCATCATGGGACACACAGGGTTTCTTTCATGTTTGCTCCCATTGTGTTGGCCTGGCTCTTGTCTATAAGCAGCATAGGAATCTACAACATACTAAAGTGGAACCGTCGTGTATACCGGGCGCTTTCACCCCTATATATGCTGAGGTTTCTTAAAGTGACTGGTCGCGAAGGTTGGGTCTCCTTAGGCGGGGTGGTGCTCTCCATAACAGGCAAAGAAGCTAAATTTCATCTCCCAAAATATATATCTATGATTGTGGTTCCATACATAGTACATAGATGCTAACTAAGATGGCTTTGTTTTTCTCAGGTGTGGAGACCATGTTTTGCTGATTTGGGCCATTTTTCCACATTGTCTGTCAAGGTAAAACTCTTGCTTGTGAGTGACCAGACCTTAATGAAGGCAAAGAAAAGTAGAAATGATAAATCCGAAACGTACCAAAACTGTCTTAGGCTATATATTCAGTTGTTTTTATTTTTTTTAAACAAAACCGAATCGAAAGCGAAGATTTCATGATGTTTGTGACACACAGATTGCATTCACGTCATTGGTGTATCCATGTCTGATGCTAGCATACTTGGGTGAAGCTGCATTTCTCTCAAGGAACCATGAGGACATCCAAAGAAGTTTCTATAAAGCCATTCCAGGCAAGATTTTTCAATCCATTCATTTGGGTGGTTGGTTAACCATTAACTTATTATGGCCTTTGGCAATTATTTTCAAGTACCAAGTTTCTGTGCAGAGGCCATATTCTGGCCAGTGTTCTTGGTGGCCACTTTGGCAGCTGTGGTAGGAAGTCAGGCAGTAATCTCCGCTACTTTCTCCGTCATAAGTCAGTGTTCGGCGCTCCATTGCTTTCCCCGGGTGAAAATCGTTCATACTTCCAGTAAGATATTTGGCCAGATTTACATACCAGAAATCAACTGGATTCTCATGTGCCTCTGTTTGGCTGTTACTATTGGAATAAGGGACACAAACAAGATAGGGGCTGCTTATGGTATGAATAATGAATACCCTACTCATTTCTTCCATTCAACAACAGGCTTAATCTTCATTTGGCAATTCTAAGGATGGAACCTACAAAATTAAATTCTTAAATAGTATAAGCTAAGCCAAATGGCTCCCTAATGTACAAGTGTTACTCTTACTTTGTAGGCCTGACATTCACAATGGTTATGTTCGTAACAACTTGCCTGATGGCAATGGTGATGGTCGTCGTGTGGAAGAAAACGATCCAAACAGTTGCCATTTTTGTTGTTTTTATTGGTTCTATCGAACTTCTATACCTCTCTGCGGCAATCTACAAGGTTCAACAAGGGGCATGGATACCCCTACTTCTATCAATCAGCTGCATGGGCATAATGTTCACATGGAACTATGGGACCCTAAAGAAACACCAATTTGATCTGGAAAATAAGGTCTCAATGGAGAGAATCTTGGCTATGGGGCCAAGTCTTGGAATAGTTCGAGTCCCTGGAATAGGACTCGTGTACACAAATCTCATCACTGGAATACCTGCTATATTTGGTCACTTTGTGACCAACTTGCCTGCTTTCCACGAAGTTCTTGTCTTTGTGTGTGTGAAATCTGTTCAGGTGCCATTTGTTGTTGAAGAAGAGAGATTCTTGGTGAGCAGAGTGGGACCTAAAGAGTTCAGTATGTTCCGATGCATAATACGGTATGGATACAAAGACACCCAGCAAGAAGACTACAACTTTGAAGCAAGACTAGTTTCTGCAGTCATTCAGTTTGTTGATTCAGAAGATACAAAGGTTAAAAAAGACCATCCAGGAAACACAGTAGAATCTGGAGATGATATCCAGGTGATAGTATCGGGAAAGAACAAACAGGTTAAAGAAGAGTGTCGGGTTATAATGAGGGCGAGAGAGTTTGGAATTGCATACATCTTGGGGCATTCTTATGCAAGGGCAAAAAAGTCATCATCAATAGTCAAGAAATTTGCCATTAACATCGTGTATGGTTTCCTGAGCAAGAATTGCAGAGGACCTGATGCGGTTTTAAATGTTCCTCACAATTCCCTAATTGAAGTGGGAATGATATACCACGTGTGAACTCAAGTAAATGTAAGTAGAACAATTGTAAGGGTAGTTTTGGACTTGTGTAATGCAAATCAAGGGTAGCTAACTACAAATGTAAATTGATAACTTGAGCATGACAAAAAAGGCGTTCGAGTTTGTTGACTCAATATTGACTTTTGAGGACTAACAATCTACAATGATTTATGTTCCAAGAGCAAAACAAAATTTGCATTGCTAAAGCTACAAGCTCACAGATAAGATCAATAAAAGCATGTTCAAATCATAAATACATAGAAACAGCCATAAAGATTCAAGCATCGCGATATTAAAGAGCAATAGTCTTTAATTATAAAACTGATACCAATATCTCAGAAATCCTGATGAACAAATCCATCATAAGTATTACATAAGAAAAACGTCAGTGAAATTCTGAAAAAAAACAGAACGAAAACACCATTAACGGGTAACCTAAGGAAGACGCGACAGCGGCGATGTTCCGCTCTACTTAGATCTCTGCCTCATCTTTCGGCGCTTCCTCTTCAGCCTCCTCATCCGCTTCTTCTTCCACTGCGAATTTTCGTTTTCACCAAGGTTACAAAACAATATTAGGGTTTACAGCGATCGCAATCAAATAACAGTCTATGCGAAAACGGAGATTCAACGTACCTTAGCTCTCATCGTGGAGATGTGACGAAGGCGAGATTCAAACTTTCTGACTCAATTGAAGGAGCAATGCGACGACGACGGACGGGAACGCGGGCAAAGCGATGAAGAAAAATGAGTGATTGAGGGACGGCGAGTATATATACGAAGCCCTAGTGTGGGAATCATGTGATGGGCTAATTTCAATGGGCCTATTTTGGGATCTATGTGTCCTCCGTATTTAGCAGTCTTGGGCCAAACTTAATGTTAGGGTGTCACCAATGGGCCTAATTTCAATTTATGGTTTATTTGCATTGGGAATAATGTTAGGGCGTCACCACATGGGTGCTATCATGAGTGAAACTCGTGATTAACACAGATAAATACAGACGATAATTGGTATTTTAATGAAAAGAAAATAAGAAGAAATGAAAAGAGTATTTTATTTCATATGTTTGGTTGAGAAGAAAAGTGGGTAGAAAGAAAATTAATTTATACAAATAGACAATTTTGTCCCTAATATATTTGGCATATTTGGGGATAGTTGGGAAAAGTTGTCATTTCAGCTTATTTTCTCCTCATTTGGGTCCTTTTCTCGCCTATAGAGAGGAGAATTTTTTTTGTTTACCGCTACTAATTTTTCTCTTCCTCCCTCAATTTCTACTTATCGAAACAATGAAAATACTTAAAAAGTTGTGTTTTTTCCTCCTAACTTTTCTATCTCCCATGTTTCTCACCATCCAAACAATGGACTAAGGTCCTCTTAGTAAGATTTAGATGTATGATAAAATATTGATTTTAAAGTTTGCGAAAAATGATATGAATTTTGAAATCTGAAACGAAGTTATTTGAAGTATTTTAAAAACATAATTTAACTTATGATTAGTGAGATGGGCGACAACAGAATGATTGGCAGTGGCCATGATAGTGAATGGTGGAGAATGGTAGATTTGGTTAAGAGAAATATCAAAATTCAATATTGTCATATTTCAAATTCAAGAGATATTGAAATCCTTGGAGAATTTATGATATCGGGAGATATCAAATCCCTATCTATTTTTAAACAATTTTATTTCTAAATTAATATAGAAATAAAAAATAGATTACATATTTAAAAATTAAATAAAACTTTTTAGAATACAAGTTTGACATGAGTATTTTATGAAAGTGAAATTTGCACTGAATAAGACTAAAACATAAGTCATTTTCTAATGTAAGACTAATGAGAAGAATAATGTCCAAGTGATGCGGGACATTTAGTTGAATAATGACTAATAAATAATGGCTAATGGTCCTATATTGAGAAATAAAAACATATAATCTTATATTGAAAAAGTCATTATGTTTTAGTTCTATTTAAGTAAATCACTCTTTATGAAATGACCTATGAAAAAGTACATGCAAATTTATTTAATAATAATAATAATGATAATAATAATAATAATAATAATAATAATAATAATAATAATAATAATAATAATAATAATAATAATAATAATAATAATAATAATAATAATAATAATAATAATTCTTGATTGGGTGTAATTGGAAATTTTTTTCCCTTGCCGGTTGCCACATGCACCGTCATAATTTACACGCTTGCATATGGTCTGACCAACGGGCGACTCGGCGAGCACGAAACGACGACTGTAGCAGTTGATCAAGACTGATCTCCGATCTCCATTTCAGCGGGCAAGTGTTCAATGCTGTGTAAAAATGGGGATCAGTTCATCGAGGAACCTACCGAGCGGCTCCCATGGCGGCGAGAACAGGGAAGATCATGGCGGAAGCTTGCTCCATGTCTCCCTCAAAATTGAAGATGCAAAGCTCTGCCTCATCCCCCATCTCGTTCCCCACGTCTTCGGCTCCGTCCCACTCGCCGGCTCTTGGAACCCCTCTAAAGCGGTGAGGACCTATCGCCTCTTCTCAGTTTTGCCTAATTGTGTGTCCAATTTGTGCGTGTTCGTCTGTCTCCATCGCTACAGTTTGAAATGCCTAATTCAATGTATTCTATTTGCTTACTTCTCAATAGCTTCCAATGGAACGCGAATCCACAACAGTTTGGCAATTAAGCTTCGTCGTCCCGCCTAATCACGGTTAGTCAGCTGAAACCCTTAAGCTAACTTTTCCTGTTTGATCGAGCTCATAACGGAGTAGAGACTGCTTGTTCTGATATAGAAACAATGGATTTCAAGTTCATATTGAAACCTATCCATGATTCTGGGCCGTGTATTGTGGAGGAGGGTGCCAACCACGTGCTTGTTGGGGGCAAGCTGCAAGGGGAATGTCAGGTGGCATCGTTTAAGTTTAGCAAGGAGGAATTCGTGGAGTCCAAGGTGTATACTAAAGTAGACTTAGTTTCTCCATTTGATCTTGCGGCAAGTTGGAGAGCTTTTCATGAAAACCGCAGGCCTTCTACTGTTAGAGGGATGCCAGATGTTATTATCAATTCGAGTACACAAGCTGGTAATGAGGTGATCTTCTTTTCATTTTGTGTGACTACATTATCAATTCTCATTAAATGGTTTCTCATATATGAATATGTACACTACACAGAGCGGGTCTTCTGCAAATGCAGAGCTTGATATTGAGAATTATGTTGTACCATCTCCGGCACCATGGGAACACTCTGGACTGGTTTATGCAGCTAACCTAACAGAGACTCCAAGATCATTGAATGGTTCTGGGGTATTTTCTGAAGCTCATGGCTCTAATAGTGGAGTTAATCCATATAATAGAAGTATCAAAATGATCACTGTTAGAAAAAAAGATTTTCTGCTGTGATATACGTGGTATAAAACACCCAAATTTCAATGTGGCATTTCACAGTGATCATGAGTTCCAGTTGATTTCTTATCTATGAGTGTCTTATGGAGTGATGACTTACATTACATGCCATGCTATAGTGTTTTCTGTCTCTAGCAGTTAATAATAATAATTAAATAAATAAAATAAAAGTAATAATAATAATAATAATCCTTCGCCAGTGTGGGTATGTTTCATGTGCATATTTTCTTGTTGGAGAATACTACTATTTAATGGACTTTCAGCTTGTTTTTGTTTTCATTATTTGCACTATCTGCATGTAAAGTATACAATAGTTGTTGAATATCATTCTCTTTCACTTACTTTTACCTTTTCTGATGAATTTTGCTGTATTTAGGAGATGGAAACGACAGTTTCAGATCCAATCACTGAGCATTCAAGTCCTGCCATGGTCGAGTTAACATCTGATGGAATATTGGCTTTACAAAATAATGAAAATAAAAATTTTACTTCTGTTGATAGAGGTGTAGGGTCTCCCAGACTAGTTAAATCACCACGTGCAACTAACTTCACTCTTGATCCAAATCTTAGTTTCGAAACAAAGGTTTGTAGAAGTCCAATCAGTATAATTTACTGTGAGCTTTAATTCTTCCTTAGCTATGGATCTGATACAACTATCCATTTTTCATGCTTAGAATCCAATGCCAGCTGCTGCTGGAGCTGTTGCAGCTGCTGCAATTGCAGATAGGATGCTTGGACCTAAGGAGGAAAGACATCTAGCTATCGTCTTGGTAGGTTACTTTAGTGTTGTAAATAGCATTTTATTGTCTAATTGCTTCAAGTGCTTGTTTGGTTATAGTAATTTGATGAGAGACATCTAGCATCAGTTTTCTCGTTGAGTTACATAATTTTCTTGGAAGGAACGACGAATGATCTTAAGATTTGCATGCTCTGCAGGTCGGTTTGCCAGCTCGTGGCAAAACTTTTACTGCAGCTAAACTTACAAGGTATCTTCGCTGGTTAGGACATCATACCAAGCACTTCAATGTTGGGAAGGTATTCCGTTATCTGTACGACTCGAATCACTAATAGTGAAATACCAGAGTATCAGTTTTCACTTTATAAAACTGATTTTTTAAAAATTTCCTTTGTATTGCAATACAGTACCGGCGCCTGAAGCATGGAACTAATAAGGTACATCATTTTTCTTCCAAACATTTTGAGGCTAAACATGTTACTCAAGGACTGACATTCACTACTCTCTAATTTCTTACCACGTATTACCACTAAATTTTCATCGTCATAATTTTAGTTCTCTAGTAAATCACGTCTTTCATGCAAACTTTTTAAAATGTTGTGGAATCTGAGTTTTTCCACTCCATACATTTCTTGATGATCTGCTCTTGCAGAGAATTTGAGCTTAATTTTGCATGTAGAGTAAAATCTAGACCATACAAATAAATAAATAAATAAATAAAATGGGTTTACTAGACTATTTCACTAATGGGAAACATACTTTTCAAACTAGAATGTAAAACATTTCAGGTATTAATGCTATCAATCGTTTTTTTTATATGCAGTGGGCTGATTTCTTTCGTGGTGACAACCCTGAAGGTTTGGAAGCACGAAATGAGGTGAAGTCTTAGTCTATTTTGGCTTTTATGTGTTAAACCATATGCATTTCATGATATTTTGATTTATTCAATGCCAAGTTCAAAAACCCAATCTTTATTTCGGAGTTCTCTTTTCTTGTTTTTCCTCTTGACCATATAAGATAGAATATCACTTGTATTGTCTGCAAGCAACTCCTCCAAGACTTTGTTTCTGGTACAAGTGAAGTTCACTCTGATAAAATGTGAAAAGTTGGAAAAGTCATCATTTCACTTTTAATAAGCTCTGTTATGAAATGTGAGCTACAAACACATTACTCCCTCCATACCATAATTAGTTTCCTACTTTTTTTGGGTTGTCCCGAAATTTTCTTCCTCTTTTCTTTTAAGGAAAAAAGTTGAGTGGTTTTGATCATTTCTCTTTCTTCTACACCAACCACAACTACACAAATTTCACTTTATTAAAAATCATGCCATGTCAATCAGAGAAGAAAAATTATGGGACGGATGGGAGTATTAATCAGCACCCTATACAGCAATACTTTGTTCAGTAAAGTGCGTGACTTGTTTTTCTTGCTGTTAATGAGAGCATGATCAATGATGCTTACTTGGAGATGTGATTTCATTATGATGCATAATACATTTTTAGTTTAGCTTGTATTACTATTTGATTTATACTAGGTAGCTGCCCTTGCTATGGAAGATATGATAGCCTGGATGCAGGAAGGTGGGCAGGTATGTTTGTCTATTATCTGAGAAGGGTTATATTTTCAGTCTTTCAAGGTTTTAATAATGGCACTGGATTCCTTACTGTTGCAGGTCGGAGTTTTTGATGCCACTAACAGCACTGGACAAAGAAGGAATATGCTTATGAAAATGGCCGAGGGGAGATGTAAGGTACACTTGTACTTTGCAATGTCATTCCAAATTCCAATTACCATGTTTACTCATTTTAGCTATCAAAAATGAACTTCAATGAAAATGAACCATGGAGGTACGAAGTGGCTTATGTTATGTTCCTAAGATTATAGTTCTTTCAGTGCACTAATGAATGCAGCATTGGAGAGCTAGGCTGGTAGTTTATTCTCACAGATGCAATTCATATTTGTCAAAGTCGAGATTATCCATTCAAAATCTAGTAAAGTCGAGATTATCCATTTAACATCTGCTTTTGTATTCTTTTTGTGATTTTTCTTGCATGATGGACTAGGTCTTGAAGTAAATATTACTCTCTATATCCCATTTGATGATGCCTAATTTGGTTGGGTACAAAGATTAATGATGTGAAAAGTCTGAAAACTGTGAAGTTGATGCCGAGTGCTTATGTAGAGGAGAGAAAAACAATATGAACTACATAATCTTTTCTATCAATGGAAACACATAAGATACATTTGAACATAAAAAATGAAAACATGTATGACTAATTCGCACAGTGCCACAGCAGGAGTATTTGAGTAGCTTCACAATTACAGCAACTAGGAAGATCTCATGGGGACGCAAGACAAAACTTCACAATTACCTGCAAAGTATCTGAAATTTAGTCCCAAATCATAATGGTATTTCCCCTTTTCCATTTAATCTAACTTGCAGATAATTTTCCTGGAGACAATTTGCAATGATCTTGAAATAATAGAAAGGAACATTCGTCTCAAAGTTCAACAAAGCCCAGACTATGCTGAACAGTATTATTTCTATCTACACCTATTTCTTATTTCTAGGGACTATTAAAATACTGTGTTTTAGTCACTTACGTTAAAATGAAATATTATTTTGTAATTGTTAACAGGCCAGATTTTGAAGCAGGATATAGGGACTTCAAAAACCGTTTGGCTAATTATGAGAAAGTAAGTTTCTAAATGTGTTTCTTACAACTACATATGCATGGTTTCCATTTGGTGGACAAATAAAGTTCCTGGTCGCCAGTATCATACATTTTTCAGCTGATTTTTTTCTATTTTTGGCCAAATAGGCGATAAGTAGAAAAAGTAATTATGAGGTTACCTTTTTCGTGGAGATGAAATGACTGAAAACTGAAAAGAAGAGTAAAGAGTTAAAGACAATATTACATTATTACCCTCCATCCTTCGTGTGTGTGCACATGTAGTATTTCCTCTAATATATTAGGGAAACCTTTATTGGGTAAACCACACGCTATATACTCCCTCGTTTTCAAAAAAAAATACTCCCTCCGTCCTGTATTAATGTTCCACAATTGATCAGGCACGAAGATTAAGAAAAATGAAATCGTGTGGTTGAAAGTTGTGCACACGAGAGAGAAATGGTGTAATCCATGAGGTTTGTTTCATGTGATCGGGCACAGAGTATGAAAAGTGGATCCTTATTTTGAGGCGGATAAAAAATGCGTTGTGGAACACTATTACAGGCTGGATGGAGTATTATTTAAGTTGTTTTAGCAAATACAACATATTCAAATATTTGTCGAGAAAAAAAAAATAGACTCTTATTTATAACTGTGTAACAAGATATAATTTAATTTGTTTCCCCCCTTTTTATAGGTGTATGAACCAGTTGAGGAAGGATCTTATATCAAATTGATTGACATGGTTAGTGGCAAAGGTGGGCAAATACAGGTAAGTTATCTTTGCCGTCTAAACTATGAAGTTACAAAATATTCAAGGTTCATTTCATTTATGTTTTGTGCTGATACAAATTACACTCCGTTTAATTAGAAAAAACACTCCGTAGTTTTTTTGTTGAGTCTGTTAAAGTTAGGGTATTTATTACTCCCTTTGTCCAATGAAAAGAGTCATATTCTTCTAATGCACAACTTTTTAATATTGTTTTTTGTTGAGTCTGATAAAGTTATTGGTATTTTTTACTTCCTTTGTCCAATGAAAAGAGTCATATTCTTCTAATGTACAACTTTTAATATTGTTGAGGCCAAACTAGTAGAAAGCAATCAAATATTGTAGTATTTTCAAATTTATTTGTTAGTTGAACTAAAATAACATTTCCTCATCATTGTTTTTTCTTTTCATGCGACAAACATATGTTGAGAAAATGGCTCTTTTTATAGGATGCAGGAAATATCTAACAAGCATCATTATCATTATCAACTTAACCCCAACTTTGCATGGCCCTCGCGTTGGAATCCATTGATACGCAGTGGAGAACCAGAGATGGCGAGGAAGAAGAGAGCAAATGAAAGGGAAAATTCTGTATTATTCAAACAAGAACTGAAAATACAAGGGTATATAAAAGAGGGATAGCAAACCGTAACAAACTTAACAAGAAAAATATCTAGCTAACCAACTTCTAACAAACAAACTTCAATACTAACTTCCAACACCTCGACATGAATTTTATAGTGTCCATTACCTGTGTAAATGTGAACAGAAAAGAACATAGTGACAAAGTTACGCTGGATGCCCCCTGCTGCAAATGAAATGAAATTCCAAATCTGTCATCATAATAAGTTCTTACCCTGTGACAGGCAGTCATTGATGATTGAGATAGTTGTTATGGTCATGTCCCTTTACAAGATTAGTATTGTAAAATTAACATGCAAGTCTTAGTATGGACTAAGTTTGCTTGGTGTATACTTTTTCTTGCAGTCTTGTGAAGTGGTTAGCCACTAAAGCAGCTTTACTAGAACGCGCTTTACATGACTATTTTCTTAATTCTATTTTGAAATATTTTCACCAATGCAAGGGGTATCATCTGTACCAACTAAATTGGCTTCCCTCACTATTTTGATGGTTGTATTGGACTATTGGTACTTGACGACATCCGTGAATCAGATTAGAGATTATGTCAGGATATGGCATATGTCCCTTTTGTTTCATGATATTCAAATACTTCATGTTAAATATTGGAGTATTCACATTCTAATGGAGTTGACACCTCATTTGCGTTTCACCTATGCAATCCATATATAATGGTACACTATACCATAATTGATATAGATACATGTATTTCACAATGCTTATGGGTGTAAAATTTCAATGAGAAGAGGGAAGATGCTAAATTTTGGAAGTAAGATATAGGCGTAGTCGTGATTTATGGATTGATATGGGTGAAGAATTGAAATAAAATATGCTTTAAAAACAATAAAATTGGTCCTAAGATTCTATGCAGGTCTACTTTTTTGTGAAATATAATGTTGTTTATATTTCACAACGGTGAAACATAACATTGGTTATAACATTATATTTTTTGTGAATTGTTTTTTGGGGTCAGTTTGCCTATGTGACACTATATAACATTGGTTTACAATGGTGTACTATGGGCATTTAAACTGTTGGAACTTATGCCCAAACTTTGCCTTGTTAATTGGGTGCATCTTTACCAGAAGTTGGAGGATATTCTCACCATTATCACCATAGTTGAATCATGTATCTGGGAGCTTCAAATAAGCACACAATAACATATTTCGTAATTTTTTGTTGTCATAGCTCCCTTGATATTTTAGAATTGAGTTTGTTGTTTTGCAACCCACCTTTATTACAGGGTACTATAAGACTAGGTGTATAGCTGCTTTGAGGCATATCTGGAGCCTTCTATCAGCCATTAGAGATCTGTATTTTTTTGGAAGGCCATAATTTAATGGAGACTCACTGGCAATTATGCTGATAACCTCTTTTTACTTTGGCAGGTGAATAATATTAGTGGTTATCTTCCGGGACGGATTGTATTCTTCTTGGTATGCCATCCCATTTCTTTAATAGGATATAGCCTCATCTTGATAGCGGTTATGTGTAGCCCTAGCCCTATTGGACCAGGCCTATATATTCCCCTCCCCCTCCCCCCAATATCACGGTATACTAGATTAAACCTGCTAATATTTCAGTCAAAATTAATTCTTAAGCTGGAATTGTGACTGGGATCAGTCAAACTAGAATTTTACTTGAGATTGAAATTTTTCTATGCAGGTAAATATGCATTTGACACCCCGTCCAATATTGCTTACAAGACATGGAGAAAGCATAGACAATGTCAGAGGCAGAATAGGGGGTGATACTGTGTTAAGGTGCTTACCCCTTTTGTTGTTTTAATTTTCATTTTAAAGCATGCACTATATTAAGGAGTACTATGCGATTTTCCGTCCGTGCTTCAATAAAGGAGCCTCTATGCAGTTAGTCAAAATCAAGTTGCACTTTATTAAGGCTCTTCTTGAAGACACTATTATTTCTATTCTTGTGCGCACTTTCTAATATATGCACAATTGAGTCGTTACTTCCCCTTTATATCTTGTCTAGCTAACTATGTCACTATTAATATTGACATTTAGCATTTAACAAACCCTTTATGCTTACAGTGAGGCTGGGGAACTGTATGCCAAGAAGCTTGCTAAATTTATGGATAAAAGGCTGAAAAATGAGAGGGCTGCATCTGTATGTTATATTACTCCATCCCAAAGAAGTTGTGTTTCAAACACTTTCCCCCAAAAATAAGTCATGTTTGTTCCAGCAAAGTGATGTTTTCATGTAATTTGTCAAAAAACAAGACAAGTTACATGTGAATAATTTAGTTAGACCAACAATTACATTTTTAAGATATTAACAGGGTTCATGATTTATTGCAGTTGTACTTGCTAAAATTTACAATTTGTACCTAGGTCAAAGTGTCAAACATGACTTGTTTTTGAGACGGAGGTATTATTTTCATTTTCTCTTCCATAGAATATCATCTCTATTCTTTTGTTGATTGTGCTTTAAATAATGTCTAGACTGCTTACTGAATCTGTTAGACTTCCATGAGATCTGATTGTGGAGGCAAAGCATCACCACCTTAATCACAATTATGTTTAGATCAGTATTCTAGTGAGAGGGATTCTTAGCGAGTTTACTTAAAGCAGAAAGGGAGACAATTTCATAGAAACTTCCTCATTAGTTTGGGAAACCTAGATATGTTGGATTCCAACCCTTTTGTCTTTCCTATGATACACTGCAACCCACAAAAAAATCCAATACAAGACCAATCCTTTAAGGGCTTTGTGTATGCAGAAATTGTGAAAGTTAATACTCATATGCATGCATACTCTATCTTCATTTCCTTTAGAAACCTCAATGATTTCTTTTTGACAATAGTTAAACTACTTAACTACAGAAGCAACTGACTTATTGAACTGAATAAAAAGGAGCAGCATCAGGAAGGTATATAAAATGATAATTAGCAACACTTTGAATTAGAAATCAACTATGGAGTAAATGTTTTCTATAGTTTCCGTTCACTAGCTAGTTAGTTTTAATTAAATACTACCTCCGTCCCAAAAAGATTTACACATTTTGACTAAAGTTGAAATTAAGGGAGGGATAATTTTGTGTTGACTTTCCAAAAATACCCTTGATGTGATGGGTAAAAGTAGGATGTGATGTGTAGATTATTAGGAAAAAGGTATGATGTGATAGGTAGGGTTTGAAAAAGTAAGGGGTAAAAATGGTTTTTTAATAGAAATGGGTAGGAGATTGTGGGACGCAATTTTTTTGAAAGGTGTAAATCTTTTTGGGACGGAGGGAGTAAGTATTAGCTATGGAGCACTGGACTTTGTAGCGCTTCTTATTGTGTAATAAATGCTCACTCCATCCAAGAATAAAGTTATGTTTTGAAAACCTTGGCCCAAAAAGAACCATGTTTTAGCAAATAAAGCTAATTTTTATGTAATATGCGAAAAAAGAGTCAGATACAAAATGTATATGATCAAATTAGTTGCCCCAACAAGTAGATTTTTAAAAATATCCCATAACTAGTATTAATGGTTTTCCCTGGATATCATTTATGACACTTATCGAACAGAACGTATCTTTTGGGGCAGAAGTAGAAAACATTGTAGAGTATTTTTTTCGTGATGCCCAATAACCCCAATTCAAATGCCTAAAGCATCAAATTGGGTACTTGAATGCTTTTGGTGGAGTTTGCATCAATGCTCATTACTCAATAGTGTCTCGCTATGAACTTATGAAGTTTGGCCCATGCGGTTGTCTCTTTGTTCTATTTGCTCAGATATGGACTAGCACTTTGCAAAGGACGATTTTGACAGCTGGCCCAATTGTTGGATTGCCTAAGGTGGTTGTGCTACTACATTCAATTTCTTCTTTGGACAATGAAATTGATTCATGATTTGGAATATCATATCATTGATCCATTGTCATACATCTCTCTCTCTCTCTCTCCAGATACAATGGCGTGCACTTGATGAAATATATGTTGGTGTATGTGATGGTATGACCTATGAAGAAGTAAAGAAGAATATGCCCGAAGAATATGAGTATGCCTATCTCTTTATGTGAGGTTTATCATTTATGTTCAGGGAATGCAACAGGAAACTTTAGGCTTCTTGTTGATAAGTGATAACATAAGAATAGTTTGTATACTCCATAAACTTATTAGTAGTTTTTGAACAACTTGTGTTCAGATCACGGGAGAAGGACAAACTAAGGTACAGATATCCCCGAGGAGAATCGTATCTGGACGTTATACAGAGGTTGACAGTTGAGACTTGAGAGAGTTTTGTTGTTAATGATATTATGAATCGGACATACAAAGTCTACAAATCCTTTTTGTTCATTGTGATTTGGAAATCTTCCCTTTGCAGGCTAGAGCCTGTTATCATTGAACTGGAGCGTCAAAGAGCGCCTGTTGTGGTTATATCTCACCAGGTAATATCATCATGTAAGTAGGGTTTCATTTTCTTCACATTTTTAGCAGAAATTAAACATTAACACGTTTTCCGAAATTTCGTCTAGGCTGTCTTGAGAGCTTTATACGCTTATTTTGCTGATAGGCCCCTCAAAGAAATTCCAAACATAGAGGTACTAATTCATTTCATCAGGTCTATAAAAACGCCGGGGTTGGATCTTGACAGGCTTTGTATTGTTTGCAATTTTCGCAGGTACCACTTCACACGATAATAGAGATACAAATGGGAGTCACTGGAGTCCAAGAGAAGAGATACAAACTAATGTAGCTCTGCTTATTGTGTCTGTGGTTAGTTGATGTTTTGGTGCTTATTATTATGAGTCCGGTTATGTTGATACCAAAGTGCCAGTGTCATAATATGACATAGTTCATTGTGAGAGCTCTACGATGCTTTGTTTGAAAGCTTTTCACCTCTAATCCCTATAAATCCATCGAATTAATCTGCCCCTTGCCCCCTGCCCTGCCCCCTATGGGTGAAAATCAACTTATCAAATACTCATTTGACAAGTGAGTCTAGGGGGTTTGTAGGGATTAGAGGATTGGGACTACTCCACTTCGAAGCGAACGAAACATTGTAGAACCTTCAGATGGATATGGTGTGATGAATGAGTAAAAAGAACCTTGGTGTATTACGGAGTACTAATAATAATAATAATAATAATAATAATAATAATAATAATAATAATAATAATAATATTAATAATAATAATAATAATAATAATAATAATAATAATAATAATAATAATAATAATAATAAATCATAATAACAAAACAGAGCAATAATAATAATGTTAATATTATTGGAGTATTATTTATTTATTTTTATTATAATTATAAATAATCCTTCCTTTGAAAAAAGCAATTCTATTTCCATTTTTTGCAAATCTCACAAAACACTTCTACCTCATCTAAAATGTTCAAAATACTCTCAAAATAACTTCTACTCGCAATGGAGAAATGGCGTGAATTTCAGATATTTTAGGCCAAGTCAGAAATATTTTGCGAGATGTGTAAAAAATGAAAAGGAGACTATGTTTTCAAAGTGAGTGAATATTATTATTGTTATTATTATTATTATTATTATCATCATTATTATTATCCTCTTTACTCACTCGTATAAACAAAGATGGTGTTAATATGCTGTTTTAAAAGAAATGAAAAAAAAAAATTTAATGATTGGGTGGCGATCATCATTTATCGGCGACGTCGAGGGAGGGGACTGTTGCGCAAATCTCTCCCTCCCGTATTTGCTCGCCGCTCTACTGAAACCTATGTATGTGCGTGCGATTAATGATGTTATCCATAACGAGTACGTACCCCCGCCGTCAGTTGATATGGAAAACAAACAACTTCACTGTTCCCAATTTATTAATTATACATGCAGTCAAACACAATGGTCATAAACTTCACAAATTTACTATTTGTAAACTTTCATGGAAAAAATTAAATGGTTTAAAATGATTTTAAAATAAATTTTTAAATCATAAATAGTAAGTTTATGAAGTTTGTGAGTATTCTGTTAGTAAACTTAGCATTGCTCTTTTTTGTTCACTTCTCTACTTTGGGTGGTTCAATGTGTTTATTCAATTTCGGCTGGTGCCAAAGTAATAAATGTCATATTGACTCAATTGTCCATTTGCCCCCATTCCAGCAACATTTTATAAACAATCATGAATCCTAAAGTGCGTCAATGTTTTGGTGGTGGGCAATGCTGGGAGTACACCAACATGGGGTACCCCAAGTGTACACCAAGCTAACACAGATACACACATACACAAAATGTCTGTGTGTGTCTGTGTTGGCTTGATGTACATTTGGGGTACCCCATGTTGGTGTACCCCTAGCTTAATTTGGTTTATACTGCCATATACGGAGTATATTATATATTTAATAAGATCAAAAATATTTGTCCTAGCATTTTATTTTTATACTTTGTGAGAAATTTGTACTAGCATTTTGTACTTGTGAAAACGAACACACTGGCATTATATTTGTACAAAATAGAGGTAGACACTTGTGGTGTACGATTTGGGATACAACTTTTAGGGTAGAAGCAACTTAATTCTTTTGTAAATGTTCCACCGTAAGGCTATGCATGTGGTGTAGTTATATGAATCCCCGACTCAGCTTCCCAACTCCCTCTTTCTTTTATCTTCATTTTTAGATGGGTATAGTATTACGGTGGACTTCTTTTGACAAAACGGCACTGGAAATACCCGTGAAGCCTCGGTGCTTTAAATTTTTTCTCTCTGTCACATCAGTTTTAACTTATCTCGTAGTTTTAGTGGAAATGAGCTTAAAGCTCTGGGCTTCAAATCTTCATTTTTAATATTTTAAATATACATCTTCAAAAATTAAATTATTTAAAAGAATCGAAAGGAGAATAGTTCATTAAAAAAGTACATTCATTAAAAAAATATTACTTCCCCCGTCCCGCTATATTCGTCTACTTTTGACTTTTGGAACTGTTCATCTAAGCACTTTGACTCATCAAATTCTCTCAATGTGTAAGCTTAAATATAGTCATCCGTGATCTTGTTTAATATATAATTTCTATAATTTTTTTAATATACAAATTACTCCGTACAAGATAAAATGGATTAAAGAAGTGCATTGGATAGTGTGCAAAAATGAAAGTGGACAAATATAGTGGGACGGAGGGAGTACATCCATATGATATGATGGTAGACATTTAGGGGGGTGTATTCAATCACGATTCTGAAAGATTTCAATACATTGTTTAAAGTCTATGGATTCTGTGAAATCCATGGATTATTTTAAGTCTAAGCAGAGTTTGTTAGATTTTAATGTATTTTACCAGCAGGATTTTATAGGATTTTGTCTGATTGTTTATAATCCATATATTATTCATACATAAATAAGAATTACTTTATAAAATTATACATTTTTGTAACATCAATTATTGTAATTAGCTATTAAAAATTTTGAGAAGATTATAATAAAATAAAAATAAATTATTTTTTAAAAAGTTTTTCATCATCATTTGTTAGAATAAAATAATACTACGTGTAGTGCTCAATGCCAAGCAATAAATTTGTTTTTACAACTAAAACGGTTATTGTCTCTCAACCATTCTTCTTTTATGTCTAGTTCATCAATGAAAATAAAAAAAATACAAAAGAAGAGATTATCTAAAAGTTAAAAATAATTGAAAAATAATATTTTTAAACAACAGAGTCTTCCATTTCAACTTCATTATCATTATAACCTTCTTCATTCTCCTCATTAGCATCATTTTGTGGTCGATCGCCCCACATAGCTTCAGCAATGCCATGTCTCCAAGCGTTAGCTTCTGTTCTTTGTTGTTGTTGAGTTTGAGAAAGTATTTCAAAATTTTCTTCTTCCATATCCAGATATGATGAAGAAGACGACTCTAGTTCTGGTTCTGGAGGAAATTCATCAGAACGACACTCTTTACGAAGAAAGTTGTGTAGTCCCGCACAAGCCAACACTAGCTCTGCTTGGGCTTCAAATGGAAAGGGAGGTGCAGTTTTGAAAATAGTGAAACGCGATTTAAAGATACCAAATATCCTCTCAATAACATTTCTCAACGATGCATGACGAAGATTGAACAACTCATTTGCATTTCGGGGGTGACGACCTTGACCTCCAAAATCTTTGAGATGATATCGGACACCTCGAAATGGTGCTAAAAATTGTCGTCGATTAGCAAATCCACAGTCAACCAAAAAATATTTTCCTGAAATAAAAGTAGGATGACATATACTCATAACAAATATTTTCATAAAAAAAGAAATAAATTGGCAATAAAATAAATAATGTACTTACCTTGAGGCACTTCAAGTCCATTTCTTCTAGATAAGGCATCACTCAACATTTTTGAATCATGTGCAGATCCTTCCCACCCACTAAGCACATATATGAATTCTAGATCAAAGTTGCAAGCTGCCAAAACGTTTTGAGATTGAACACCATGACGATTACGGTAGCTACTTACTTGACGACCTTTTATCATTGCAGGAATATGAGTGCCATCAATAGCACCAATGCAATCCTGTAAAAAAATTTGGAAACAAATTTGTAGTCCATACATTTAAAGATAATAGCAAACAAATTTGTAGTCCATACTTTTTTTAAAGAAAGCATACCTTAAAGTAGGGATAAAATCTTGTGTTGCCTCTTATTTTAGAAGGCACAGCAAATCCGGGCTTGACCATCATTTGTGGTGCTATAGTGTTTAATGCCTTCAAAACTTTGTTAAAGTTTTGACTAGTTGTGAAATGTGAACGACCAAATCTTTGGCGAACATTACAATACCGATCATTGTGACCCACAATGAGTAGAAATGTTGCTATCATTTCTTCAACACAAATATACCTTGTATCTTCTAAAGGCGTACCTTCTCTGATAATTGTACATAGCTTAAGAAACACATCAGGATACATTCTATACAACTCTCGAAAACTTTGTGGATCTTCTTTCAACACTCTATGTATATAATGATATCCTTTTGTAGTTACAGAGCGACGTTTAAGGGAACCTTCCACACGTTGAGGCATGTTAATTAGAGCCTCTCTTAAAACAATCATTGTTGCTTGAATGCCCAACAACAAGTACTTGATAGTTGCATAAAATTCTTCTTCAGTTTCTTCATCTATTTCTTCTCTTCTTACCACTTCGTCTTCCATTTATCTATATGAACAAGCACATTTAAAATAAAATTAATTGCCAAACTAATATACACAGCATAAGTGAAGGGATCTGGTGCGTGATTTGAGATATTAAGAGGTCTGTGCCTACAATGACCACATTTTCCCATTATAGAAAAGGTACTAGATATATGAAAGAGGTTTGTGTCTACAATGACCACATTTTCCCATTTTCATATCAACCGCTGAAAGTGCATGACACCTACCCAACATATCAAAGTTGACCTTACTGGGCATTTTTTTTGGGGGGGGGGGGTTTGTTTCATAATTTCTCTCCTTTAGTATGGTTTCTTAGTTCAATTCTTTTACTTATTATTGATCGAAATAATGTTCATTTGTTCAATTTTATCATTTTTGTTGTTGTTTATTCTGCTCTTTTTAAGTGAACTCAACCAGGCATAATGCATTTTTCTCAGGAAAAAAGTACTACGGAGTACATACGCCAATGTAAAAAACAGAACAACCAAGCACAGCAGAGAGCACTTATAATGGCCATAAATATCATTTCCCAACTGGAATAATGCATATAAAATTGAATCCCAAAACAAACAAGACTAACCCACAAAGTTTCAAAGTTCATCTTCCATCCGGTGCATAATGAAATCTCGAGAAACTATTTCCAAAATAATCTTTGAAATAGGTTCTAACAATTCTCTAAAAGAACAACTCTTCTTGACATTTCTTCAAACACATAGATGGTATAACCATATTAACCTAGAAATCTATAATTGAACACACCAAAAGAGAATAAAAAAGTCAACATTCTCAAAAAACACACACAAACACAAGTAGAACAAGAAGGCAAAGGGGACAAAGATGAAGAAGGATGGTGTTAAAAGGACATACCTGGAGAGATGGAGAAAAGAGGAAGAAAGGGAAGGAGATGAGGAGTAAGAGGCGGAAGCTCTACCGGAAAAGCAGGAGATCGAGAAGATGAAGATCCGCCGGCGGAAAAGATGGAGAAGATGAACCGAGAAAGAAACCAGCTCTGGAGTCTCACAAAATCCCTGGCCTTTTGAATGGATTTGGAAGCAATTTTTTTATTTATACTTCAACCTCAAAATCCATCACAATCCATTGTTTAAAACAATCCTTTAAAATCTGTCAATATTTCAATATCATTAGATTTAGAAAGATTTTTTAAAATCTCAATTGAATATTTCAAAATTTTAAATGACTTTTCAAAATCTTGATTGAATACTCATTGACTTTTAAAATCCAAAAAAATCCTGCAGAGTCGTGATTGAATACACCCCCTTAGTTTGAACAATGTCCGGGGATGGTGGACATTTACTTAAACAATGACCAGTAAAATAGTGATATTAGAAAAAAAACATATGGTACGACATTAAAGAAATCACTGTGTTTTAGTACTATTTAGATAAATTTTTCCATGTTTGTTTCAATTTAGAAATAACTTAACTAAAACTCCTAAACAACAACCGACAAAAGATTACAAGTAGATCTTTTTTTATGGGACATGGGGATACAGTATTGAATAGGTATGGTGTTTATCCGTGGTAGAGTAGTGCTCTGCCGTACACCGCCGTCGCCTTCACGAGACCTTTTAATACCTCACGTGAGGAGACCGTCAAAACAAATTTTAACTCCAAAGAAAGAAAGAAAGAAACTGCAGAGGCCGGAGATCATTTCGATCAATTTAAAAAATGAAGCCTTGGCCATCAGCTCCTCCGGCGCCGCCGCCGGTTACCGGTGACGATTCAAAGGCGGCGGCGGGGGAGAAATCCTCCGGGCAAAAAATATTCCACAACATACTCCTCATGTCATACAAGTACAATGACAACAATAACCTCATGCTCGCCGCCCTCATCTCATTGCTTCTCGTTATCCTCATCGTCTTGCTCCTCCACGTCTACGCCAGGTGCTTCTTCTCCCCCTCTCGCCACCACCGCGTCGCCGCCGATAATCACGTGGTCCTCGTCGGCCTTCCCCCGGCCACCTTGCCGGAAAATAAGCATAAGGGTCTGGGGAGATCGGACATTGCTAGGAATATTCCTCTTTTTGTGTACGAGGGAAATGGAGAAGAAGATGAAGAGGGGTGTGTGATTTGTTTGAGTGGCTTTGAGGATGGAGATTTGGGAAGGAAGTTGCCCAAATGCAGCCATGCATTCCATGCAGATTGTATCGATATGTGGCTGTTTTCCCACGCTTCTTGTCCGGTTTGCCGTGCTCCGGTGGTTACGGGTGGCGATCTAGAAAATGACGGCGGCGGAGAAGCAGCTTCTGCGGTTGTTCTACCGTAGCTTCGTTAGTTTTAAAATGGTTAATTATTATGTGATTAAATGCGTAATTAACTACAGCTAGAAATTAGAAAACGCATTTAACAAAAACGGGAGAGCCATTATTATTCGATCTACGTATCTTCTTTCTCTTGTTTTGTTGTGTTGAAGGCGTCACTAAATTTGGACTAAGCTGTTTTCATCAACCTCCTAATTGATCAATTTGTACTTTTTTTATAACAATTTACTTAAATAGTACTCCCTCCGTCCCCAATTTGATTACAAATTGCGGGTTACGGAGTAAAATTTTCTACTCCCTCCGTTTTTTAAAACACTCCCTCTTTCATTTTTTTCACTTCCAACAAAACACTTCCACTTTCTATTAAAAAACCACTTTTACCTTTACTTTTTCATACCCTACCTATCACATTATACTTTATCTCTAATAATCTATCCATCACATCTTACTTTTACCTATCACATCAAGGGCAAAATTGGAAGTCAACTGCAATTTAATACTTCCTTATTTTTACACAAAGTCAAAATAGGAACACTTTTTCCAAACGGAGGGAGTACTTTTTGAAATTATTTTATTTACAAATTGGTATATAAAAATTACATATTAAAAAACTATATCAAAAGTTCTACAAAACAAGGGGTGACAAGAATATTTTATTTTATCATATACTTAATGAAATCGCGTAAACAAACAAAAGTTATCGAGAGGAGAGAGAAAAAAATTGTAATCTATTTAGGGACGGAGGGAATACTAAAATATAGTGACTTTCTCAATATAGAATCATATATATATCTATATTTAATGTATTACCACTGTTCAATGTCCACTAATCACTGTTTGAGTAAATGTCTACCGTCATTGAACATTTATTCAAACTAAATATCCATCATTACTGGATATTATTTTCGCTACTAGACATTATTCAAGTATTATTTGAGGAATTAAAAATTTTAAGTGCTACATTAAGAAATAACATATGTTTTTAGTGTTAAACAAAGAGTCTTGCTATATCCACCCAATTTTGGTCCTTGCAAAATATTTTAAAACCAAATAAAGTCGATTTGTTTTTGGTCCATTTAAATACTCACAAATTAACTCTAAGTTTGTGGGAGGATCATTTGCAAAGACAAATATTTTACAAGGATGATTTTATACACAAATAAATATTTTAGAAAGACAAAAACCAAAAAAAACATCATAATAAAGACTAAAAATATATTTAACGTAACCATTCTTTCTTTTGTACTTTTGAGGTTAAAATTGTCAAGTTTAGATTAATGAAGTGTATATAGGAACATGTAACTAACACTTTTAAAAAAAATTGTCAAATTAAGAACAAACTCAACCAAAAGTTTAAACTTGTGGTTGTAGCTAAGAAATGTTTCTTATATTCTAACACGCCCTCATGCGCTCGCGTAGCCTTTTTTCGAGCATAGCACGTGAAATCTTAATTTTCCTTAAAATTGGGTGGCGCTGAATATTGAACTTGTGACCTCTTTGTGTACAAGGCTCCGATATAATTTCAAAGAACTAACTCAACAAAAAACTCAAACTTGTGTAAGACTAGACTCTAATGTCTAAACAAGCAAATTTACAAAAAACAAAATTATTGGAACAAAAAAACAATTTGTCAACACGTGGTTTTTATCCATCGAAGAATAAAAAGAAATTATTAAAGTGTCAAATAAGAAGTAATTTATAAAATCAATGAAAAGATAAAAAATAAAAGATATCATTAGTAGGATTAGGTTTTAAATGGTTCGGTTCGATTTTTAAACACCAAAACGAAAAACAACATGGAATAGAAACTGTTCGCTTATGTTTTTGTGCTCTAGTTTTTTCGGTGGGCTAATAGCATGGTTGCATCCTGTGATTTACAAAAAGGACGTCAAAACCCTTCCTGTTTTCAAAAGTTATTTGTAAAGTCCCTATGCTTTCTAAATAGAGCACACATGCCCCCCTTACCTATTTTTAAAGCAAAAATGACATTTATGCCCTTTCTTTTCCTCGATCTTAAATTTTTCCAATTTTATTTTCTTTTATTATACAAATATATAAAATAAAATATACGCTTGTCATCTTAAATTAAAATTTTCCATAATGTATTTTCGAAAACAAAAGTTTTTTTTGGAGAATGTTACAAAAGAAAAATAAAAATAAAATATTATGTACAAGTAAAAATAATAATTGAAAAAGGTAATGAAAAAGAAAGAAAAATATATAAAACAACTTTTTTCTTTAGCTCCCTGTTTTATTTCATCATTCTATTCTTCCTTTTTTCAAAGTCCTTAAAAATAATTTTACTTTTAAAAAACAAATAGGTTAAACTTTTTATTTAGAGATACAGTGAGTATATGTAATCTAATTTTTTATTTTATTTATTTTACTTTTACTTATAATGAAAAAGTGTATTTTATTTCAGTTTTTAATTTTTCATTTTCTTTTATAACATTTTCTAAAAAAATTATAACATTTTCTTTTATAACATTTTCTTTCTTTTCATTACCTTTTTCAATTATTATTTTTTACTTTGTACATAATATTTTATTTTTATTTTTCTTTTGTAACATTCTCCAAAAAAAAGTCTTTTGTTTTCGAAAATACATTATGGAAAATTTTAATTTAAGATGACAAGCGTATATTTTATTTTATATATTTGTATAATAAAAGAAAATAAAATTGGGAAAATCTAAGATTGAGGAAAAGAAAGGGCATAAATGTCATTTTTGCTTTAAAAATAGGTAAGGGGGTCATGTGTGCTCTATTTAGAAAGCATAGGAACTTTACAAATAACTTTTGAAAACGGGGGGGGTTTTGATGCCCTTTTTGTAAACCACAGGGGGCAACCATGCTATTAGCCCTTTTTTCGGTTCAACTTTTATTTTTATATAATTCAATCGAGGACCATGCTAGGGGTACATCAAATGAGTTTTAGTGTCTGTGTTTGTTTGATGTACAAATAAGTTTTTTTGGGTTTTAGTGTCTGTGATTGCTTGCTGTACAAATGGGTATCCCATTTTGGTAAATCTCCAACTTATTCTTCAATCCCTAGTTGTACTTGAAATACTTTCTTCGTCATAGAGTATTTGTCTACTTTTGACTTTTTTTGTCAAAATTGGTAAATTTTGATCATAAATTAAATAAAAATGATCCTACGTAATAGATATTAATACAAATATAATTTTATTAGATTTACTATATAAAATATTTTCAAAATACTACTCCCTCCGTTTTTTAAAACACTTTCTCTTTCATTTTTTTCACTTCCAACAAAACACTTCCACTTTCTATTAAAAAACCACATCATACTTTATCTCTAATAATCTATCTATCACATCTTACTTTTACCTATCACATCAAGGGCAAAATTGGAAGTCAACTACAATTTAATACTCCCTCCGTCCCTGAGTGTTTGTCCACTTTCATTTTTACACACCATCCAATGCACTTCTTTAATCCATTTTATCTTGTAATTTGTATATTAAAAAATTATAAAAATTATATATTAATAATCTACTCCGTATATGTTAAGACGAATCAAACAAGATCACACATGACTATTTTTAGGCTTACACATTGAGAGAATTTGATGAGTCAAAGTGCTTAGATGAATAGTTCCAAAAGTCAAAAGTGGATAAACACTCAGGGACGGACCAAGTACTTCCTTATTTTTACACAAAGTCAAAATATGAACACTCTTTCCAAAGGGAGGGAGTACTTTACTTACAACTTAATTAAGAGCATGGGCAGTGGCGTGTCAAAGCCACTGCCACGCATGCCACATCATCTAAATTCCTCTTTTTCCATGGCAACCCATAGCAAGGCAACTTGCAAGCCATGGCAAGTGCGAGCCATCTTTTCTTTTTTATGTTTATTTTTTTTTTGTAAAAGAAAGAAGTTTTTTTTTTAATTTTTTTTAGAGGCAAGTAGAGGGGATTAGAGGCATTATTTTCCATTTTTAAATTTTTTATTTTTTCTACTTTCTAATCTTACTTTTTAAAAATAACTTAACCCTTTTTTAGTTGTCTTTCTTTTTTTCTTTACAATCTATTTTCTTTTTCAAAACAATCTTACATTTATTTGAGACTAAAAAAAATTCATTTTTAAACATTAATGTTTTATGTGAAATTATATAATTTAATTTAAAAATTTGATTTTCTCTTTGTACAATTAAAATCTTTACAAGAAAATGCAATAATTTATAATAAAAAAACATACATGGACTAATAAAAATATGTCAAAATGTTAACATTGCCAAAAAAAGATTACAATTATTTTTATTTAAAAAGGTAAGTAAATTAATTTTTAATTATTAAAATATATTAAAAAGGTGTAAAAATGATAAAAAGAGTGACTTGCCACTGCAAGACATGTCACTCCACTCATGTACCACACGCTGACTGGACTTGTTTTGATTGGCTAAAATACTCCACGTCATCGTGTGGCATCCAATTTCTTACTTGCCATTGCCCATGCTCTAAGAGTATAGGACCAACTCATCCGTGGTCTAGGATTTCTTGATCCATTTATGTGCTACCCAAACACAAACTCGACCCAAAACTCCAAAAGGGATAATCTCAATCCTAACCCTGGGACCGAATTGAAGGTTCCAAACGCACAGGCGGGTAAATCTCCGCCGGGAAAGGACATACTAAAAATGAAGACGGAGAGGGAGACGACGGTCGGGCAAGGAAAGGAAACCTACAACTTGCGATCCAGGGTGGTTTATTCCGTCACCTCACCACCGCCAGAAGAAGACAGCCGCCGCCGTAGATTATCACAGTAAGTTTTTTTTCCCCTTCTTTCGCCGTGGATTTGCTGTCGGTTGTTGTTGGAGGTGACTAATTTGGTCTGTCTTTGACTTGAATATAATGTCCTGCGGGTGAATTCTATCTTACTTTAGCATTCAAACATTTACTTACTGATCCATGTTGTTTTGGCTGCATGTTATATATATTAGGGTTTCCAAAGTTCTAAAAGAGGAGACAGCTAAAGCCAAATTACCTGAAGATGAAGAGTATGTGCCAGCAATTCTATCTCTTTATTGCCTAGTCAATAATAATAATAATAATAATAATAATAATAATAATATATAATAATACTTAAAGCAATCATTCACTTACATACTGATCCATGTGATTTTGGCTGAATGTTATGTTAGGGTTTCCAAAGCTCAAAAGGTGGAGACAGCTATAGGCAAAAAACCTGAAGATGAGTATGTGCAAGCAATTCTCTTTATTAGCTATTCAATAATAATAATAATAATATGCTGCTTTCATGTGTTAAATATTTGCTGTTTGAGTTTCTCCTGCTTGCTACTAGCTACATCTTCTGTTTATTTTATGCTTTAAGAGGATGTTAAGATTGGAGGTTATATGGATAGTTCTTTTATTGTTGAACTCCCCTCCAAATATAAATCAAAGCAATAGATTAGCTTTAGTCATTCAATTGATTGATCTAACAACATATGTAGGCTTATTGTTCAGTTCTATCTTTCATCAGTACTCATAGAACACTTAAAAAGAGCTGAGAGAGAGCAACTTATTTTAAGATCCCATGGGGCCTAATAAATATTTCCTTGTTCCCTAATTTCTAGACCGACCGTGCGCCCTGCCGGAGGTCTTTTTCGCGGACCTCCTCCTCTGACCGGTCAACGCCTTAAGGACCATCAAAAGGAACAGCAGCGCCAACTCCGTGCAGAGGCAACAAAATCCTTGAACTGGTACAATAAGGGCCGCCAACAGCGTGGGGTTTGTTTGTTTGTCTCTCTCATTCTAACCCTTCTTCTTGCTGGAATAGTTATATGTTTTGCAGGATGTGTGTTTGATTTATTATTGTTGATCTTTACTTTCTTTCCAGCAGCTTCCCAAGTACGTTCTTGTGAAGACAATGAAAATGCAAGCCTTTGCCCTTAAGTGCGGATTTGTGCACCATCTCAACTTCAAGGCCCGGCCAAAAGACGATCCTGCTGCTCCTCCAGAGCTCTTTTTTGCTGAAAGGGTGGTTAGTTGGCATGGATTGGTAGATACACGTTGCTACAGCCTGGGGACTGGTTCTCCTAAAACTGGTATTATTATTATTATTATTATGTCTGCCAAATGCTTCATTGGTTGGGGTTTCTTTATGTTTTCATGGTCTGTTTTCTTGCTAATTGATTTTTCACTTGCCATCCAGTTTTCACTGACCTGTTTAAATTGGTCGTAATTGTGTTTTTTTATATATTGTTGCTACTGTAGGAGGAGGTGGGGAGTGTAATCTTTGTTACAGGATTTATCACCCAAGGGACGTGGAATTTGTGGGCAGGGCAGACCACCTACAGTGAGCGAGCTATGATTGCCCTCTCTCAAGTTCTTCATGAATCAGTAGGCTGTACCCATGGGACTCTGGTGTATGCCACTTTTATCATTAGCATTATGTGTCTATGTGGCTTTTATCATCACAGTATTATGTACTACGTAGAGAATTAAGAAAGTTGCATCACTGTGGATCAGTGAATGATTAGTTTCATACAGTAACTCTTTTTAAAGTGTTGTTCTATGAGTGAAGAAACACAAAAAACTACGGAGTAAACAATAAGCCCATATGTTGTTGGATCTCAAACAGAAAAAACTCAAACATCAAATATTTAAACACATCACACATACTCCCTCCGTCCCCAATTTGATTACAAATTGCGGGTTACGGAGTAAAATTTCCTACTTTTTAAAATCATTTTATTTATAAATTGGTATATCAATAAGATATAAAAATTACATATTAAAAAACTACGTGAAAAGTTCTACAAAATAAGAGGTGACAAGAATATTTTATTTTATCAAATACTTAGTCAAATCGCGTAAACAAACAAAAGTTATCGAGAGGAGAGAGAAAACAAAATTGTAATCCATTTAAGAACGGAGGAAGTATATGAGAGCAGCATATTAGCATTAATATTAATTTTACTTAAAACAGGCTAAACATTGTCCATGAACGGTAAATAGTTAGGGTTGTAAATGGATAATTGAAAATTCAATTACTGTCCGTATCTGTATCCGTTTATATGGAAAATATTGGCATCCGTTAAAAGCGGTTATTATCCGTATCCGATTAAAGATATCCAATTGGTAAACAGATAGGAATTTATTAATCATACATCCGATCCGTTTATAATTCGCTCCGCATAGACATCTGTTTAAGTATAATTTTTTCTAATTATTATTATTATTATATTTTGTTCTTTTATTGACATCTCAAAGTATAAAATATTTTTATGTATGTATGTGTATTGTGTATATATTTTTACCATATGAAGTTGTCGTAAAATATAACGGAGTATAAATTATAAAACAATAAGAAAAAAACACTTCGTAACAAGTTACAATTGAATAAATAATATTTTGACTTTAATTAAATTAGAAATTAAAGTATTTTTAAATTTAAGTTATTTAACTTAAAAAATTCGAAACGGATATGGATGTATCTGATATCCGACGAATGCGGATACGATTTTGATTTTTAGTATCCGTCAAGATCTGTATCCAAATTCAATATCCAAAAAAAATAAATTGATATGGATCTAGTAATAGCACATGCTATCCGATTAATATTCATTTACACCCTATTAAAATAGTCTTTTAAAAAGTCAAAACATTAATAGTAATCTTTGATAGTATTTCTAAGAGCACTGGTAATGGTCATGAAGCCCAGGGGCTTCAAACCGGGGCTTCAAACTTTCTCTCTCTGCCATGTCAGCTTTAACTTATACCCAAAATTCACTGGAAATGGTTTTGAAGCCCCGGGGCTTCAAACCTTCATTTTTTACATTTTTAAATATACATCTTCTAAATTTAAATTTATAAATTTAAATTAATTTATTATTTTAATTAATCACAAAGACACTATTGCATAAAAAAATTAAATTCATTATAAAAAAATCTTACATTCATAAAAAAAACATTAAAAAAAATTACATAAAAAAACAACAGTACAAAGAAATCACTAATTATTCGAACGACTAAAAATATGCTCGATCAAATCCGCCTTTAGTGCATTGTGAATCTCTCGGCTTCGAATTTCTTGGCGGTTGCGTCGTTTCTTTTCTTCGGTGATTTCTTCGTACATAGGCACCTCCTCGTCCGGGTTGTATTGACAAATCGCAGACCCGTTATCCTTTATGATCATATTATGAAGAATAATACATGCGTACATGATATTCCTCATTTTTTGTCTGAAAATAACATTTCGACGGACGATCTAGAATGTGCCACTTAGCCTTCAAGACCCCAAAGGCTCGTTCAATGTCTTTTCTCGCTGCTTCTTGAGCTTTTTTGTAGGTTTGGCGTTTAAGACCATGGGTTCGGAGAGAGATTGGAATAATCCAGATATATTCCATCAGCCAAATAATATCCACGTTTGTAAAGCGTCCCTCTAAGCTCAAAAGAGGAGTCCGGTGCGGTCTCATTAACCCAATCATCAAAAACAGGCGATTGATCGAGAACGTTGATGTCGTTGTTCGAGCCCGCGACACCGAAAAAAGCATGCCAAATCCATAAGTCATTCGAAGCAACAGCTTCTAGCATGATGGTAGGCTTGGGATGATCTCCCCGGGAGAATTGACCGTGCCACGCAGTGGGACAATTTTTCCATTTCCAATGCGTGCAATCAATACTCCCAAGCATGCCGACAAAGCCGTGTTTAGCGGCATGCCTCGCCTGACTCTGCTGGATGTCGCTTGCTGTAGGCTTGCATAAATATCCTTTATAATAAATTTGAATAATAGCTTTTGAAAATTTATAAACACAGGACCTGATGCTCCGAGCAGACATCTTTAAGTATTCGACGAACATATCGGATGTCGTCCCGTACGCCAACTGAAGGAGCGCGGTAGTGCACTTTTGGACGCTACTAAACCCGCGTCGGCCTCTTGCATCAAACCGTTGGTTGAACCAAGGAACTTCGCGTTCAACATTGGCGAGTATGCGTAAGAACAGTGGACGACTCATCCGAAAACGATTACTAAAATCCTCCGGTGTATAAACACACGGATTATTAAAGTAGTCGTTTAGAAGTGAATCGTGGGCGGCCGCTCGATCCCGGTTTAGACGTTGGCATCGGGTCCGTCGTCGGGAGGATTCGGCTTCTTCCTGGCCATCTTTCCACCATTGAATATAATTCATCGCGAAACAACGAAAAAATAAAGCTTTTCTTTCATCGTCTGAAGATGAACCCATTTTAAAAATATATTTTATAAATATTTATAATAAATAATAAATATTTTTGAGAGAATATATAGTACTGCCTCCGTCCCAATTTAAATCGCCCGTTTAGACTTTTAGGCATATTTAAGGAAAATAAAAAATAGAGTTGATTTTTCAAAATTGACATTACTTTTTAAGAGGTGTAATGATGAATGAGAAGATAAGGTGAAAAATAATGACTTATTTTAAGGATAGTATAGGTATTTTATTTTTAATAGTATACGAAAACAACTAACAGACAATTTATTTTGGGACGGAGAAAAAAGGCAAACAGGCAATTTAAAATGGGACGGAGGGAGTAATAAAGAGAGATTTGTGAGAGAGAGGTGTGAGGAAGATGTATGAGAACGGGGATTTTATAGGTTTTTTTTTTAATTTAGAGTTTTTTTTTAATGGGGGGGGGGGGGGTAACGGCTATATAGCCGTTGAGAAGGGGAACGGCTAAAAAAATCGGCCCTCACGCCGTGTCAAACGAATGACACAGAGCTCCTCATGCCCGTTTAACGCCGGTGGGGGCGGTGTTTCACGCCCCCGGGGCGGCGTTTAACGCCCCGTAACGCCGGTGGGCGTGAGGAGTATTACCACTGCACTCTGGTCTGGAGTGCACATGACCCGAGGGTAATATCTGAATCTTCTTAACTGGGCTGGGCTCAAAATCAAAGCAAAAGCATGAGGAATTGTGGGCTTGGTGAATTTTCATGCAATTCTACCCAATTAAAACAAGGAAAATTCATCTAAATAGACCGTAGTTTTTTTTCTAATGGAGTATTATATGTTTTTATTTTCTAATACAGTATAACTTTTCAATGTCCAAATGTCATTATTCAAGTAAATATATAGTGTCACTAGACATTATTTAAATTAAATGTCTACCGTCACAAAATATACTTCCTGCCATTAGACTAATGGCATTATTCAAATACTCCCTCCGTCCTCCTGTATTTGTCCACATTTGACTTTTGGAACTGTTCATCTAAGCACTTTGACTCATCAAATTCTCTCAATGTGTAAGACTAAATATAGTCATGTGTGATCTTGTTTGATTTGTTTTAACATATAGATTATTAATATGTAATTTTTATAATTTTTTAAAATACAAATTACTAGATAAAATGGATTAAAGAAGTGCATTGGATGATCTGCAAAAATGAAAGTGGACAAATACAGGGGGACAGAGTATATTTTAGTACAAAGTACAATGGTAATGAAATACGTATTACACTGGTAATGAAAAATATTAAAAAATAAAAAATACTTTTATTTTTAAAAAATAAAAAATTTAAAATACTACGGATTACATTGGTAATGAAATAAAAAATTTACACGGAGTAATATTACATTCGTAATAAAATATACACGGAGTATATTTTATTTTTAAAAAGAGTAAATTATATAAAAGGTCCCCAGTTATAGGTCGTTTTACATATTTAGTCCCTACATATCAAATATTACTAATTTAGTCCCCAATTATTATATTTATTTCCACGAATGGTCCTTAGTTAACATTTTCGTTAAAAACGTAGACAAAATTGTATATTCATACTTCTCTCTCTCCTCAATTAAGCTTTCTTCATCTTCTCATACTCTTTACCAAACTCGTTGCTGATTTTTATCTCTTTTCTCTACATTACGTTTAATTATATAATTTTATTTTTCTCAAATTTGGTACAAAATCAAATAAAGAACATGAAATTGGAAGGGAGGGAGTAGAAAGTCCAAGGTAAAAATATCTAATCAAAAATCTCACTTAGAACTCCACCCAAACCATAATAATAATGAGAAATCAGAAAACCACCCATAAACATCTATACGGATCGGGAATAATGAATCCAAATCTATAATATAATGAAATTTCGTGTTTGGAATCCAGAAAATATAATATATCTATATGATATCAATATGTACAGAGGAGGTGGTGGAATCAAGAGAAGCCCGGCAGAGGGGACAACTGGAACGGTTCAAGAGCCAAGCATCTACGCATCCGCCGTGGAACACGTGGGCGCACTCCGGCATAACCTTAACCGTCTCCGAGTCCTCGAACGTCCCCAGACATATCGAGCACTCGTTCCTCCCCACCATCTCCAGCGACCCGTACCTCGCTTCCGGGAGGTTCTTCACCGCCTCCTCGCCCAGTCCCTTGTTCCCTGCCGCCGCCGCCGCGGTGGTAGTAGGAGGAGAAGGCTCGCCCGGCCGCCTCCTGCCGCCGCGGAGGAAGCAGTAGAAGAGGAGGGCGAGGAGGAGGAGGAGGAGGGAGAAGAAGATGAGGAAGAAGAAGAGGACGCCGGGGTCCCTTAGGCTGGAGGTGAATGCAGTTAGGTCTATCCTCCACCAGTTTGGAGGGGTCTCTGCCTCTCTTGGTAAGGCCATGGCCGGACGCCCTTAATTAATTTTTAGATCTTTTGTTTTGTTCTTTTTTCGGCAATAAATAATGCAGAAATGAAATGAAGAGATGATCGAGAGCTGTAATTAATAAGTGTGTATATGGAAATTTAATTAAATCTCTAATTTCAGTACCCATCCCTTCTGCGCCATTATATATATATATATATATACTCTCTCAAAGTATGTCCATGAGAGTCCAAATTAAAGTCTCATATCAAGTGGACTAAGGTCTATGATTGGTTCTGATTTAATTCAAATTAAATAAGTTTTGATCTAATCAGATCAAATTAGAATATAGTTATATTTAAAGTTATTTTTTGTCTCATTTTATTTGATCTGATATATATATATATATATATATATATATATATATATATATATATATATATATATATATATATATATATATATATATATATCGTATAAAAAACAAAAATTTTCTCATTTCTATTAAAAGTCACTTTTACCCCTGCTAAGTATGACCTACTTATCATACCACATCTATTTACTATTAATCTGATTTACTCATTAAATCTTACTTTTACACATCATATCCAAAGATATTTTTAGAAACTCAATATCAAAATATACTTTTCTTAAATCGTTTAAAAATCAAAACCTCTCATTTTTTAAAGAACGGAGTAAGTATTTAGCTACAAAATTTTTGAATTAATTTATACTACGGAGTATAAGATTTTTATGCTAAATGCCAATACTATTTGTTTTCATATTAGGCCAACATCAATAGTTTGCCTCGACCAATTAAGATGAAACGCCCAACATCATAAATTCATAATTAGTTAATTACCTTCATTATTACTCCGTAGTACACAATTTACTAATTTAGTATGAAGAGGCACATATATTGGAGCAGTTTGGTCAAAGAAAAGGTGCCACTTGAGGAGTTAATTACGTGACTTGTCATGGATCGTACGTGCCAATTATGTGTACAAGTTCATCTGTAGCTACTCTGTGTTTTTTAGCTACTACTTACACAAAGGTATCACCTTGCCCACCTTGGTTGGTATGTACCTGCATATTGTTATGCCACTATTTCATGCAATTCATTTCTTAAGAGTGGTTGATTTTATCATTTTGTAGCTACACTGGCCAACTCTTTATCAGTTGTGCATTTTCTTGCCTTGTTGCTTTCCATCTTTTCCACGCCCCACTATTGCTCATGCTCATTAGTCATTATAACAAAAACGATAATAGCGGTGAGAGTAACTCAACTGGTTGATATCGAGTGTCACTAAAAAGATAAATTTGTTTTGAGTTTGACTTCTGATCTCTATGGCAACTTTCATACAAAACATGGGATTTCGTGCAAGTACCATGATGGGAATACGGCCAAATAGCTTCAGTCAGGGCCGGTCCTAAGGATTCATTAGCCTGGGCCGAAACAGAAAAAAGGTCCTAAAAGTCTTATCTTTAATGGTCTAAAAAAGTTCACATATGTAAATTAATTATATTTAAATTATAATTAACGCAATATTATTAGAAAAAAATAAATGACAAGTATAAATAAATAAATATATCGTAAATTAATATCAATTCGTCAATATTTCTTTTTTTAATTGTTTTTTTTTCAGTTTTAATTTTTTTATAAATCATAAATTCATATCAATTCATCAATTTATTATTTTTAATTTTTTTTGGTTTTCAGTTTTTTTAATATAAATATATAATTATCATAAATAACAAATTCAAATCAATTCATCCAAATCAAATAAATAACATATATTTTCGAAACTTATTTCTAAAGTCCTCGTGCGTGGTTTCAAAACATTGCACTCACACCCAATCTGATCATTTTTCGGTCATTTTCCAGCGAAGAAATTAGCACCAGTGCCCATATAAATTGGAAAATATGCTAATTTTCCAAAACAGATGAGGTACTGGAGGTACTGAAGCCAGGGCCTGCCCAATAGGGGGACAAGGTGTCCGTCCGGGCCGGGCCCAAAAAATTTAGGGGCACAAAATTTTGTTTTTAAGTATTATATATAAATGTGTGTGTATATAAGCCCAGACCCAATCCCATGACCCATCCCTTAACTTAGCCCAGTGCCCCACTCCATGTGTATGTTGTAGACAAAAAAAACGAAACGGAAGAAAAGAGTCCATACGCCCAGTTGTCGATCGAAGAAACCAGAAGGCAGAAACGTCAAGGTCTCAAGGACCGGAAGAATCCGTAGGATTGGCCCTGAAAATAATTATGGGCCCCCTTGTGAAATGGGCCCTAGGCCACAACCCCCCATGCCTACCCCTGGGCCGGCCTGGGTGGGGGTTACCGTGGGGCAAATAGAGCACTCTAGAGGAACAATGCTCTCTCTGGTCATTCAAAGTGAGTCGTCTGTCATAGAACAAAAAGATCAAATTTAACTCAAAAGATATCATATTGAAAGAACACTTCAAGACGAGAATAATACTACCTACGCTTCCATATATTTATCCAATTTGACTCGACAAGAAAACATTAAACTTCAATTATTGTCAATATCTATTAGACATTAGTACAATAAAATAAAATTTTAGAAGATTTGAACAAGATCCAATAATATTATTTTTATAATAGTACACATTATATTTTACTTTAATTGATACTCAAATTTCATTGTATTCGACTTAAAAAGTCAACTTAACAAGGACACTGTAAAAGAGTAATACTCCGTATATAGCAATGTTTCTTTAGTTCTTTATTATGCATTTTTGACTATATTCTTATCGTGTAATAATATTGTGAACTACGTAGTACTCCACAGTAAATTTAGCCTATATAGTAGACCTACAAAGAGGGCAGTTTGACCGGGCAGTCAACCTCCGAACAATACACTGAGGGGCTGTTTGGCAACTTCTGAATGGGTAAGTGCTGAACCAGTAAGAGGTCTGAACCATTAAGTGCTGAACCAGTAAGAGGTCTGAACCATTAAGAGCTAGTATATTGCTTAACTATTCAGAAGCAAATGTCTGATCAATTCAGATAAGAGGTCTTAACCATTCAGACTCTGTATAATACTTAACCATTCAGAGGCAAATCTCTTAACCATTTAGACATCTGAACCATTAAGAGGCTGAAACAAACAGTCTGAACCATTAAGTGGGGAACCATTAAGTGCTGAACCATTCAGACATCTGAACCATTAAGAGGCTGAAACAAACACCCCTGAGAATGGAAAACATGCATGCACTCCGGCATCACTCTAACCACCTCCTTCTCCTCAAACACTCCCAAACATATGCAGCACTCCTCTCCCCCGAACCTCCTCGCCGCCGCCGTCCCACCGGCGGCATCCGGCGGCCTCCCCTGACCGAAAACCGGCGGGCGGGTCCCGGCGGTCACCTCCTCAAGACCAACAACAACCCCAGACCATGACCGTTCGCGAGACGGCAGAGCTGCGCCCGCAGTAAAAGAGACTGTTCCATTACTGCGGATGCTCGTCTGCTGCCGTCTCGCTGCAGTTGGGTTGGCACTGGGTATGGTGACGTCATCGTCGTCGTCGTCGGGGAATAAGGCGATTTGGTTGCGAATGTAACGGATGAAGAGGAAGACGAAGAGGAGAAAGGAGAGGAGGAAGATGAAGAAGGTGATGAAGAATAGTTTGACGCTACGGTCTGTTATGTACCAATGGAATGGCTCCACTTCCTCCACCTCCATATCTCAGCTCGATCACATGCAACTTAAAACAATTTTAATAATATTTGAGTAAATAATTTGATGAAATAAATACAGAGTACTCGGTATATACTAGTCATGCAATAATGGCTAGCTAGCTCTTACTTATATATATGTACCTAATTACTTATTTTCTCCTTTCACTTGGGTGTGCATGTTTGTCGAGTTTGTTTTTTTAATGAAACTTTAATTATTTAAATAAAAATATGTGACATCATATATTAATTCAGGAATGATTTGATTAGATTCATCTGGTAAAGCATTTTAAGAACATATTTTATTATGTTAATATACAATTTAAAATTCCCTCCATCCCAAGAAACTTTTTTTACTTTCTTTTTACACCAATCCAAAAAAAATTCTCAATTCATTAAAAAAAATCACTTTTATCACTAATGATTCTTAACCTACATATCATCTCTCATATACTTCCTCCGTCCCATAGTATTTGTCCACTTTCAATTTTACACATCATGCATCCAATGTACTTTTTTAATCTATTTTATCTTGTAATTTGTATATTAAAAAATTATAGAAATTATATATTAATAATCTATATGTTAAGACAAATCAAACAAGATCACACATGACTATATTTAGGCTTACACATTGAGATAAGTTGATGAGTCAAAGTGCTTAGATGAACAATTCCAAAAGTCAAAAGTGGACGAATATAGCGGGACGGAGGTAGTATTCAGTATTAATTTACCCATCAAATACTACTTTTATCCATCATATCTAAGTACATTTTTGGAAGCTCAACACCAAAATACACTCATTTAAATTAAATCTTTTAAATATCAAAATCTCTCATGTTTCCAGAGACGGAGGGAGCAATTGAAGTGGCTTACACATCTAAATACTCCCTCCGTCCCGGATTATTAATATATAATTTCTATAATTTTTAATATACAAATTACAAGATAAAATAGATTAAAAAAGTGTTTTGGATGATATGTAAAAATGAGAGAGGATAACGCAACATATTGGTTCGTTATTTACTTGCCACATAGGGGTAGTAAAGCCAAGATTCAAAATGTGGACCCCCTTAAGATCTCTGTTGGGCTTCTTCATGCGACGTTGGCCCACTTTGGAACGTTTTGCACATGTTTCGGATTTGGTTATTAAAATCGATAAAAGAGGATAAATTAATATTGGATCGTTGTTTCAGTTCAAGTGCAGCAGTGGAGAAAAAAAAGGTCGACTTGGAAAAACAAAATGGAAAGTGGGCCGAGTGCTTTCTTACTTTGCCATTTTTCCCTCCCCTATGCAACGAATCCCTACAATTTTATTTTTAATTTAAATTGAGAATGTTAAAACACAAAAGTGAGTTCTTCAAATTTAATATCTAGAGAGAAAAATTAATGAAATGTGATCTATATACTTCATTTTTATGAAAACTAACTAACTAAAGAATGAAAGCGTGGAATTTTTTTCTGGACGGATGGAAAAAATGTTAAAAATCATAGAATTTTAAATTTTCACACTGCATCTGCATGATTCAATTAACAACTCAAAAATAAAAAAAGTAGCAATTTTGATTGTACAAAAAAAGAATTTTTTTCTTTAGGAACTTGTTTATTTTAAAATTGAAACTAGTGCATCACTTTGCGATGCACGGAACGAAAAAACTTATTTTAATTACGAAAAAATATGAAAACTTTGGTAACTGGATCTTATTTAACATCAATCATACATTCTCAAAGACCTCTTTATAAACTACATTCATTGTATAGTGTTAGATGGAGTAATTTCATAATTATGTATTATTATTTTTAATCCTCTCGCGAGACAGTATGATCAATTTTGATTCTGCATATACAACACATAGTAAATAGTTGTTACAAAAATGTATCAGAGATACATTAATTTACACGTCTACTTGTTTGATTTAATCTTTTTGTTGACCTTGTTCGACGTATCATAAATGTACCATTACGCGAACCCATGAATTTGGACTTCTTGTGGAAAGAATGTCTCAATTTTATGATAGTTTTGTCCATTCAGAGTATAAGTCGTAGGTGGCCCTCCTCCGTTATTAATGGAATGATCAACTTTTTCACTCGTTGAAGTGAATCAAAACATATTGTTGTAGGCATGAATATTTTTTTTTGAAAGGAATTTTCAAGAATAAAAAAAGCAGCAATTTCGGTTGTACAAAAAAAATATTTTCTTTAGGAACTTATTTGTTTTACAATTGAAATATCAGAGGATGCGAATGAAACAATATAACGAGTAAGGGCGCGTATTGACACTCGTCATCGTTGACATTAGTGGTGCCATTGCGTTTTTGGAACACCTCCGCTGCTTTAATCAGAAAATTGATGGTTCTTAAGTTCCCAAACACACCTAACTAATTTTGTGAGGAGAAATGGCACAATTTACATAACCAAATTCATAAAACATAAACCCAATGTTCAATACATGTATCAAAGAATTTTTAACATGATCTTTTTTTACTCAGTATTTAAGAAGGATATGTTAATAAGATTGATGACAGAAGCACTGGATTTAAATTCAGAAAGTCATTATTTTAGGGAGTAATTTCACATTTATACTCCTTTTGTCCTTTAACTAAGTTCTTAATTGATTTTTTTTCTTTTTTGGGAATGTGGGAGAGGAAATTTTCTACCTCTGTCCCCAATGATTTATTGCAACTTTCACGTTTTCAACCCCGCAGTGTTTGATTTTGATTTCTTTAATAATTGTGTTTGCATCATTAAGCAAATTTTTACGTGGTCGTAAGATCCAAATTCATTTTATGAAATTTAGTACATTGATATCATAAAAGAATTATACTCCGTACTTTTTTGCAAAAATAGGAAAGATCCATCGGTCAGCTCATGAAAAGTGTAAGAAAATCCACATTTCAGATGTGGGCCTTAAGACTACGGAAGAACATCTCTTGAATTAATCCCTATTACCAACATTATAAAAAGTAAATATATTCTAACAAAATGAGTTTTCAAACGGTTCTTAGTTGTTACTCATCGATTTCGAAATAAATTTTGCTATTTAACTTCACAAAATTTAATGAGGATGTTAAAACACAAAAGTGAGTTCTCTTCAAATTCAATTCCTAGAGAGAAAACTTTATGAAATGTGATCTATATACTTCATTTCTAAATAAAAAAAACGAAGTGCGGAGTTCATTTTAGAAAACAAACTAACTAAAGAACGAAAGTGTGGAATTTTTTTTGGGACGGATGGAAAAATGTACAAAAATCTTATAATTTCCACCCCCTTCAACCAAACACACCTTTGAGGCCATTTTCACACTGCATCTGCATGACTCAATTAACAACTCGAGATCATCTCCACCTGTTCATAAACCTAGCAAGAATGCAGCTACAAAAATCTTCACAGGATCACTCACAGGTGACATAGCCAAGAAGTTGGTGCTTCCAGTTCTTGAAGCATTAACTGAGGTCATGCATGTTAAGGCTCTTCTCTTGTGCCATTTGTGTACACATTTCCTGCAATGCCCGAACTCGCATGGGACGCCGGGTCCGTGCTTGTGGAATTGAAGTATGAGGAGTGTGCAGAAACTGGGCTTCCTTGCGTGTGCCGGTTTCGCGCAGCAGTGCTGCTTCTTGTTGCCTTGGGGCGCGCCTTCCTCCCCTGCAGTCAAAGGTAACCACATTTTCTACCAAATACAAACTTAACCTTGGGCCTGAAGACTGGTAATTGGAGAAACCGAGATCAAACATACTATAAAAGTAAAAGAAATTTTAGAGGGAATGTGGTTTACCTTCCCCATGCATTTCTCTAGATGAGGGGCAAACCGTCCAGCCATAACGGACCGGCCACAGTTCATACAATCAAACACTTCATCAGCCACAGGAGGGTGGGTTTGTCCATATATATCCACAACGAATTTGCTGCTTGCTTCAGAACTATTGCTTGGATCAGAAGCCATGGCACAAGCCTGTGCTGACAAGTGCACTTCTTCCTCCACTTCGTCTAGGTTGCGGTCAAGTCCCAGTTTCGCTATTCGGTGACACTCAGATGCAACATCAATCATAATGGAATCAAGAAGTTCATTGAAGACATGTGATGGGAGCTGCATGTTCCAAATACAAGGAATTTTAAATCAAAATGGCACTTTGAACTACAAGAGTTTAGGTAGAGTCCATTGCCAATGAACCTAAAATAGTCATTATTCCTAATGGTTTAGTTTGGAGGACATAATGGACTAAATCAAAATGGCAAATTGAACTGCCCTTACTTTCTAAGAAGGTTTAGGCAGTAAATCTAGCAATGCATCTATGGAGTTGGGGTTGTTGTTGTATTCTGTGTCCCTAAGGGTCAGTTTGGATAGAAAGTTTTGAAGGGGAAGGTTTTGGAGGTTATAGTATATGTCTAGATGAATCGAATACAAATATACATGAATAAAAAATGAGATTGAGATTTTCCTTGACATATACGACCGCATGTCATTAACATTTAATTTTTTCTAAACAAAAAATGCATATAGATTCGATTTGGATGATTGAAGAGGGTTTCAGAGGAGAACGGAAGCGACAAATTGTTTTTTATTTCAAGAAAACATCGGTTCAACTCGACGGGTTTAAAAATATGTGATATGAAACGATATATTAGTATAAACTCATTGCCTTCCCCGCCCCTCATAAACTTCTCAATTACTTGGTGTATACCCTCCAATAACCAATTAAGGAATAGAAATATGTGGCTCCCGATATTTCTCTCTTTTCTAAACCGATCTCAGCCACACACTTTCAAAGTTTCATCGCTTTTAACCGTAAACTTTATTTTGGGACAGATGGAGTAAGAAACTACCTCAGAATGAGATGTGATAGCATCCTCATTTGGAGCTGACATGTTTTTCCTTAGAGACAGTACAAAATGTCCATAGGTTCAAGAACCCTACTGCACAAATCCAACAACAACACATATAACACATCTCTCTACATAGGTCATAGGTTACTAAACATTTCATTTTTAAGGGTAGGAATAACAATTAATCAATCATGAGGAAATGATACATTTTTGTTAAGGAACAAATGATGCATTTAGTTGACCCAAATTTGAAATTTGATTTTTGAAATTGAATTAATTTTCTTTATGAATCGAAATTGGAAAAAAATGAAATTCAATGGAACGAATCCCTATTAGAACAATAAATGAAGCACAACACAGAACAAGGAAGAAATGAACTGTAATCTGACATTTAAAATGAAATAATCCATGAATTAAGGAATTAATCACAAACTTCGAAAATCAAAACCAACCGGAAAATGAAGTAGAGTAGAGAAGACGGTGGGGATTGATTTCCCAGGATCCGGACGAATGTCACGAAGCAGATTTCTACGGTCGGGTTGATGATTTCGGACTCCCACTGTTCAATCGGGTCAATTATCCACTTTTTTGAAGGAAAATAAATTCCCCCTCCCTTCTAAAATACCGTAGATTATATAGAGTGTAATTATTATTTTAGTCATTTGATAACTTTTATTTATTTCAATATTTTTATTAATCATTTAATAAAATAAAATGTTCTTGTAATTACTTATTTTGTGAATTTTTGTTGTGATCTTTTAATATGTAAATTTCAATTTTTATTTTTATGTCAATTTGTAAATAAATTAAATTTAAAAAACATGAAATTTTTAATATTCTTCAAATTGTGGAATCTAATTTGGGACGAATAAGTAAGTGTTATCAAAGTTGAGTGCTTCTTTGTTACACCTTGGGTGTATATCATTTTTGTGGACCTTATTACATAACAAAATCTTTTTTAATTAAATAAATATATGCTTATTTAAGTAATAAAAATATACTTATTTTGCTCATATGTAGGTCCATGATGGACCTTAAGTCTACCATAGAATTTACCGTCTGATTCACTAATTTTCTAACAAAAGGTCGACAAAGAGTGAAACTATGATGCGAAGACCAAATCCATCAATCACGAGAGAAAATAGTTTGGTTAGAGATGAAAAGAAAAAAATGTTAGGCCCCGTTTGGTACATGGAATTCAAACTATGGAATTATAATTGAGGACTTCAATTCCAATTCTGATGTTTGGTAGCACAAAAATTATGTAGATTTGGAATTGATAGTGCAAAAAATGAATTGGAATTGGCAGAATTCAATTCTACGGAATTGAATCCCATGGAATTTCAATTCCAATTCTGTAAGTTCCGTATACCAAACGGACCCTAAATGTAAAAAGAAATGAACAAAAGAGATGACAAAAATATTTTTTCTTATCAAATAGTAAATTAAAACATACTAATAAATACTCCGTAAAACACTTTAGAATGTTAAAGAAGTGAGGTGTTGTTGACACAGGCCGACGGTGTCGCTAGTGGTGCCACTGCGTTTTGTAGCACTGGCTAATCAGAAAATAGATGGTTCTTAATTTTAATTTTGTGATTGGGTTCTAGAAAAGCAGAACTGCATCAACCGAACCGTAAATCGAAGAGTATTAATCTTCCAAAAATTACCCCCTAATTTCGCAATATCTTATTTCCTTCAACCAATTGTCCAATTTCTAAACCCAACCCCTATACTGTCCATAAGAATTTAGCTGCCATTCTGGGAAGCTTTACATGCGCACATGGCTTTGTGTGGGCGATAATGGCAGTTATGGCCTAATCTGCAGTGTCTGGCCCTCTCTAATTTATTCTTACCCACCTAACACATTGACAAATTATGCAAACTTTTTTCACCTGTGAGTTCTTTTATTGTCTGGAATGAAGAATGGCAGCCATTGTTGTTAACCTAAACTCTCTGCAGCTGCTTCAGTCTCTCCCTCCCTTCACTCTTCCTCAATCAAAGTCTCAATCTTTCTTCCATTTCACGCCTCTTCCTCCGTCGGCGGCTGCTCGCTGCCACTGCAACACTGGATTCTCTTTCCGGAAGTCAGCAAGACGGAATTTCAGGTCGCAGGCGACGGCATTAGCCATGTTCTCTGCCGATCCGGTCGCCGGAGACCTAACCGCCTCCGTGTTGTCCGGAGCCATCGCGTTCTCCTGTCTCCGGTTCTGGGAGGAGATGGCTAAAAGAGGAGTTTTTGATCAGGTGGATCAGCATAATGTTTCAATTGTTTAGATTTCGGATAAAAAGCAGATCTATATCGGAATTCATAATCCTATTTCTGAATTCTGATACATTCACTTTTCCTTTCTCTTTTTTTTTCTTTCTCTCTAACCAAACAAGGTTTTTTTCCTTTCCCTTTCAAATTTCTGGAACCAAACACAATATTAAGAATCAGTGCCAAAAGAATCTGCAGATTCTATCCCATTAACTTCTCAGAATTGCTTGAATAAAAATCTACATTCTGAAAATTATAAATCTCAGGCACTATCACTTAACAATCCTAAAAGGGTTTTTTTTTTGTTAATTTCAGAAACTAAACAGAAAGTTTGTTCATGTTAGCATGGGTCTGGTTTTCATGCTCTGCTGGCCAATGTTCAGGTAATCTCCAAGAAGTTAGGAAATAAGCATGTTATCTCATACGTAGTATTTTTTGTGGCAACTAAGCTAGATTTCTTTGAATGGAGTTTAAGCCAGAACTGTTTATGCATTATATAAATATTTTAGCCCCGGTCGTCAAGGAGCACTCTTAGCAGCTCTTATTCCCGGGATCAACATAGTCAAAGTTCTTCTATTGGGACTGGGAATTTGGAAGGATGATGCAACTGTCAAGTCTATGACCAGATTTGGAGACCACAGGTTTGAACACTTTCAATATTAGGACTGAAATATACTTGCCCTGATACTGGAATATTGAAGGATGAAAGAATGGGATTTTTGCTTCCATGTTTCTAACCCTTTCTTTTACTCAATTATCATTATTGTCGTCGATGTTGATTTCACGGGAAACAATCCCTCTACTTCCTATTAGGGGTAAGCGTTGTTTACACACATCCTCCCCAGACTTTACCCTCTTTTTTGTGGTATTTTACTTGGCATGTTTATGTTATTGAATTAGGGAACTTCTGAAGGGGCCTTTGTACTATGCTCTTACCATCACCTTGGCGTGTGCTGTGTATTGGAGAAGTTCTTCCATTGCCATTGCCTTAGTTTGCAACCTCTGTGCTGGTGATGGTAATAAAACTACTCTTGAAATCTTCATTTGTTAAACTATAACCTCATGTCTTCAAGTGGGCGCGCCGTTTCTCATTGTTATTACCATTTTAAGTGCCCGTTTGGCAGAACACTTTTGCTGATTTATTCGCTAATATACCTTCTAGGTATGGCTGATATTGTTGGCAGGAGGATTGGGATACACAAACTACCATACAACAGAAACAAATCCTTTGCCGGTACTATTGCAATGGCAGCATGTGGTTTCTTTTCATCTATTGGGTAACTTCTACTAAGCTTTTGCTTGAGTTGGTTCTTTAAGATGGTCATTTGCTTATATACCGTATACTCCTAATAGATATATGCACTATTTTGCCTCATTTGGGTATCTTGAGAAGACTTCACGAGCAGTGATTGGTTTCTTGATCGTCTCTATTGCTTCGGCTTTGGTTGAATCTCACCCTCTAAGCACTGATCTTGATGACAACCTCACGGTGCCGCTCGCCTCTGTGATGGTGGGCAGTTTCGTTTTCTGAGGTCAAATCTTTAGATGGGGGAGCTGTTGACTTGTTGACCTTAGAACCAATTGATGGATGAATGCAGTGACATTTCAGCAAAAAGCTGTGTTGGAGACTTCACTTGGTATCTAAATAGATTCAACATTTGTTGTAATTAGTCTATAGTTGTACTCTGTATTTAGCTAAAAAATGGAAGATAAGGTTTGACTATACCAGGACTCAACTAGATGTATTTAATAAAATTCCCATTATTAAAAATGTTTTGTTACTACTACCACTGTTGTTCACTGTTCTATGATCAACATTTCATGTAAGTTTAATTCGTTAAACAAAAGAATGAGTCTCATCTCCGAGAGTCTCTCAAACCCGGCCGGACGATTACTGAAGAGGTAAATTGAACTTTAATCACAGATGTCCATAGCTTGAATGCATATAAGTTTGATGGAAATTTACTTTCAAAATTTGGCATTCCTTATATTTTTCAGGGAAAAAACTTTGGAAATGCTCAAGTCACATATCCAAATACTAAAGCCAAATAGCCAAATATTGACCTTGCTTCTTCATCTATCAATCATCAAAGCTTTCAAACTTCTTGAGAATGACCCAGGCAATACACCACTTGAATTATTGCAGGCTAGATCAACAATTTGAAGTGTACCTCAATTCCCAATGGTGTTATTATGGGGACAATCATGAGGGTCATGGAAGTTATTTGACCTTAAAACCATAACTTTTCAGGGAAGAATATAAGTGCAAGGCTTCAAGACTAAGCCAGTGAGGTAGTTCACCAAATGTGGTGATTCCTTGTGCGCACCAGACACAAGACAGCTTCTCTCATTAATAAATTGGATTATACTCTGATTAACCCTCTCACACCTATGTTGGCTATGGTATGGGGTGCCCGGAGGATGCGTTCCACTTTTTTACAAGTTATAATTACATGTTGTTTTAAAGTTACTTTTCAAAATAAGAGCATGTTATTTAGAACATAAACTCTTAACTTCCAATTCTTTCCAGTTTCTTTGCATTCCTTACTTCTAGTTTTTTCAAGTTTCTTTCAGTTTTCTTCATGTTTCTTTTATTATTATAACTATAATTTTTAAATTATTTATATTGTATTTTTAATATAAATAATAAGTGGTGCATTTTTATCAGGCAAATTGTTCTTTTTTAATTTACATGACACTAAAATATGTTCTAAAAATTATATATATTTTATTAATCTAAATTTACCTGGAAAAATATCAATACTTTAAATTAAAAATAATAATTATACTACTCTCTCTGTCCCTAAATAAATGACATTTATATAATTCACGTGGTCAAATTTTATTTAATTTTTTATCAAAATTTATCAATTTTGGCTTCAGAAGTCAAGTGATAACATAATTACAAGATCAAAGGTGTACTTATTCATGATATTTAATGCAAGCGACAAGTTAGAAACTCATCAGGGTTTATACTACGGTCGATGATTATACGTGAATTTGTACATACACAAATGATAAACCAGTTGTAAACTACTCCCTCCGTCTCATAAAATTTTTCTCCTTTCTTTTTTTATTCGTTCCACAAAACACTTCTCATTTCTATTAAAAAGTCACTTTTACCCCTTACTTTTTCATACCCTAACTATCACATCATACCTTTTTACTAATAATATATCCATCAAATCATACTTTTACCCATCACATCATAGGACATTTTTGGAAATTCAATACCAAAATACACTCTCCTTAAATCCCTCCTAAAAAACAAAACTCCCATGTTTCACGGGACGGAAGGAGTATGTAATTTCGTGTCATCGAAATTAAATAACGTTAATTAACTTGAGTT